ATAAAAGCATGGCTACTGTAGTGTTCGATTTCCCTCGCCCCTGCAGTGTGTAGGACACTGCAGGGTTGTTTGAGATTCAAGGACAAGGCGTCAATGCAAAAACCAAGAAATGCAGGGGTTTTACTTTCTGTGAGGCTTTGAAATAGCTTCCATGTCTTTGTGTGGGACTCCTTGAGGAAACCGGGGCTACAGATTCTGCACACTGTTTTCTTATTAATAGTAATTGGCATTTACTGTGGTTGAGAGCCATTTAAGAAGCTAGCTTAGCCTAGCAAGGATGTAACGGAGGCAGTGGAGAGTGACAGGATTCATTTTAGAGACTGTAAACTGCTAGCGAGGAGTAGAGGTAGTATTTCTATTGGTACTCAGTCTTTCCATGCTGTCCACAGTGCTGACAGTTAACTGCAGTATAAAGGGGGGTGTTGGAGGTACATCATAGATTTTTAAGACAGAACTGGGCTGGGATCAGTAGAAAGTGTAATACAGTGACTGTACAAGTGGGGTTACGGTTTTCTGTACGGAGCTCCTCACCCATAGGCTGATAGATGCTTATTAACATCAGTGGCATTGGTGATCCATTGCACTCATTGGCTGGTATTATTGCTGGCTACACCCTCTCCTCTGATCTAAAGACCTTCTGTAGCTGATGAGTTGTGCTAAATGATTTGTTTTTTTCCAGTTGTGAAATCACTTTTAGGGTCTGTTTGGATTGGACTGGTCAAATGATGCAGTTTCATCACCTCAAAAATGTTCTGAAGCTCGATGAGCACCAGCTTCAACCACATCCCCAACTGCAAAAGATACAGGCAAACCAATTTTCACCACCCATACTAATACACTTCTGTCAGAAGGGTTAGCAGCACCTGAAGGCAGCGTTGAGTATGTTTCAATGCAGCTTTTATAGACATGAAGTTGTGAAATCTTCCCAGTGGAAAATGTCCTCCAGTTAGACATCTATCTAGTATTTAATAACGTAAAGTACATTCATTTTAAAATACAATACAAATCATTCCAACAATCATCACCCAAATGTGCTTCAAAATAAACATTATTTTAGTTTAATTATTAAATATATTAGGCCTGTAGTCAGTGTAGAGTATCTGACTTATATATCACTAACCATAATGTCTGCACTACACGTCTTTCTTTTCATGTCTTCGTCTGCACTTTTCAATTAACACATCTCTGAATGTGCAATAACAGCTTTTCACTTCGCTGTTAACAGGTGAGACAAGTGAAAACACGGATAACACTGTTGGTTTTAAAGCTGGCAGATCAAAATAAAACACAATGTGCAGCGTGAGCCTCCCGCCTGCATTCACTTCACCTGTTAAGTGGTAAACCCCTGCTGGGGAAGTTGCACCTAACTTCCTGAATTCGTGACACATCATGATGGTTTCAGATGAGTTGTCATGCATGCAACACTCCTGGCTCTTTCAGACCTCAGCGCTGACAGTAAATCTCCCACGTGACCCGAATGCGACGTGAAGAACAGGAGTGAAGGGCAGAGGGGGGGAGGACAGGGCCATGTCCAGCTGGCCAGGCGGGTGACGGGCAGTGGGGACATTTTAATCACAGCAGGACAGGGACAGTTATCTGGAGCTGACATTGGCCTCACCGCGGGGGGCTGACTGGCAGCTAAGAGCGGAGGAGGAGGAAGGTCAGCTCAATTGGGGGGGGGGGTCTAGCCTTGTAATGAAGGATAAGCAAGATGAAAATGGACAGAGAGATTGTCTTCTAGAGGAATAATCCTCCCTGAGATCCTGTTTAACTGTTATTGTAGTTGTATTGGTTAATCCATGTTTGGTCGGCCCGTTTTAATCCATTTCTACTTGAAGTGATGCCTTTCATTTCTCAGAATCACCAAAGCATTTAATTTAATTCAGGTATTTTTATTTTGAGGCTCCATTCAGCAGAGAAATTGGTTTGGAAATTAGGTTCATCAATCATTGGAAGAAAACTAGACGGAAGAACTTCTATTGAGTTCTGACAGTTTGACATTTAAAACCTCTTGGCCCGGGTTTGTTTGGAATCTTTGGATACTATTTGCACTGAAACAGCAACCTTTTCAAAACCTTGATCTGAGGAAGATTTTTCTACAAAATCCCAAAGGAATACACAGTTCTTAAATGTTATCTAAACGCAAGCATCTGAGGAAGAAATATGAATCTGACCAGGTGCTACTATTTGGTACTCGGCATAGGGGTTCCCTTCCTAGAGTCAAGCTCCTAGCATGGCATGAAACAGACACAGTGATGGTCAGCATTCAGCCGTTTTCCATTATCCATGGAAATAAGACACGTTTGCTTTAAACTACAAAATAAACCAACTCGAGTTCCATTTATCAGCTTGTTCTGGAGCTTTTTTGGGCAGGACACAGTATTCCTCAGCAGATTCATACATTTCAGAGCCAATCAGATAAAACACCCTGTAAACTTTAAGTCACAAGGGGTCTTTTACAGTTGGCTATAAAGTCCCTGGACCCACTACGAGTCCAACGAGAGCTCCTCGGCCCGCAAATAAAAACATACACACACTCTCAATCTCCGTCACGGATGCCAGTGTGATCCTTGAGGCATGAAAAGGGGTCTAATTGCATTTAGCTTAAGTCAGGCCACTGTGGAATACTAATATGGCTGTAAGGGGTTCAGAATTAAGACTAAGCCTCAGTGCAAAGAAAAGACTGAATCCCATTTCCTCCCCAATTCCTCTCCCTCTCACTATGGGAACCACAGGGCCTCCTGGGGTGGAACTCCCAGCAGAAAAAGGCTTTACTGTATTTGTTTATTTGCCCCAGACAGTTCGCCTTGTTTGCCCCCTCCAGCGTCTTCTCACAGCAACACGCCTTTCACTGACACACACCATCCTGTCATAAAAATGCCAGCCGGCTCAATAAGGAGCGTGTTTGTTCGGAGCGTTTTGGAATTCCAGTCGAAGCCTTTCCTCCCATCGAACCCCAGAGACCCAGAGAGGAAGTCGGAGAATGACTGGAGTCAAATACTTCCTGTGAAGGGCTGAAAAACTGTCAAAAAGAAAGGAATTATCCGGTTCCCCAACTGTGGGGATTCAAATGATGTGGGGGTTTTTGAAGGCCAAAGCCAGTAGTTTGAGATTAAAAGTTTTAGAGTTGATAGTGTGATAGTGGAGGAGCATTAAATGTTAAAGGTGTTCTTTATTTTTATCGAGTTTCTGTCTTTGCAACGATTGTTAATGAATCTGTTGTTAAAAGTGGACATTTTAAACATTGAATTTAAAGATATCATTAGGGCTGCCGCCAACTAAAGAATTTCCTAGCCGACTAGTAGTCAAACTCAATTTTGTTCAAAAATATTCTTGCTCAAGCAGCTTTTACTTGTAAATTTAAGTGACACTAACTTAGTTTTGTAAGTTACAGAAATATATTGATAGATTAGTAACTTTTTAGTACATATTTTGTTTTCACTGTACAAATAAAAATACGAAAATGAAGTCACTGTCACTTAAAATTACTAAAGCTACTTGATCAAAATGTTTTTTGAACTTAAAAAATATAGTTTGTTATACTTAAAACTTTTAATGTAATCAGTAAAATTAACTGGTTTCACAGTGTATGTCTGAATGAATGAATGCCTTCACTTCAACAGATAGGAGCTATAAATATTCAATGTCTGCAAAGGACAATGTGAAAATAAGAATCAAATTATAATATATTCTCATTAAAGATTTTAAAGAATTCAGTACGTGTTATATAATCCTGTTCAGTGTGTTTATTATGATGCAGTAGTTCGTTCAGCCGGCCGCTTCTCCTCCCGGTGCTTTTAGGTATGATTCATTATACGCCTCCATTGCTACGTGTCACACACCATATTCAACATAAACAAAACATGACCCCACTTTAACAGAGTCTGTGCCAGCTTTGTTAACGCGCATCCGATGTTTGGAGCCTCTCATGGCTGGCTGGATCAGGAAGTGTGTGTGTACTGCGGGGCGTGTTGATTTACAATCCTGAGATACATAGAGAGGTAAGAGGTGTGTTCACTGTGTGTGTGTGTGTGTGTGTGTGTGTGTGTGTGTGTGTGTGTGTGTGTGTGTGTGTGTGTGTGTGTGTGTGTGTGTGTGTGTGTGTGTGTGTGTGTGTGTGTGTTATCAGTGTGTGTAGCAACAGCACATTTGCAATCACACAATGTGGTGCGTAGGCTCAGCAAACACAGAAAACCTCTCTGTGCCGCTGTGACGCCTCTCTGTCACAACAGCATGTCAGTTTGAAGGCGCTCCTCTCATCAGCCTGCCACACACACACACACACACACACACACATTATTCTCCCAGGCTGAGGTCAGGCTGACACGCTGGCCGCGCCGCAGTGAAGTGTTCCTGCTGGCCTCGCCAAGCTTTCTCGGACTGGTTTGAGTGTGTGCGTCCTCCACGTTGACTCTTGGCTCTGGCACAGTGAGGGAGGGTTGGAGTAACACAAAGCACTTCTGTGATGACAGAATAATGTGTATGTGCAGCAAGGAGCAACAAGTTTTAACACATCAGAAAAGTCCCCCTTAAAGGACGTTTTTCGGATGATTTTTTACTCATCTTAAACACAAAATATCTGTAATTAGTTCAGTTTAGGTCTGTATTGAATACTAACAATAGCAGCATCGCTCATGGGGTGGTAATGTATGTGTGCACAACACTAATGTCTCCTTATCTAGCAGCAACAACTATTCATTATGTGTTATGTTTCCACTTCTCCAACTATAATTAATATTGTATTCTCAGACTATATTTAAGATGTCAGTATAGCTTCACTCATTTACCGTTACCTACATTTACGTTTGAGGACACTATATTGTGCACATTTCATCAGCTTTCAGGGACTTGATGTAAAAGCCAGTAAACATACCAACACAAAACATGTGATCAGTGTTTGCTTGCAGCTCGTTGAGCACAGAGACACAGCTCTTAAAGTTTTTATTCAAACTTGTCTTCACTCATTCATCTTTTCTCTCCCTCCTCTGTTTGCTCTGCAGCGTCTGATACCGAGCAGGATGCGGCGGTGAAACTTAACCAGGAGCGGGCTGAGATAGTCGCCAAATATGACAAGGTACGGTCAGAACTCCCTTCACTCTCTATCCTCAGGCTGTAACTTCCAACAATAGGTTTTTTTCTTGTGGTCGTCCGCAGCCAGATTCCAGTCACTCACTCATGCTGAGACGCCAAAACTCCATAACACTGTGGTGAAATCCCTCCAGAAATCGCTGCCTTATTGCCCGTGAAACACAATAATAACAGTGAGCGGTGTGCAGGATCTGCCGCTGTCGCACGGCTGTGATTACCATGTGAGAGCCACGTTTCATATGGACCATCCTCAGCCAGAGCTCATTGACTGCCAATGAAAATTAACATTTAAATTACGCATTTAAAAGCCAGTTTGCTGGTCCACACTGTCAATGTGTGAATGTTCAGTGCACCGACACTAACTGAGTCACAAGAGCAGAGAAAGTGAAACATCTCTCCTGCTCAACTGTGGCTTTAAAGCCATATGTCAGATTCTGAAGCATTTTATGTGTTATTTTAGTTAATTAATCATTTTTTATTGCTAATGAGTGAACGGGTTGTTGTGACTTTAAACATGATACCTTCCCTGACTTTCTTAGGTATCTGTGATATGTGGGTTAAACACAAAAAACAGCTATATAATGAAATACTGTAGTTCTGCAGAGACACTCTGGCCTACAAATCCAGATTTAAGAAAACATGTTTGTTTGCTACAGGCCTAAAAAAAAAATGTAACATACACTGTACATTTTCATTAACTCCTGTACAGTGACACTCTCTATAGCTTTCTCCGCTGTGTGTGTGTGTGTGTGTGTGTGTGGGTGTGTGTGTGTGTCACTGTATGCATGCGGATGTTTCCTGAGTGACACCTCTATTGCACAGCCCGCCGGTATCAGTCGGACCAGCCCACCACGCTCGGTTTGTAAATTAGTCTTTTTAATTTAGTCCAGCAGGCTGCATAATCAAGCTGCCTCATTAAGAGTGAAGAGACCATGGAGAGAGGAGATGATGGAGGCGTGTGTGTGTGTGTGTGTGTTTGGGCACAATGAGGCACAATCAGAGCTAAATCAGTGTCATTCTCGCTGTCGGGGGTTGGGAGGAGTTTAATGGAGTCAGTTATCAAGCCGGCCACACACAGTCACTGCTCGTCGTTTCCCATCAGCCGCCGTTGGTTTGCGGATATTAAAATGATTTCTTGTCTCTGCAGAATGTAGAAATGAAGAGTTTTGCTTCCCGAGCGACAGATCCACTCAGGTCTGTTACTCGTGGCTCTGATGCTGATATTTTTTACCATGGGGGGGGGCATTGATTGTAGATATTTGTAAGACAATACTTAATTTACATCTTCACGCTCGGTTGGGATCCAAATCAAAAATGTCACATTTGACTGTTGATTTCTAACTATTGGATGGATGGCTGTGAAGTTTGGTATACACATCCGTGGTCCTCTCACCTTTCCTCTGGGTTTGAGTGAAATATCTGAACCACTGTTGGACAGATTAAAATGTTAGCAATCGTCATTGTGAGCATGTTATGAGGCTGCCGTTTTAGCACAAAGCTCCACTGCAGCCTCACAGATGCATGGCTCAGTTTTCTTACTTCATGTCCAAATGTGGCTGTTTTTGGTGGAAATTTCAAAATAAAAATAATAAATAAGTCATAATGAATCAGTTTTTCATTCATATATCAGGCTAACCTACAATATGCACTCTTTGAGTAACTTGGTACGGATAAGGTTAAATCACACGTGTGTACTGAAACATTCTGTAAATGTTCCTTTTATATCAGAGTGGTCATTTACTGCACTGGTTCTCCGCAAGAGGAATCTAATATTTATTTTCTTTTGCTTAATTCTTGTGAAGTTCTGTACAATTTCTCCCTCAGGGCTCTAAAAATGATTCAAAGGAAATAATCTGAGAGGGAGAGTAAGTGTGTGAAGACATTTAACTTCTGAGGAGCGATCACAAGGAGATACTGCTCTGTATTAAGGGGTCAGACGCTAAATGAAGCCATTTATTCTTGTTATGAATCAGTTAATAATCGCAGAACGGTGACCGAACTGTGCGGTCTCTCGCAGAGTTCTGGTGACACACAATCACAGTCGGAGTCCGGCTTTAATTTGACCCTGAAATCGGTTCGAAGCAGAGCGAGAAATGACGAACGTGTGAGTGTGAACACACACGTGTTGTGAGGCTCGATACACCACCTTCAGAGGTGTGTGTGTGTGTTGTGTGTGTGTGTGTGTGTGTGTGTGTGTGTGTGTGTGTGTGTGTGTGTGTGTGTGTTATTTATTTAACTGGTGTGTTCGGGCTGAGGGAGCAGCGCAGGGCAGGAGATGAATATAGAAATATTTCACCTCAACATCTGATTGACGGGCCCTCGGTCTCTGGTACTGTCTGAGGAAGATTTAAAAGATATTTTGCTCGTGCAGAGTGGTGGGAAAGTTAAGTTTAGAGGTTCACTGATTGTTACTAGGCTTGTAAACGTGTTTAAAAAACTTCAATTTGAATGAAATCTGAAGCACGGATCCAAAAACTCAGCCTGTCTGCATCAGTTTGAGAACACATTCTTCAGCGCAGTAAGTTTTACATCAGCTCTGTTTCAACTCTATCTTCTAATCTTCCACCACTCTGTTTCTCACACTCTCTCTCTCTTTGATATTCTCTCCTTGCTCTTCTCTCCTCACAACCCTGACTGTGGGTTCTCTATTGCATTGGTCCATGATGGTGAATTAACTAGAACCAGGCCTGGAGTCAGACGGTGACGCAGGTGGGCGTCTGGCTGTTCATTTCACACCTGTTAATCTCTGCACACACACACACACACAGTTCCTCTGCGTCTCATAAACACACACACTCGCACCAACACACTTTCCCAAGGGCGACAGAGTCGTGGCTCCCCTCGTAATCTAGCAGCCAATCAAAACATGATTCTCTGCCCCTGAGGAACGTGGGTGGCATGTAATTTGCAGCTCAATCAGAAGTCGCTGTTGAGTTTATTTCAGTGCACAAGCAGCGTCAGGGCGGCAGCTGATCATCTACCTGATTGATCTGTTGATTGTTTTTCAGATGAACTGATTCATTGTTTTGTCCAGATTGTAGAAGTAATCTACTTTTGTAGTTTTATTCCTTTTATTTCCTTAAAATTCTTTCTTTAACCAAAACTTTGTTGTTAGCATGTTGCAAAAAACAACAAATTCAGATGACAGTCCCGTTTTTAAATAAAAAATGTTTAATCCTTTGTCAACACACAGCCGGTGTTACACTTACTTTACAGCAGTGCTGGAAATACTCATTATTTTTGTTGTTGTAAATCGTGAATAGATGAAGCGATTACTCAGAGAGAAAAGTCTTTTTTGTCAGTCTTAAAACTTTAATTCACTCTCATATAAAACAAACAGAAGAAAGAAATCCTCAAATTTGAGAAGCTGGAACCAGGAAATGTTGTTTTTAATATATACTGTATTTTTTCCGTTTTATAACCCAAACAAATGTGAGGTTACTCAGTTAGATTGGATGATATACACAGGAAGAGTGTTACACTTTGATTAACATTCGCTTTCATGCTTCACAATTACAGTTACTACAGTTTCAGACTCTTATTTAGACCAATACTCTCCTCCCTTTTATTTCTGTCGTCTTAAACTGAATGTCATACATGCGTCTTCGTTGGGTATGAGGGAGAGAGACAAAGTCCAGTTTGTTGTGATTTTTCCTTTTTGTCCTTTTAAACATTCATTTTCTGTTGATCTTGGCGTCTTTTATCCTTTCATTGTTCACTTTCAGCCACATTAATCAGCGTTATTGTAGATGTGGTGGGTTTTTTTGCCAATGGCTACTATTCAGCGGGTCAGATGAGGTCAGAGTTGGCTTTTAAAAATAACAAGCATGTAAAATCAGAACAAGAGACGGTTGGCATAATACGGAAGCTAACAAAGAAATAAAAGCTTTAAAAGTACAGTGAGTAGTAAGTATAATAGGAAGAGTATGACAAAGAACATGAGGCTGACTGTATAGTATGTCCATCTAGCATTTACTAAGCTCAGTGGTCACATCCGAGGTCTTCTATTTGAGTGCAGATACGTGTTATTCACTGTGTTTCCATCTCTCTTCTTGATTCCAGGGAAAAGAGGCCACCGTGGAGCCCTGGGAGGACACCAACTTCCACCTTTACAAAGTCATCGACCGCTTTGGCTTTGTCCAGTAAGAACTCGCACAGAAGAAAACACCATCACCCATAATTATTCCTAATAAACTACATTAAAAACCTCCAGAGCCCAGTCTGAACAGCAGCGCCACATTGAAGGGACAAAATGAGAGGCTGTACAGGCGAGTGTTGCTGACGGAAGAGTGTGTCTGTGGCTTTGGCCGGGGCCGGTCGCGAGGCCGCGAGGCTCTTAAACAGCGCTGTGCTAGAGTGTGTTATATATAGGCTGGCACATGCAGCCAGGAAACAGCCTGGTTAGCCACAATCACAGGGCATCAGTGTTCGGATAGAGTGGTACGATCCAGACCGTAGGCAGTGTGAGACGGAGGGAGAAGACGTTGGATGGCGGGGGAGGAGGAAAAAAAAACATCTGGGTTATGTGATCGTTTAAGACAGGGACAGAAGTAGCCCGAGGTGAAGGTCACTGACTGGGCAGAAGAAGGAGAATACGAAGCCCAGGAATGATGCTGCCGACTGGGCAGACTGGCGGCACACATGAGCCAAGATGACCCGTTATCTCCTTTTAGGCTTAACAAGCTGTGTGGACGGAAAGAGGAGAGAAAGAATACACGTTATAAGGTTGTAGGATTTAGCTGCTGAGTGCCCCCCCCCTCGCCTCACCCCAGCTTTCCAAACATGAAGGAGAAACTACTCTTGAAAAATGTGTTTGGATTGTCCGTTCTAGCGGCCTCCGTAGAAGATGACCTGCTTGCTTTTTAGAAAACGAGTTTTTTAGTTGACAAAAGGCGATTATACACCCGTAAATATTGATATTGGAACATGAGGTAGCATCTAAACCAGCGCGGTACCGAAAGCTTTAACTGGTCCGTTGTTGTGGATTATCCACCGTCTATCCAGAGACTTCTAACATAATGTCAGATAACTTGGTAGAGTCTGTGTGGGCAGTACTGCAGGTTCAGGCTGTTAAAAATCCACCAAAGCACTAGAATACTGATTTGGAGGTGAATTATCGTGGCAACAGTCAAAGCATTCGGGTCAACCCTTGGAAGAAAGTTGCTCTAAACCCAAATTTTATATTTACTCATCTTTCATTTATCATTGGGAACTTTGTTCTTCATATATGATGAATTATAAACTCACTCTCTTGTTGCCTTTTTCCAATGGTCCCCAAATACAAAAGATCTTTGACATGTTGGACCAATACAAGATGGAAATCAATAGCTCAGCTTTAACGTTTTAGCTCCATTTCAGGCCACATTGTGGTGAAAAGCGTTTGTTGCATGGGAGATTTTCAGCTGACCCCAATACAACCTGTGTTTTCTGTGTTTACGGGAGTGCTCGGCGCACTGTGGCTGGTAGGATTCAGCGGAGACCAAACCAGAATATTTCCCGTCAAAGAGAAACTCACCACAGAAGAACTCCTGCAGGGACTTTGAAACGCAGATAAGCCGAGCAGAATGTCTAATCTGTTATTTCCTGTTTGTGTGACCGCTGACATGTTTGATGTTGCTGTCAGGGAGAGTGAGACGAGCACTGACCCCAATATCACTCAGTTGTTTCATCAGGGTTGACTAAACTATGATTCTTCCACTGCGTCTGTGACAGCGAGTACAAAAATAAACCGGAGGTTAAGAGACAAGTCCTAGGCTATTTATCTCACTCTCCACTTTTTCTCTCACTCATTCCTCCTCTTTCTCCTCTCCTCAGTGAGAATGAACTTCCATCCTACGACTCAGTGGAGGCGAAGGTGAGTTAATTCATTACTTAATGTGTAGTTAAGGGCCTGTTTCTAACCAAGTAAACCGGGAACAAAGCTTTGCAACTATGTAAATCAGGAAGTCCCTTTTCCACATTCATGTTTGCATTTGTCCTGCATCTGGAAAACCGTGAAGATTAGATAAATTAGACTGCGATTAAAATAGACTGCTTTGACTGAAACACACACAACTGCTACCTCTGACATTTAAATGGATGTTGGACAGATCCTGATAGGAGAGGACCTTTTAAAGATCCACTCACCTATCATGCTGTATATAATTCTACATTCTCAGATTGATGTACTATAGTACGTATTCTGGATGAATATGATGAAATGAATCAATCACACTGATGCAAAAATCCTGTAAAAACAAATAAAGCCATAAAAGCCGTCCTGCTCACTGATTTGTAGCATTGCCAACATTATACCGTGCAACTGGAGATACTAAAGTGACAGATACGTTGGCATAAACAATATAGGAAATTAAATAAATCTGTTAATGGCTGACACATTTACATCGTCACATCACCCCAACTGTTAGAAAAACTACCTCCTGAAGCAGGGAAATGAATCTAGACCCTGGTTTCTACAGTTAAATTAAGGATAAAGTTCCTGTGGTTGAAACGTGATTCAAACACTCAGAAATATATCTGTTACTGCTCTCATCCCAAAGATCTTCTAGTGTAGTATTCATCCTCATCTTTTGTTTCTGGTGCCGAAACTGTTTGGAATCATAACTGTAGCTGGAACTCTTTAAATCAAAGACCACACGTAATGTAACTTTAATAGTTTTCATAGATATTCAGATCAATTAACAGCTTGTCGCTGTCAATTTGGATTCTTCTTTTGGCTTTTGACTAAAAACATTGTATTCAACATTTTCTTAGTCCGTTCTGAGTATTTTCAACCTGCCTTTTTGCTTTTTAACAACACAACACTTATATTTAACAGGCTGTAAAATGATGTGTCAACACACATCAAATGTTGCATTCATGTACCATGGGGAAAAAGGAGCTTTTACACTTTTTTACACAAATTCAAACCTCAGCCCATACAAACTACTTGAGTACTGGGTTTGCACATAGACCTTAAATCCAAAAGAAATTGATGCTATAACTTTACAGTTTAATTTCCCCTCAAACTGGAACCAAATGACTTCAGACTTAATACTTTTTCTAAAATAATGCTTATGATCTAAAATCTAATTCCAACTTGTCACTGAATTTGTTTGCAAATGACAAATGTGCCTTATTTAGCTGTAAAACATGAGCTCATCAGCATCCACAGAAGGCTTTAACTGGAGCATCTCCACAGCTTCAAACCACTTTGAACACACGCAGCACGATCACTCCCGAGTCGTACCTTTTTATCTGTCGAGCCGTTCTGACAGCGATTCCCATCGGACGCGATCGCAGCCGCAGAAACACCGACGAGAGATGAGCGAGTTATTAATGTGTCACTTTTGTTTTTCCACTCAGCAAAAACACATGGAGGTGGAGAGGACCACCAAGTGGCTGAAGATGATGAAGAGCTGGGACAAATACAAGAACAGTGAGAAGGTGATCTTCTGTTTTTCTCTCATCCTCCTCTTCACCCTCTCTATCACTCATCTGTCCCTCGCTGTATTTTGTTCTCGGACAACCATTTGACTCATGATGAAGAGGAATTTGACTTGCTAATATGTGACTTTAGTAAACATTCACATACTGTATCAATATAGTCATAAAGATGTGACAATAAAGTTCTTTTAGAGACACATATTAGCAAACAGGTGCCGTTCACATGAGAGCTGCGACTAACCATTCATTTTTATTATCGATTTAATCTGCTGATTAATCCTTTTGTCTATAAAATGCCAGAAAAATGTGATCATTTATAATTTACCACAAGTGAAGATGACTTCATATGTCATATTTCTGTCCGAGAAACAGTCCGAAACCTAAATATATTAAGTATACTATCATGTATCACGAAGAAAAGCATCAAACCCTCACATTTAAGAAGCTAGAATCAACAAAAATGACTAAAACAATTATTCAGTTATCAAAGTAGTTCCACATGAATTACTTAAATGTACAATACGTTACTTCTAACGCTCTCTCAATAACAAAAGACAAGGTTTGATGTAGCGTCGGATCATGCTGCGAGCCGAGCTGCTACTATCTCAGCTTGTTTATCTGATAACTTAAGGTTCAGACGTCCGATGACTAAAATCTTTCATCCGGTTCAAATCATCATTGACAGGCGACCGGTGAAACGGAGAGTTACCAGAATAAGTATTTCTCTTGGTTTGAACATTGTTGGAAACATTTGGGATAATGTAAGTACACAACTGAACAACAAATATAAGATGGGTCTAGTTTATTGACATTTGAATGCAGAACTATTACATGTTATACTTGTTAATGTAAAATATAGATAAAGTGCAGCTTTAAATCAATGAAAATCAATAAATGATAAAAAATCTCCGCACTGTCAGAGAGTTCATATCGGTCTACTTGTGCCCTCTGCAGTCGTCCTGTCAGCAGCAGATGTGGAGTGGCTCTCTCTCAATCCACCTCCCACAAGTCCCATTAGGGGTGGGGGGGCAGGTATCAGTTATGGCGGCCTTCATTAGTGCCTTTTTTTTGGTCCAGGTTGCGGTTGTGGTGTTGCCCGGAGCGCTTCACCGTGTCCTTCATTTGTGTGTTTGGTTAGAGCGGGGATTTAGTGTGTGGGCATGTAGAGCGTCCGAGCTTTGAAATGTGAAATCCACCAGCGGCTGGCACTAAGAGCACAGTGAGACTCATTCTTTGGCACTGCTTCCCCCTTTGTTTTCAAAGAGACGCTCACAGTGAGTAACAGCCAAGGACACTGTGGAGTGTTTGGACCTTGCCTCCATCACATCGCTCTGTTCTTTCGGGTTTCTTTCTTCTTTAAAAGCTTCGGGGATATTTCTTTTCCTCTTTGTCAGTCGGCGGCGTGCTTTGAGCTCGGCGAGGAAACGGGTCACGCTCAGTATCTCTGTTATTTTGTTTCCTCTCTTGCAAGCTGCTGAGAACATTTAGCCTGCAGTAGGAAAGTACGAGAGAGCTGAGCAGATGTAAAGCAGCCATAAGCTTTTTTTTTTCTCCCCCCCTTTCCCCGCGCCACACACGATGAATTTGGCTTGAGGTTGTAGTGTTTAACATAACAGTAATAATATAGTGCCATGTGAAATCTTGCAGCGGGCTGTGGTGTAAGACTACAGCGGTGTCCCCAGTGCCATTCTTCATAATGACTGCTGGGTCAGAGTAGAAAGTGGGACAGCCGGAGTAATTGTGTTCCTGTGGTGCTGGAAGCCTGTTGATGTGGTGACTGCTTACTGTTCAGTGGCTGCTGCTGGTTGTGGATGGTTTGTTGATACCGATACGAACAGGAAACTTCAGTATCTGGTTTTTGTCTTTTAACTTGCGGGTCAGTTGGAGGTTAGATCCCGTCGCTGCCAGTCATTCCCATTAGGGATGCACGATATGGAATTCTCTTCAGGCGATACGATAACCGATAATTACCTGCTTCTCCTGGCCGATATCTCTACTACTAATTTAATATTCTGTTTATAACCTGTAGTTTCATGTCTCTAACATCACTATTGTTTCTCGTAAAGTTCCTCAAAAAACTTCAACTTCCATAGAGTATAAAGTCTTCAAAATAAATTAATATTTAGTGGCTGTAATTGAATTATCCTGATAATGCATAACATACATTTCCCATTATTGTCAGATAATGTTTTTGCCCCAGTAATTATTGTGCATCCCTAATCATTTATAACATGACGTTGGTGACGGGTGACGACTTGTGTGTGACGCTATATTGTCCTACATGCCTCTCAATCCAGGATCTCAACCAAACTCTGTTAATTTTTTCTCCATTTTTACCCTTTTCAGCGTAAACTGCACATAAACTGTTTTGGTATGAGAACAGTCATTCATTTTCAGGGTCGTCCACCAGTCGTTTCGTGAGTTATCTGGTGTATTTACTCAGTCGGAAGGTTTATTGACCTTCCTGACCGTCAATGACTAAACAAAATCTGTGCAAGTTAGTGGAGAGGATCTTTAAAGTGTGGTTGGTCGAGTCTTCAGGTGTGTACAGAGCTTAACTTCATTGCTTTCTGAGCCATGTTAGAGGAGGAGTTTATTGTCTTCTTGCATCAGAAAACACATTTTAAATACGTGAGAACAAACTCATCTGCTCCTTTTTAAAGAAGAATCCTCTTACAGTTAACATCCGTAAGAACGATGAGCTGTATGTATGTACACAGTAAATACAAAGACTAGAACTGCACAGATTCACAGAAATGTAAATGTTGACACACGTGTTCAAGTGTATACACACACACACAAACACACACACACACACACACACACACACACACACACACACACACACACTCAAAGGATGATTAGTCTAACAGATGCTCTCATTGACTCGCTCATCAGAGCCTAATTACAAGGCTGTTGCACTAGAAACTAGTGGGTCCCATGTGTGGTGGTAGGGGTTGATGAAGTGTAGGCTTTGGATACTTCACTCACACACACGCACGCACGCACGCACACACACACACACACACACACACAACTAAATGTCATTAATTCTGAGATGACACACACAACACGCTGCCTTTTAATAGGGAAGTGCACCGACCGCACACATACATCATACTCTGACACGCAGGCGCGTTTACAGACAAGAGCTGACTTATGACTCTTCATCAGCTCTTAGCTCATCTTCGCACATCTCTGTAAATCTCTTCTCTCCCTCACCGCCTGACTTGTTTTGGTTTTCTTTTCATGTGAGAATTCTGAAGCACCAAAAACATTTGAGGTTAGAAATAAAGCGTATAGTGTTCTCCTAAGAGGACCTGTTGCTTTGGATGTGATTGGCTGTCAGTCAGTGTGAAATAAAACGTTCATTCAGCGGTGTGAGGAACAAAATAGTTTTAAGATTGCTCTACTACTCCACACTAGTCCAAGTCCTCCAAACAAGACACATTATCTGCATGCTTTGTCCTCACTTTACATCATTTACTGTTTCTGAAATATATATCTAAAATTATAAACTAAACTGTGTCAGATTTCATGCATGAAACAAAGCAGAATATCGACTTTTCAAGTAGATCTGCTTGTTAGATTTACGATCATTCAGCGGCGATACATACCATTCATACACACGTTTTTGTTAGCTTATGGATAGTTTTTAGCTAATGCCAGCAAAACTGTCGCTGTTAAATTAAATATTAAATTGTTTAATTATCAAAGGTATTTGTCTTCTTCTAGTTAGTTAAAGGTTTCAGGTGCATTACCTCCTGCTTCTGATTTCCCTGTTCAACAGAGACATTTATGTGGCTGAGTGCACATGAAACTGGATTTTATCTGGATGCGAGACACTTGAAATGACGCATGTAAATGTGGACTTAGTGTCTTGGGAGTCGTCTGGACTAAATCCAGCCTCTCACAGACGTAGGAGGTAGTTTTTTTTTGCAGGAACGCCTGGTGAATTATTCCCAGACCAAAACCTGGTGGAATCCTAAAGTTAGCACTGGCACGCCGGGAGCTACTTTTAGCCGCAGGATGTTTTGTGAATACCTACAGATAGAAGGACTTTCCTTTTCGTTTGTGTCCTCTGTCAGTCACCTGAACACACGCATTTACAGTCCCAACACCTCCCATATCTGCTGTATAACTGTTCCGGCTGGCTGGGTTTTAATAGCTGTAGACGGAGAATTCACTGCTCCGATTAGCTTTGCTGTTCCAGCAGTTTGGGTTTTAAGACTTAATCTTCCTCGCCCGGAGTCCGACTGATTTTCCATCTCTTTGTGGACACTGAATTACTTTGGACTGTTCTGCATGCAAAGCAGTCTCTCGTACTCCCTCTCTCCCTCTCTCTCTCTCTCTCTCTCTCTGCCCACAATCTCTCCTGGAGCTCGTCCAGCCAGATGGTCGTGGTTCACCTTCCAAAGCCCTTTGCTTTTGCTCGAGGAGAGTGCCGAGTACATTCGTGCGTGCACTGTTTGTATCTTTGACAGGATGAGAGCAGCTTGGTTGATGGGTTTCTTATTCTGAATCACTTTTGGCAACTGCCAGAGGCTCTGATTGCATCTGTGTGGGCCTGCAGTGACAACCTTTGAACCGATAAAATTGTGGGGTTTTTTGTCGTGTTTCACTATTCCTGGCATCATATCACTATGTTTTTATTGAACTGTCTTTTTGAACACTGTAACTTGTAAGCATTTCATAATTTATTTATTTTCAGATTTAGATTTAGAAGGTTCTCTGTAAGTTATTAATGAACATAGATAACAAGTGGAGCCACAGTCAATGGATCCAATGAGTTGAAGAGAAGAATATAAGTTAATTATATTTAGCTTTAAGGTCTACACCTCCTGTGGCTTTAAAGGTTAGAGTCCAACATTCTCCAGGTTAAATAACACCTGACAAATTGAAATAGAAAAAGTAAAGATGATAAAAATGAGTTCATTTGTAGCCAAATCCAGCATGACATGAGATCTTTCACTGCAGCATTCAGTTGTTACTGGGGTTTGTAAGACTTTACAAACTCTGGCTGCAACTAAAGATTATTCACATTATAAATATATTTATCTTTAATATATATTATTAGCACAGTTTTTCACAGTCAAATGTAATATCTAAAAATATATTTAGTGGGCAAATGATATAAAACACAGAAAAGCAGCAAATCCTCCCATTTCAGAAGCTGGAACCAGTGAGTGCATTATATTTAGTTTGATAAATGACTTAGACGATTAATTAATAATCTGAGTTATTGCTGATTAATGTTCTTTAATGATGTTATGGGACACTTAACTGGAATTGCTGCAAATTGAAGCTTTGAGATGTTCTGTCAGGTAGTCAGAAACACTGTCTCATCTCTATCTGATATTTAGTGAAAGGCCTGATGTTTTGTCCGACTAAAAAAATGTATAAAATCCTCCACTGTGCTCTGGCTGTTGAGGGTGAGGGTGTTTCTGGGGTGGGCAAAGCTTGTTCCTCTTTGACGGCTTTTTCTAACAATGACCTCCTGCTGTTTTCTTCCCTTCCAGCTGGTCAGGAGGATCTATAAGGGAATCCCTCTGCAGCTCCGAGGGGAGGTGTGGTGTCTGCTGCTCGACGTTCCCAAAATAAAGGAGGAGAAGAAAGACTTCTACGAGGTACGGAGGCCCGGGATCTCGCCGCTAAACACACACTCTCCCTTCCCTGCTGGCGCTTTACAGTCCTTCGCTCCCACACTAAGTCTATAAAATCAGTGCAGCATGGCAACGTTCATTACAGCACAAGCCTCATAAAGCTTCATAAGCGAGTCAGTAGCCACCTCGGCTTTATTTGATTTCAGTAAGCTGCAGAATTATTGTGGGCAAGATGTGGGTTTGGAGGCTTAATTTCGTTTGTGTGAAGCTGCACAGCTCGTTTCTGCAGTGAGAGAAACTTTGGATCTCATTAGAAAGTCTAGCTGGCAGAATCAATATATCGCTGCCTTCAGTTGGTGAGGAAACTATTCTAATTATGAGTTGAGGGTGCGTACAGTAAACTAAGAAACAGTGGAAAGTTTCTGTCTGGTGAGCAGGAAGCTGTGTCCATAATAATCCCTTTTATCTTTAGTCTCATACATCAAATATACGACAAAACTATTACTGTTTGTATCTTTTAAACTATTTTTTACCACAAATTAAAATCATACAAGCATAAGGGAACACGGTTCATGAGAGTTTATGGCTGTGAATGTGATGTAAGAGTCTCCTGTCACTGATCCGCTCTTATTCTTTCTGTGTTTTTGGGTTCGTCCACAGAAATTAAAGGCCAGGGCCAGAGGACTCTCCCCCGACATCCGCCAGATTGACTTGGATGTAAACCGCACCTACAGGGACCACATCATGTTCATGCATCGATACGACGTCAAGTGCGTATTTCCAGAATACACTGCATTAATTAACCACCCTACACTTTCCTATCCTACCAATAACAATGCTCGTTGCTCTACAGAAACTGCTTTCACCCACATGCAAACATCTGTAGGTCAGAAAATCCAGAATTCCTGTTTAAAGAGTAATTAAACCCCCCCAACCATCTTTTTATTAGCTGAAAATTGAATTGGTCACCCATCTGTAGGTATATGGTATTTAGTAGTATTGTTGATCAATTCTGGTCCAACTTCTGACATTTTAGTGCAAAGTATTTGAAACACACAGAGACCTTTACAAAACCGTGAATGTGCTTCTAGTGACTAAAAGCTCCAACAGAGACACTAACAGCAGCTTTCTGACTAGTTAGCTCAGTTAGCTTAGTTTATGCACTCTGGGCTAGTGTAGAAACATGCCGGTTCAACGTGGTGGACTTATAGAAGAGGATCCACTCCTTCCTTAAATAAAAATACCAATGAATATATTCCATTTCTGCAATATTCTGCAAATAATGCCCCCTAAATCTTAAACACTGGCCCTTTTTAACATATAATGTATACTGTCACACTATGGTTGAATTAATGACATATGGAAAGTATAAATAATCAAAAGCAAGTGGCAAATCAGACTGTAAATCTATCGGTTCACTCTTAACTGATTCCCAAAATCTGAGGCCTCAAAGTGTTCCCAATATGGAAGTGAGAGGATTCATGTCCCCTTTTTCTGTGTTTGGTCTTCTGCTTTGTTGCAGAGATTGTAAGACGGTCTCTGATGAATTTATAAGCCAAAGAGAAACAGCAACCAGCCACAGCTCTCATATACAGGAACCACACCTGTTTTAACACCATTGTAATTTGCTTTTTCACACTACTGGTCTAAAATTAAGAAACGTATTTGGCCCTCCAGTCCTTTAATTTTCATGTGTGAAGAGGATATTGTGCACCATCTATGTCCAAGCTGTTAGAATACAGATCCCAAACTGTGAACGATGCTCCTGGGTTCATACTGTGGATTCTTTGCAGGGCTTTGTGGTAACTGTGGTTTTGTGTTTGTGTTGTCAGGCAGCAGGCTCTCTTCCACGTCCTCACAGCCTACTCCATGTACAACACGGTGAGTCATTCACACTCTCAGTCTGCAGGAAACTGCAAAGGTTACTGTGCTTTTACTATCTTTGTGGGTTGCAGCATCTGTCTATGTGCCTTTCACAGATCTTGAGCACTGTTTTTGTTTGATTAGTACTGGATTTCCACGCTGTTACTTCAGGTTTTGGATGCATTTTTGGACGGATTAACAAACGAGGACACAGATAATTAACAACTTTTAAATGTTTTCCACTAAATGCAGAACTCAGAGGTAATAATGAATCACATAATGTCCCCGTTTAATACTAGCGGCACATAAATAAGATTTCCAATCATTGCTGGTGCAGATAAAAACATTCAGGCTGTCACTTTTCCAAAAGGTTCTACTGAATGAGAACTAATGTGTTGTAATTGATTTGAATGAAACCAATGAAGCTAATCCTACACTGCATTTTAGAACTGAGATTGCTCCGTTCATTCATGTTGCCTTTACGTAGGAACAAAATAGGGCTCATGGACACAGAGGCAGTAAGGAATCAACTCATCACTACCCCGACTGTGTGTGTTTACAGGAGGTGGGCTACTGCCAGGGCATGAGTCAGATCACAGCTCTGCTGCTGATCTACATGAATGAAGAGGACGCCTTCTGGGCTCTGGTCAAACTACTGTCTGGGCAGAAGCATGCCATGCATGGTAACACATCTAAACTCACTTTCATGGGCAAAGAAAAAAGCCCTTTATCTCTTGGAACATATTCTATTTTAACAGCCAATGTCCACTGGATGCAGCTGCTGGAGATCATCTGACGCCATTGTAGCTGATGTGTTAACACTTCAGGGCAGGTAACCGGAGCCTCTCACGCGTTGCTCTTTCCTCTGCTCTGATATATTAACACATCAGGTCTATTGTTGCTAGAGCAGCTCGTGTCTCTGAAGCTCAAAATTCACTGACTTAATATTCATATACATGTGATTTGTTACTGACCTTGGGTCAACAACACACAGATAAATTCAATGTTGATTCTTCACCTTGGGAACAGCAGCAGATAAAACAATATCAACACAAGGCCTATTAGTAGCTCTTCTAGTAGCATATCACCTGATATCATCTTCCTCAGCAGATGTTGTTTGCCAGGTTGAAATGAGAAAGCACATTTGAATATCCACAATACTAAAATCTGATCAAAACCCATCAACAGCTACTAATGAACCTTGTGAGGAGAGTGTCAAAGGACGTAGCGAGACAGAGGAATAGTATATGCAACAACTTTCCTGCCAGTATTTAGAAAATACTACATTGAAAACGGTCTTTACTATGCTTGTACAACACAAAATATATTTGCAAAATAACTGAAAATGTGGCTGCAGAAGAACAGGTGCTTCATGTGGATGAAGCAACGATGGAAACGTGGTGCGACCAAAACGCAACAGAGCTGCATCCAGTGAACATCGGTGGTGTGGCTCTATATATATATATATATATATATAACAGTATATTGGTAGGCACACAGTCCTCTGACCAAGTCCTAAATTTGACATTCATATCATACAAGACACTGATTTAAGGTATTAAACTGAAGCCTTGTGGGACCTTTGATGGTCTTGTCAAAGCATGTGATAAAATTATCAACAAAAAAAGACATCAGTGCGGAGAGCATGCTGCAGAAATAAGCTCATAAATCTCAGGCAACTGACACTAAAACCTCCACAAATGGCCTCTACACTCAGGAAATATGCATTATAGACTGTAAACATACAGACATACACACACACACACACACACACACACATACATACATGTTTTAAGAGACTATCACCCACTGGCCCTGACAGCCAGGAATATGTACAACCAACTAAGGAGAAGACTTACCGTCGGGCTGCAGAGCTCTTCCAGCTGCTGCCTGGATTACTGTCTGAATACTGCACGTAATTGCAGGGCAGGAGGATAAAAGACCTACTGCAAGCTAAGAGCTCAGTCAGCCCAGGTTAACCTGATCGTCCCTTCTGTTCTCACCTTTTTAGGGTTTTTTGTCCCCGGCTTCCCGAAGCTGATGCGTTTCCAGGAGCACCACGACCGCATCCTCAAGAAGTTGATGCCCAAACTGAAGCAACACCTGGTGAGACAAGGCAACACTGCTGTAGCGATTAATAATGCAACACGTGCTGAATAATGCAACAACTGCTCATAATAGCAGAAATAAAACTGTTGGATAATGTTATTACATTAAAACACTTCCTATATTTTCAGGAGCATTTCTTAACACCTTAACCTTTATCTTAAGGCATAAAAATGTGCTCAATATACTTGTGATATTTATGTTTCCTGTACATATAGAAGACAAACAAGCCTTAAGTCTAAACGATCTCAATGATACTACCTACTATCATCATCATCACCAAAGTTGAAGCTGCTTTTGTTGCTGTTAAAGAGTAATTGTTGACACATAAAACTGCCCTTTTCTGTTGGTTTTTTTCTGCTGCAGGATACCCAAGAGGTGTTTACAAGTCTCTACACCATGAAGTGGTTCTTCCAGTGCTTCCTCGACAGAGTGAGTACACTAACAGCAAGCTTGTCCCACAAATCTGCCGCTGTAGGTTTTTTTTATGGCCAGTGGAAACATTCCTTTGTTTAGACTTCCCATGGCCGGACATATTGAATGTTTAGTGTTAAGGGAGTCCCCCTGTGGCAAGAAAACCCTCATGTGACAAAAATCCCCCCCCAGACTGTACTGGAAGAATGTCCTCTGGTCGGCTATGAAAATAAAGGCATACTGGCCAGCAGCAACCAGGAAGAAAACAGCAACAAATCTGCACTAAAACAAAAGCAGTAACATCAGACTTTTAAAGGAGCAGTACGTAAGATTTAGTGGCATCTAGCAGTGAAGTAGGAGAAACTACAGTGGCCATAAAAGGGCCCTATATCTAGAGCCAGTGTTTGGTTTGTCCATTCTGGATATACATCAATAAATCAGTCTACAAGAAGCATGCTGGGAAACAATGAGAAGATCTTCTGACCATCTGTTCTATCTGTGTCCAGACTCCCTTCACACTCACCCTCAGAATCTGGGACATCTACATCTTGGAGGGTGAAAGATTGCTGCCCGCCATGTCCTACACCATCCTCAAACTGCACAAGAGTAAGAGTCTTTTACCTCCATACACTGATACCAGCTGGTGTCCACCTCTCAAGGTCTTATTTTAAGTTTATGTGGGATTTTACAGAGCACCTGATGAAGTTGTCCATGGAAGATCTGGTGGAGTTTCTGCAGGCGACCTTGTCCAAAGATTTCTACTTCGAGGACGACTTTGTGATCGAGCAGCTACAGGCGTCCATGACGGAGCTCAGGAGGGTGAAGCTGGATCTGCCCGCACCAGGTACAGAATGAAGCACACAGACAAAGTATAACCAGCTATAATACGAAAAAGGGACATTTCTGACTGTGATTTTGGTCCAACAGAACCACAGAGAGACAACTTTAAATCTTTATTTGCATTTTACTACAAATCAGATCTAAAATATTATGCAGTTTGTTATATTTTGTGCAGAACTGATCGTGTAAAGGAAGCCCTTTACCTGAGCTAAATCAATATGTATGAGTATTTTTTTGAATGTAGTATTAGGTTTTTAGTAAGAGGGGAAAATAATAATGAATGAAATAACATTTTTAATAATTGATTATCAAGCAAAAGGTAAACATTTACAGGTTTTTCTGTATTTAAATGATTCTAAACTGAACCGTTTTGGGGTTTTAACTATTGGTCAGACAAAAAGTCAAGCAATTTAAAGTCATAATGGGCAATTTTCAACACATTTCTGAGATTTTATAATAAGAAAAATAGAGAACAATCCTAAATTCTTGGAGAAAACATAGTTTTTTTACATAAATATATCAATTTTGTCATATAATATACTGATGTGGTCCCTCAAAAAGACCTAAAATCAGTGAAACGTTCCCCAGAAACACCCCAAGTTCAACTGACAGTGAAACAAATGCCCCTTCAGGTATTATGGCTTTTCACGAGACCGGTGCGTGTGTGCCGTGGCTTCCCGTTGTCCTTTTTAACTCGTAGCTGTATTAGCGATGGTAGGAGTGTGTTTTTCTAATCTTGCTCTGTCTCCTCATTAATCTGCCTTCTCTCCCTTCTTCTTTCAAACGATGTTAGCCAACAACAACAAAAGTGTGGCCGTGAGTGGGGGCCACATTCCCTCCTACAACAGTAACCGGTGGGCTATCCTGACTGGTCTTCCCTCTCTCTATGTCTCCGTCCATCTGTCCCTCAGTCCGTCCGTCCCGTCCTGTCTGTCTCCTGTCTGTCCCCGCAGCACTCCGGTTTTTCCTTCACAAACTAGTCTTCCAGCTGTTTTTATCCTCCACATTATTTTTTTTAGATAAGTTCAGCTTATTTGGAGTCTCGCAGTGGCTCTCCTCTTGTCTTCATATCTTCTCAAGTCTTTTTTTTAACGCTTTACTCCAATGAAGTGGTTGCAATTGTGATATTTCACCCCCTGTCTATTAAGAGCTTTAAAGTGACATAAATGCTCCCTCTGGTGGCCAACTAAAGGCACTGCATGATATTGTTTGTAACTGGAAACTTGTTTTTTTATCTTTTTTCTAGTCTATTTGGTAGCTAATCGTAGTATTTTGTACATGGACTATTTAAGATTAGTTTATTAATATATAAATATTATACTCTCCTAAATTAACCTGACTTTTCCAGTACAACTTGCAGCTCATAGTACAGAAGAAACAACTATAACTACACCTGTCCTCAACTGTCTTTTTCAGGTTCTTGTATATCATCTTCCTGCTGTATTTTAGTCAATAGTTTGTCCTCTAAAACAGCAGCAGCCGCTTTTGTTTTTAATTATAATTTATTTATTTTTTACTTTAATACTGTAGCTGAAGAAGGAACCAGAACTTTCCTTTCTTCCAGAGCCCACACAACTATAACAGTAGCTGTCTGTTCATTTCCCTGCCCCGCTGACAAGATAATGAGCCACTTTTCCAACACTGGAGGCTTTTGTTTAACTTCTGTTTTAACAACCATCTGCTACCACATTTGCTGGGGTATTTTTTTTAATCTGCATTTTTGTATCCGACGTGGTTGAACCGTGAGAAATGACAGTGGTTTTATGGCTCTGTAGTTTTGAACTTCACTGGGCCTAGTTTGACTTTAGAGACGGTCTCCTCTCACCACCGCAGTATAATTTACTCTGTGCAAACACCAGCTGGATGAATCGGATCTAGCGTTGGTATTCTCTCCTATGTCTTAATTAGTGGTTAAAAAAGAAAGGAATCCAGACTCTGACTTCCTATTTGTTTGTCACTAACCCCTACAAAAAGTTGCTGATATTCAGTATCAGTAAACGTAATCATTTTGTACCTTCAGGACAAGAGATAAGAAAAGGTGCTGCATGCTGAAAGCTTTAAACTACAACATTATATTACGAGCAAACAGACAATAACTCGACACACCTCCCCCCCCGAAGACTTTATGAATAACATCTTTTTATGTGAGTTTATGACCCTTAAACTCCAAAAAGCCTCCTTAAGATTTTATTTTCCTCAGACCTTTGTCAGCAAGGGAAAAGTGTCTACAACAGCATTTATACTATCATGGTGTGAATGCAGCTCTCTTTGTTTTACGGACTACACCGCGGATGCTATAAAACACCCCCCCCCTTCACTACACTTCCTCTTTCCAGCTGTGTGGAATAAAAATCATAGTAATAACTGCCGGCGGCTACCAATATGGTGGCCCTGAACGGCTTAGTCATGAAGTACAGAAGGTGGAGGACAAAATATAATTTGTTCAGGCTCAAACAATGCTTGTATACTTTAAAAGGAAGTTCACTTAAACCAGCCACAATGTGAAATTATTAAGTTTTTTTAGTTTAAAATAAAAAATTAGCATTAAATTCAGTAAGTGTATAATAATTATTTAATCAAAATGTAATGTCTTGCATGGGTTTTTAACATAAATTTTAAAATGTGTTAAAATGTTGCCTCTTTAGCCAATAAAATATGAAGACAAACATCTAAGTAGTATTTTGAGTTATAATTAATTATCTACAGTTGTTTTATAGTTAATGTAAATGGATAAACAATGAAATCATTTCTACGTGTGTGCTACATCATAAATGAAACGCCATGCTGCATATATTCAGGTTGTAGCAACAGGTTTTAAACATTAATTTAGACTAACATTTGTAGTTTAACTGTCTTTACTGCCAAATAAATTACAGCATCTCTTAGTAATATCTTAATGGACTATCATTACTACATCTAAAAATACATTCAGGAACTGTGACTAGGTTTACGTACCCCTGTTGTGGACGGGATAGTCTCCGGAAAGAAGACATGAAACTATTCATTTTTGATTACAAAGAGCGTTTTAAGAATATTTGTGAGTTTTCTTTTTACATAAACTGATGAGGGAACGCTGTGTGAGGAAGATGAGGTAGCTAAGGTTAGTTTCCCCCGGTTGATTTAACCCATTTGTACAGCAGAAGAAAAAAAGGCCAAGGTCGGTGGATAAACTCGTCATGGACAGACACTTTAGTTTGTGGATTCAGTGCCAGTAAGTTCACTTCCTGGATCAGTCCCACCGCACTTCATCTTCCTCCCGCTGCCGTCTCCTGACTGGTGATCACACTTTACTTTCCTTTACAGTCCCCCAACACCACCCAGCGTCACTTCCACTGTGTCTGTACTGTATATGTTCCTGTCAACTGTACTTTTTTTTTAAATTTCTTTTTTTGGACGTAAAGCAGTAAGATAAAGTATTAAATGTCATCATTTTTAACGTACTGGTTGTAGAATAGTAACAAGCTGAGTGGTGAGTCTAAGTGAAGAACTATTTCTGTGGCTTTTAATGCTTGTACTTACAAGTCTCAGTACATTTAACAAGGTTCATTAATCAAGAACTATTTCTGTATGACCTTTCGAGACTGGGGCTACTGCTGCAGCTAAGTACAGTTTAATGAAATGGAGTGAAACTCATAATTTCAGAGACCACTCAATTGAGTGTCACTTCCTAATTGAGCCCCTTGAGCGAGCTGGGAATTAATATCAAATACTATTTCTGATGTTTTTTTCTGTCCTCTGCTCTTTGCCTGTGGAGATGTGATTATGTGTCGTCATGAATGTAATTCTCCTTTATTTTTTTTACCTCTTTATGGCAGTGGTGTTGCATGAATCCATGTCCCTGTTGTGACTCCTCATCTGATGTGAATCAGCGCCACACAGTGTGTTACACCATCACCGTTCCCTTGTAGTTTCCTGGTGGTGTTCTAACGTGTCTCCACTGTCTTGATGTCGCAGGTAAAGAGGAAGAGTTTCCCAAGAAGCCTCTCGGGCAGCTTCCTCCTGAGCTGGCGGCAGCGGGGGCAAACCACGTGGCCAACGGTCAAAGCCACGCCGAGCCAGCCGAGCCTCCCAGGGACCCGAGTCCTGTACCGGACCGCCAGCGGGACAGTCGGCCCCCCAGCCGGACACGGCGGGACTCGCTTGAGAAACCGATCCGCCACCACAAGGCTGACAGGAGGGACGGCCGCTCCAGGGGATCGGGGGAGATCCCCAATGAGCCGCAAAGGCAGTCCACCTCCACCACGCCTGAGAGGCGAGAAACGCCGCCCTCAGCCGCCACCCCTACGTCACAGCTCAGCACCGTGGAAAGAAGGAAGCCTCAGAGCCACGCCACCGCCAACCACAACTCCAACGCAGCCTCCAGCTCTCACAGGGACATCACTCCCCGCTGGTTCAAACCCTCCGAGACAAAGCTGGAAGCAGCCAAAGCGGCGGCGGCCCGAGAGGTCCACCTGAGCCGAGGGCCATCGCCGGCCCCTTCCAGCCCGGAGGACAGTGCTCTGCCCCACCGCCGGCCCCGCTCCAAGGGCTTTATCCCCGGCTCCGACCGAGGCTCCAACGCCTCCCAGTACGATAACGTACCGGGGATGCCGGAGCAGAATTTTGAGATCCTTGAGCTTGAGAGACCTCCGTCCAGAATGAGGACCCCTCGCAGCGAGACACCCTTCAGTGTATCATCCTTCCCTCAGGGCAGCCCCGGCCGCGGACCCAGTCTGGCCGGGAGCGTCGTCTCTGTCTCGTCAGGCCCCAGGATGGCCAAACACACTCTTCCTCCTCCATTTTCTCACAACAGTCCAGCAGGAATCCAGGCCAGCTACCCTGGCAGCCAGAGCCAGTACCACACCCCCCACAGCAGCACTCCCCCGGCCGGCCTACAACCGAGGTCCCCATCTTCCATCCAGCCTACAGCGTGAGCCTGGACCGCAGAGGGGAGGACAGACTGTATCCGCCCTCCCGATTTACCCCACCCTCCACTGTGGCGTACGGGGAGCGAGCGTACGCCACCACGCAGCGGCAGACCAACAACCTTTCCCCAGAGAAAGCTCTCATGAACAACTCCTACACCACCTACCGCAGGCAGCCGCCACCTAACTCCTCCCAAAACCCCCGTAACGCCAGGCCTCCCCCGGAGCACCCCCTGCAGCTGGAAACCCAGGGGCGCTCCACCCCCATCTACCTGCAACAGCTCACCTCCACCGCACAGGTCTACGCCCCGATGGACTACAGGTTTGAGGGCCACCGGAGAGGTGAAGCAAACCTGCACTACCTGCCGGAGGGTGGGCCTCGGCGGCCCGTAGACGGGCTCCAGTGGGCGCCGGAGGACGAGCTGCCCCCTCAATCCCCAGGTGGGATGCCCCGCTCGCCCAGCTTCCAGCGAGCCCAAATGTCTCCAGTTCAGGAGTTCACTTTTCCACCCAACCCGGACAGCCTGCTTCACTACAGGACACAGCTCCAGGAGCAGCAGCAGCCTGTCCTAAGGCAACAGCTCCCCCAGCTGTTTGGAGGACCACACTACAGGCACGCACAGGAGGCGTTTGCCATGCAGGAGTCCATGCTGCTGTGACGGGGAAGAAGGAGAACAATGGCGAGACACTGTAAAAATAAAACAAACTGAGGTGTAGTCACTGACACTGTGGTAAAGACGAGCAGTTAGTCCTAGCTCTGTTAGGAACCTGGTTTTTGTTTCTGCTCTGATGTTCTTTATGTGTGAAGTACTGACCTTCTGACTGTCCCGCTGCATCGTAACGTTGCAGGACGCACCAGCCTCTGATGTTTTTACTGATCACTTTAAAAAAAAAAACGAGAGAAAGAAAAAAACAAACTGACTGAAGATTTTATTTTATTTTTGGATGTAAATCATTAACGAGAGGTGACAGTATATATCTTTTAGAGTCTGATATGTACAGTGGATTTGTTTTTTGTTAATATGAGCTGAGTTGTTATCAGTAGCAAAAACTCTGATTTATTTTCCCATCTTTATTTTTTTATATGTTACTTGCAGATATTTACACTTAGAGATCGATTTACTCTATAAATGCTTGTGAATGTTATTTTTCAAAAAGGAGAAGACATAATAAGGATGTCTGATGATAAAATTAGAAGCGCAGTACTGTACGTTTTTTGATTTTCCATTTCAATTTTGAAAGAAAGAGCTGGATTTGTTGTTTATTTTCTAGTTTTTAAACTTTCCAGCGATGATATTCCTTCCAGATTAACTGGTATGCAGTTAATTTCTCTTTAAAAAAAACGTGAAGTACAGTGAGTATTTACACATATTTGAGGCCAGTGTTATCTGTTAAATCCCAACCCCTAATTAGAGACTCAAGAAATAGAGAGCTAATTTGTGAGGGCTAATAATAATAATAATAATATATATGTTTTTATTTGTTCTGATTTGCTATGTAACCATTAGGTAACATGTTTTTTTTTTTAAATTGCTGTACTGTCGTTACCACATCTTAAGCACACGCTGCCAGAGATGTGGGCGTGAACTAGTTTCCGCTTTTACTTCATTACATCTTATTATTCTCAACACTGTCATATCAACTACTGTTCAGCTGTTTGCACTTCCACACACACACACACACACACACACACATACACATGTCAACATTTTAAAAATCAATCACATTCCCTGTTATTATTCCTCATACTCTGGTTTTGAAGCAGTTGCTCTCCAACAGTATTGCCGTACTGTTTCATTACATTCCCTAAGTTATCTTTGTTTTTTGTTAAACAACTAATTGCAGACCGTTCTGATACTTTGCTTAATAAAACAAGGTGGGGGTGAAAATTAATCTCTGGCTCTGTATTTTTTTTTACTTGCTGTAAATCTTTTTATTTATTTATTTCCACAGGGTTTTAATTCTGCTGCTTTGCCTTTTTCCCCCCACTAATAATGAAACTCTGCCCCCCAGTGGGGAACTGTAGCTGTAGAATAATGTTGCAAGGCCAAAAAGGAGATTTTTGGAATTGAGTTAGGATGCAGTACAGGCAGAATTTGGATAATCATAATGATTATAAGCCTCCAAACCTATTTTAATCCAACATTTGGTTCATTTTCTGGGGGTTTTACTCAAACTCTACTGCTGAAATAATGAGTCAATCCACAAAATAATCATTCATTTGATAATATATAGTCATTTAAGTCATTTCTCAAGCTATAATGTCAAACATTCGCTGGTTCCAGCTCCTCAGATGTGAGAATATGTTGCTTTTATTTTGTTTTAACCGTTTGTCAGACAAAACAAGCCATTTAAAAACAGCTTTTCTGGGACTTTTTTCACCATTTTCTGACATTTCATATACTAAACAATTACTTCATTATTAATTCACAATGTAAATCAGGAAGAAGCGGTAGTAGCACCCATATCGTTAAACCAAACTTGTCACACAAGGAAGGATATATTGGATTTTAAAGAGATATTTAGTTACGCTACTGACTTTCTTCCAATTAAATATTTTTTGCAGAAAACAGAACAGAATTATTACCAATTTGATAATTGATTAAATAACTTTTTACAGCAAAAATACCACATATTTCCTACTTTTAGCTTCTCAACTGTGCAGATTTTCATCTTCCATGTGTCTTCAGAAAATAAATTGATCATTTGGGGGGGGGGTCTGGACTATTGCCTGGACAAACACTGAAGAGATCAAAATTGGCTTTATGAAACTGTAATGTGCATTTTCTCACATTTTTCAAGACCAAATGATTAATAAGTTCATTAAAGTAAGTTAAATGCTGCTGCACACATTATAATAAGAGCGTGTAGGAAGCCTGATCAGTCGCCTGCTTGCATGCTGTTATTGTATTTTTCTGAATGAAATGAGCTGGAGACTGCTTCAGAGGAATGTCGTGTCAAGAGCTCTGCAGGAAGAGTAAACCCCGGGGAACAACAAAACCCTGCGTCTGATGCCTGCAAAGGATGTTTGTTGTCGGTGGTGTTAACACTCGTGAGTTCAATCGTGTTATTTTGGTCCAGTTGGGGGAAAAATCTGCATAAATATTAGAGGAAAGCTCAGAATAACTCGCTGGGATAAATCGCTGATTGAGATTAGGAGCTGAACGTATTAAATTGACTCAGTTAAACAAAAATTAATCTGTAACAACTCTGACAGTTAATATACATGTTCTGTAATTACTTGCAGCCCTACTGCTGCAAATTTAATTTAAAAATACTTCAATATTTGTAGTTATTGGTGGTATAAAAGTGTATAATAAAAGTTTTTTTCTCTGATTACAAAAACAAAAACTCAGCAATTACATGGTCGAATGATTTCAACCATTACTTCAACAACTTTTCTACATCTGTGAGGAACTGGCAGATCATATTGTTGTACATCCTCCTGATTTTCACCTCTCAGATTAACACAATCACGCCATCATGTGGCCACGCAGTAAAACTACAACCTCAAACATCAGATTAACAACATATATATATATATATATATTTATTATCTCAATTTAAACTCTTCAAATGTATCATTAAAATATCTTGCACACACATTTAATGATAATATGCATGTACAAAATAAATCCCTAAACTAACAATTATATTTATTATTTATTACTCCCTGGAAAGCGACCCGCAGTTTCTGTAGATATAATCGTCTTATTCTAAAGGTAACAAAAACTGTAATGATTCTTATATTCTGGTGATTTTGAACTATGGAAAACATACCTATGAATATTATATTCAATTCCTGACAATAGATCCTCCTAAATGTTACACACTGGACCTTTAAGTTGCATATTATTACCAATAATTAAACGGATAATTGCAAGAAATTGAAAGAAACCTAACTCATAATTTAATATCAGACAGGGAGTGTCACTGCTGTTGCCATCCTAAATCTATACAACAAACATGTTTCCATCTACATTAAAATACAAGTAAAGAAGCTTCTTATCCATAGACAATATTACAATGTTTCCTTTATCAATTAATCAGTCAGAAATGATGTAAAATAAGAGAAAATGGTGATAAATGTCCATCACAACCTCCTTAAACCTCTTTAAATAGATATTAAATTTACAGTTAAACGTCTGATTTATCTTCTCTCTGCCTTCCTAAACTCCATCAGATACAGTAATCCATTACAGTTACAGGGGGGGGAAGAAGTAATCAAATTACAGTTACATTAAGTAAAAATGGGGATTTAATTATTATTTTTTTACAATTTTAAAAAGCATCTCACATTTTTCATGCTAAAAGAATAGATTCAAAAAGAACATAAAACTATCTCAATTACAAGCTACTGTTGGCTCATCGTTAAGTTATGTAATATATAATATTTACAACCTTTTGATGCTTTACAAAGTGTTTTATTTACATTAAATAAGCCCAATGTTAACTAAGAGTTTCCGCGGGAGGAGAACCTAAATTATATTTATGCTTTTATTTCCAGGTATGTTGTTTCTAATTTTACCATTTTATATGAAAATATATTATTATATCCACATCCACAAAATATAAAGTTTCCAATTATACAGCCTCTTTTTTTTATTTTATTTTGAAAGAAAAATCAAACAATACAGTAAATTACTTTACTGTAAAAATAAGAAAGCAATCCAAACTTTAATTTACCTTGTATAATTGATTTAACTCATTTATTATTCCCGTCAGTCCATTGTTTGTTTATGTATTGTGTATGTTTACCTGTTTGTAAATAAAAACAAAAACAACCTGAATGTTATTACATACGCACATTGAAAAGTTGGATTACTTCAGCTCCAAATGTTTAAATGAAACCGAAAGAAATGTCAAAAAGAAGTGTTGATGCAAGTCTATTTTATAAGAAAACAGAACAATATGACCTCAATTTCTTGTATTTTGTGGTGTTTTATTGTGAAATTTATAGTTTATAGGACCTCAACTAAGTTCCAGAGTGGAAGTATTTTAATTAAATATTGCCTATCTGTACTTTTACATATACACATACTTGTAACTTTGACATTGTATTAAAGACCCAGATATTTTCTAACACATCTGTTTATCTTTTGTGTTGATCGTCTTCTTGCCCAGATAACATGCTGGACATCATTTCTACCAATGTGTAACCTATATAGGGTTTAACACTATACAAATACAAAGAGCAGCATTCATTCTCCATTAGCTTTATGAGTCCGCTATGTCATTAAACATCTTGAGTCCTCTGGGTGGTAACAGTGTATTTCCTGCTCCACACTGCAGCTTTTAAGGCACACGATGGCTCAACTTTGTGTCTTTAGCCTCAGCAGAAAGGGAATCCTCGTGGTGAAAGTCAACAATTCAAACAATCATTGTCATCTCGTAAGTTATTAATTATTCATTTTACTTGTAGCATAGCTCATACATTGGCTTTGGGGGACTGGTGTTAATTATTCCACCCCAGTGCACCCGTCAGGATAATCACTAGATCATTGCAGTGATCCAACATCAGTCCATCAGTCGTGGGCTTTTTCTGCTTTGTGGCTCCACACTGGTTTGCGTTTCTCTATGAAGGCCCGGATCCCCTCCTGTCCGTCTCTCAGAGCCAAGTTGTCAACCATCACCTTGGAGGCTGTGGCGTACGCTGCATCTCGACCTTGAGCCATTTGTCTTTGGAGGAAACAAAGGATTATTTAACGTGAGGAATCCTGATTATAATGGAGAATGGTTAGGAGAATATTTTGCCCTTAAAACATTCTAATAACTCCAGCTAACTCTTCTCTTAATCTTGACCTCTCAAGCATCCTTGGACCTTAAAGAACCTCGAGAACCACACGGAAAAAGGTGAAAAGTGTTTCTGTCTGTGGTCCGGAGAACTCTCACCTTTGGAAGGTGGCCTTGCCGATGGCTACAACAGGTCGGCTGGCCTGACAAACCCGCCGGGCGATGGCCAGTGTCTCCTCCTCCAGTCGCTCCTCTGGCACCACCTTACTGACCAGACCGTGCAGCAAAGCATCATGGGCTGAGATGGGAGTCCCTGTGAACAGCATCTCCATGGCAACCTGGTAAAAAACAATAAATAAGATAGTCATTTACACCTAAAAAATGATAAAATAGACGAGTGCTTTCTGCCGAAGTCCTCCCGGCGTTTATCTCCTACCTTCCTCGGCACAGCTCTGCCGATGGCCACCGCCGGCGTCGAGCAGAACAGACCCACGTTGACACCCGGGGTGGCAAAGGTGGACTTCTCCGTCGCCACGGCAATGTCACAGCTTGCAACAAGCTGGCAACCAGCCGCCGTGGCAACGCCATTCACCATGGCGATCACTGGAACAGGTATGTCCTGTACGAGAGTCATTATCTGAAAGCACAAAAGAGCCGAATGCACTCATAAATAGTCGATAAGAGGCGGTGACATCGACTAATGTAGTGTGTGAGAGAGAAAAAGAGGGAGGAAGAGAGAGAAAGAAAGAAAAGACAAACTAAGAAACTAACCTCTGAACAGGTGTGAAACACCTTCGTGTGATAGTCTCTGCCCTGAGTGGACGTCAGCTCCTTAAGGTCGTGTCCAGAGGAAAACACTGGACCTTTGGCTGACACACACACACAGACACACACACACATTATGAAGTTAAACTAATATAGCATCTTTCTCTCTCCATCACACACACTTCCAATAAATACCTACCTGATATGATGATAACCCTGAGATCATCACTGTCCACATCAGTTAGGATGTTTTCTCTGAGGGATTCCAGCATGGACAGAGACAGAGCATTCCTCTTCTTGGGATTGTTCAATATTATTCTCCTGGAAGAAGAGAAAAAGATGTCACATTAACATTTTAGAGTGGTGGCATTTTGAGTATTTGAGCAGAAGTTTCTCTAAAGTTTGTGTTTTGTCCTCTTTCACCAAACGTTGCTGTGACACTGTGCACAACCAATGCAGGAGCTGAATAAAAAGGTAAGAATGAACTGCAGTAGAGTCACTTTAACTCCGTACTGAGTGCTACAGACACTAGTAAATATTATCACTATCACAGGCTTAGTCCAAAGATTTAACACAACTTTACAATCTAACTTGTATAACCTGTTGCGCCAGAGATATTATGTCCCACTTCCTTGAATGTACCGTACATTGTGTAATGTAACAATGTCGTAATTTGCTTTAGCTGTTTATAAAGATATACATATAGTGCAATAAGAGTTTTACTAACTAACACAATACTTTTTATATCTAGGCATACAGACATTTATCTGGTGCTGTACCTGACTATTTTTATTTTGGGAGACTTTAAGATAATTCCTGCATTAGATACATTGCAGATTAAGACTATACACTTACCAAAAGTTTACATTAACTTGAAATGAATACACTAAAAAACATGCATTCACTATTTATACATTTTAATATACCAAAAAGGGAATTAAACCACATAAATACATCAAATTTTAATCTGTAACTAGTAATCATAGCTGTCAAATAATTAATGCTGCCCAAAATAAAGCTATATTATAAATAACAGAGAGTGGAATGGGCGTGTATTGTGTATTGTATTGTATTATTAAAGTAAATACACCTAATTAATTAGATTCAATTAAATAATTAGGATGTCTTTGACTGGATTAAAATAAAATAAAAAGGATGTAAAGTAATATAACAGTGGCAACCAGCAGACCCCCCCCTCAGTGCAGGTACCAGCTGTGTGCACCACGCTGTCTCTACCTGAGCGCACCTGAGAACAACAGTTCCGGGACGGACACATTTGGTTACTGCACCTTATCCCGTTGTCCTGCTGTCTCACGGTCAGCGGCTCCGGTTGAGTCTGAGAGTAGAGACGAGGTCCTGTCGTTCGTGTTGCTGTCCTGCTGAGCTGAAACACACCGACAGCGCTGCACAGCAACCTGCGAGCCATGTTCGATTCCCTGCGTCCTTTCACCTCCCCCCCAACTCTCACTTCCGGACGCGGTGACGTCAACACGTAGCCCGACGTAAGACCCAAACCTTTTTTGATATTTATTTTAGTTAAAATGTGAAAAATAAATAAATGTGAAATTTAAAATATACTTAGTGATAAATATATTTGTTATTAAATATATTTGTTACTATAAATTAGGTAGTATTCAATGTCACAGGGCTCAGGGGCTTAAGAGAGATTTATTTTTCCAATGTATTTTCTGTTGACACCGATTTAAAACCTGATAGTACTGCATCAAATATTATTTAAGTAACAAAAATCGCCTCTGATTTTGCTCATGGACTCGCCTGTGTTGGTAGGAATCCCCGGGTTTTAAAGGAGTTAAACGTTAACCACTGAGTTTGAACTGTAAAGGTTGGGTGTACTCTTTGGGTGAAAGGCCCACGGTGGTGGTGGTGGTGTTGACATTTAGCCGCGTGCTCGAAAGTAGGACATGGCCACCTGGGGATTCAACCCTGGACCTTTGTATCTCCACAGATGGAGACTTGCTGACTGCACACACCGTCTCAAAAACTGAGGCAATGACGACGTGCAAAACTGGGGTGTTTATGAATAAATGACACATCCATTTTGCTGATTTCAAGTGTATTTAAATACTTTTGATCAAACACTTGGTACAATAGAATTTATTCGGTACACAAAGACGATAATGTTGAGTTTTGTGTGAAAGGTAATGATTAAAATACATGTTTATTATGGAGGTTGTGGTCCACAGTGGTGTTGAACTGGACTGCATTATATTGAGAGATGTTTCCAGTGTTTAGGCCACCCAATTTACAGACCTGAGAACCTAAAGTACGACCAGATGACCCATCAACAAAGCATCCCCCTCTTTTCAGGAATCGGTAATAAGTTCCAATATATCCAAATAGACACAATAAATGAACACAACATATTCTAGTAACTATTTCTTCTTCCTCTCTGTCTTCTCCTCAGTGTCGCAGAACGCTGAGAGCTTCGAGGTGACGATGGCGCCCGCAGCAGACGGCGATATCTCTCTGAAGAGGCTGTGGGTCAGATTCGGGAACTTCTTCTCTTTATGCAATTTAAAACCTACTTGCGTGGTTGTAAATTAAACCATTTCAGCGGTTTTGAATGGATGTGAATGTATTTAGAGCTTTGTGATGATGAAATGTAAATGCACGGCCAACAACAAGACGTTCTCAGGCCAAAATGTGAGCTGACTCTTGCCCCTTAAGTTCATATGTTAACATTTGTGCCCCAAAAACATGAAGATAAAATGTTTAATGGCAAACTGAATTAGTCCACGTTTGTCATGGATGATGTGATTAAAAAATGACAAAAAAATATATATTTTAATTCCTGTTTCTAGATGCATTTTTAAAAAAGTATTTTCCTTTTAAATCTCAGCTGAACACACGTTGTCGTTATCCATCAGTATTATTAATGACCTCTTCTCTAATCTGAATTAATCAGCAGTTAGTTTCTGTGTTATAAGTCCACGGTTTTCTCATTATCATAGACGACGTTGCCTTTAATGACAACGTAACGGATTAGCTCCTGATGTCCCCCCAGCTGGTAAATCAGATGCTCCCATCTGCAATAAAACATAAAGCAGAGGCTCTGTTTTACACACAGATATTTCAGATAAACACACAAAGACATGCAGTTATCAAAGAGTGAATACTAAAGGTGTGTCGTTTGTAATGAAACACTGAGACAAGCTGGTGCTGTCGTGTCTACACCAACTATTATACGACATTAACACTGCTTATAGTTGAACCTTTATTTTAGTTGCTGAAGTCCCGTCAGTTGATTCTGCATGGTATATTATGTTTTATTTGTATGAGACATCCTATAACATTGTGTATCATTAAAAATATGTGTTCACATTCAACCTGGATGGCGAAACAATGATTAAAAAGTCATTTAAACACGTTGTAAAACAGCAATTTATGGTCAAACATAGGATGTCAGCAGCACAATGTTAATATTAAATTAACTTTGGGAACTTTTCTTAACATCATTTACATGACAAAAGAAAACCAGCTCTGTTTTGGATTGACTATATGATGTAAATGAGAAGTTTTCTTCAAACAAAATAGTTCTTCCACATTAACAGTAATGTGCTTTTATTGATAAAACATGAAACTGGAGGCGTCCTGTCTCCCTCATATCTCTCTCTTTTCTCCTAAAGTTGTAGCAATGCCATAAAATAATATTCAGCATGAAACCGTACCAGTGGTGGCAGATGTATATAAGTAAAAGAAGCAACACTGCATTGTAAATATACTGTAAAAGTCTTGTATTTCTAGAAGTAAGTGTTAAACTATTACCTATTATTGGATTATTATTACTGATACATTCGTGTGCGCAGTATTTTACTGTTGTAGGGTTAATATAATACCAATTTTAATCACCTTTTGCATGTACATATTTACCTTTTTAATCTGAAAAATAACTCTAGCTACCAGTACAAGTACAGTGCCTAAAAGTACTTGAGTAAATGTACCTTTCACCACCAAACCTGACAATAAACACACAAAGGTATCTCTCACAATAGAAATAAAATCCACAGATCCAGACACACACAAACAGGACAAAAGAATACTTTCTGTGTGTATAAATAATATTATTTACCGTGTGGCGTTGAGGACCAGCAGGTCTCCGTGTTTGTTGACCTCCAGGGAGCCGTGTGTGTGCGAGCGCCCGAGGGCGTAGGCTGCATTGATGGTGGCCGCGACCAAAGCCTCGGGCATGGACATCCTCATATTGACACAGGCCAGGTGCATGACTATCGGCTGAGGAAGGTGGACAGGACAAAGACGTGGGATGAGTTGTAACCATCATGCAACATTCCTCTGCTTTTCACCCTGACACCTCTCCCGTTGCACTCACCATGGAGCAGCAGTACGCGTTGGGGTTGAAGTCGCTGCCGAGGGCAACAATTACTCCAGCGTCCAACATGTCTCTGGCCCGAGGCTGGGGCAGCCTAACACACACACACAGATTATTAGACAACTCACAGCTATATGAGGGGTGAGTTCTTGTTAGTGTTACACAGATCAGAGATATACTAAAGCACTGTAAAAATACTCAGTATAATGAGGAAAATGCACTTTAAAGCAGGGTTTCTCAAACTTTTTTATGTCAACGTGCAATAGATGCACGTTAGACCACAGATCCCTAATTTGAGAGGATTTTATTCTTAAGGAAGGAGGAAGAGACCTCATTTTTACTTTAAGGTTTGAAGATTATAACGTCTTCACAGCAAATGATCAAACTGGAATCTAAAATATGATAAAAGTTCAATTATTATACTCCCCCTTTTGCTGGAGGCCCCCCATAACGCACTTGAGGAACCTGTGTTGGCCCCTGAAACCCAGAGCTTTAAAAGGGTTTGAATTAAAAGTATTGATACAGAACATTGGCTATATTCATATATACTAATATATTTTAAACTGCATTAAAATTATTAAAAGGAAAAGCAACAAATCCTCACATTTAGGAAGTTAGGAGGATATTTTTTCATAAGAAATTACTCAAACAATACATTTTGTACATGCTGTTCGGTAGTTTCATTGTAATTTAGTAACTAGTAACTCATTGAGCACAGTACTTGAGTAAATGTTACATTCAACCCCTAGTGTTACAGTACCGTAGGATGTAAGCTGTAGTCGGCAGGAGGACGGCAGCGGTTCTTGCTGTTGCCATGGCAGCGATCCCCTCGTCTGTGACCTCCTCCAGGTGACTGATGGCTAAAGCTCCGAGCTCGGCGCCCAGCTGACACACACACACACACACACACACACACACACACACACACACAGTGCTTTATATACCAAATAACTATTAAATATAAAATTCTGCAGTTTAACTGATAATGAAAATATCTGTTATTTGCTGCTCTCCTGTGTTAACCAACATTTCTGATGAATTCAAACATTTAGCAGCATCAAAAATATCCACTTAAAGACACCTTTGGCATTCAGAACTTTTTCCCAAATGATTATTTGATTAAAAAATATTAATTAAATAACAAATGATGTCCTATGTTCTGGATAAATTGCTCATTTAGGGTTGTTTCCTCCAGAAATCCCTCCCATTAATCCTGTTTACAGCTGAGGCCACGGAGCTGTGATGCTGTGATGTTTCTACAATGTATTTTATCCTCACTGACAGAAACATGGTGCACAAAATATTAGAGAAACAATACGTCATTTCCTTTGACCTCCAGGTGTCCAAACAACCAGTAAAGACAGTTCTTTAGGAGTACCTGGGCTGAGTTCATGGGATGAAGCTCATCTCCGTGGAAGTTGATGTTGAGGCCCATGTCTTTGCCGGCCTGCAGGATGGAGCGAGTGGAGCTCAGGTCAAACACTCCCTGCTCACAGAACACGTCGATGTTGTCGACTCTGAGACTCCCAGCAGACATCTGCTCTTTCAGCCGGGGCAGCTGAACCTGCAGGATGTCCTCTGTGGCTTCTGCAACCGTCTTCCCTCTGAAAGAAGGACAGAGAAGAATGGTAAAGATTAATTTACAGCAATGTGATGTGAACTGAGATCCCTTGAGCATACTTGGGCACTGCGTGGGCTCCGCAGTAGGTTGAGGAGATGTTGATGGGCAAGGTGCGTCGGGCCTCCTCGATCACCTCCAGCATCTTGAGCTCAGTCTGCAGCTCCAGGCCGTACCCGCTCTTACACTCCACCAGGGTGGTGCCTGCTCGCTGCATCCGGACCAGCCTGCTGCGGAGGGAGGCCAGCAGCTCCGAGGACCTGGCAGCTCGAGTGTGCTCCACCGTGAAGTGGATCCCTCCGCCGGCCCGGTGCACGTCCATGTAGGTGGCGCCCGCCAGCTGCAACACACATTTCATTGAACTTTAAGCCGCAGTTGTGAAAGTAGGGTTAAATAAAATAGTGAAAAATAGACTTACCTTCATTGCAAACTCATGCACTCTGTCACCAGCCCAGACTGGATGGGTGTGGGCATCAACCAACCCTGAAACAAGAAGCTTCTTGAAATGCTCATCTCTGATATTATATCCAAAAATACAACTTGCATGTTGGCTTGTGCTGAGCTGATAACCATAAAAACTCACCAGGCAGGACACACATTCCTGTAGCATCAATCACTTTATCAAAGGATGCTTCTGAATACTGCGCTCTGATGACTTCTGCAGGCCCCACAGCTTCAATCAGCCCATCACTGCATGAAGAAATGAGTTTTAAAGTAAACTAAATCAACGTACAGTAAAGGTTTTACAGTTTAGACTAATGGAAGGAGTCTGAGATGGTTTAAAATAGCCACACAGGATGATTTTGGTCTTTGATTGACTTTATTTGATAGAGGCAGCTGTAGAGGACTCAGCCTTTGTGCACACTCTACCAGATGAGCTCCCAGGCGCCCCAGAGGATAAACCTTTTTGTAACATGACATTTCCTCTAAGGCCACCCTCAGGACAAACTGCACGTTAAATAAATATTAGACAGATAGTATTAGAGTAAATGATCAGGAACCAAAGTATCCACCAATATTCAGTAGTGGGATGTAACGTGGTAAATATATACTCAACTACTGTACTTCAGTGTTATATCGCACTTTTTATTCCAATACATTTGTCTGATCGCTTCAGTTACTAGTAAGTAAAGGATTCGAATACTTATTAAGCTAAATTAACTGTTTAAAAACCCTTTTGAATTAGCTAGGAAATGCATCGTCACAAGGCTGAAAACAGGCTAGAGAAAGAATAAACTACAAATATATTAAATAGTTAAAATGAACATCTACAGCTGCAACATTCACATTAATGCAGCTGTAATATTAATCCAAAAACATCCTATACAATAATAAAACACTGGCTGGAACTACTTTACTGCACAATGTGTGATACAAACACTATATTAATAATACTGAATACTTTTTCCACCACTGCCAATATTTAAAACATACAATGTTAGAGAGTTAAAGTAAAAAGTGGTAATTAGTTGAATAATGACACATTAAAACACAATAAAATAACGCATCCTTAAAATACTTTAGTTTTCTGGTGTGTAATGAGTCACTACGGCCTGTAGGGGTCATCATTGTGCATTGTTTCACATGAGTCCAGTGCTGAAGGAAAATAAACCTTAACATGCAGATCAACCAGAGCTGTGCTGACATTAAATATGCAGGTATGAAGTACAGCTATATAAGAGATATAATGCTGGTTGAGTCACATTTCTTCTCTAACGCAAATTGTAACAAAGAAGTCTCCAGTTGTGATTGATTTGGTCTGCAGGTATGAAGCAATATCTGTCCAGTTGATCTTAAACTTACCTTCCTATGACTACGCTCCCATTTTCAACCACACACAGATTTTGCATCGCGTGTTTGGTCAGGTATTTCTCCCCATCGTTGCAGATCAGAACCACCTGTTTGGCGTTCTTCACCAGCAGTCTGTGATTACTGGACATTTTGATTCACCCAGAGCAGAGACACTTCAGAGTGAATGGTTTCTGACTGGTTTGGGAACAGGCAAATATTTGTCCAGGAGAGTTTAAAGTGCAGAGAGAGAGAGAGGCGGAGCTTTCGCCACACACACACACATCACAGACATTTGAGTGGATTTAAGGGGAATTTGCTCCTTTAATTAGATATCACACACAAAAAAACCCCCACAACAATCAGGTTTAAGAAAGTGTATAATCATTTATTGTGTCTGTATCACAACGTTACAACATAAAATGGGCTTCACATACAGTAAAAAAAAAAAAAAAAAAATCATTTTCAAAACTGCTTGAAAAACAACCAAAAGTTTCCCCCCAAAGAGTTCATTTGTTTCACATGGTGAAAACGCAAACACACATCAAACTCAACTACGAGGTACAGTCACACTCAGAACGACGGGCCGGATCACTCCCTCATCTCTCCGTCTTCTTCCTCCTCTTCTACGCCTCTGATGTACAAAACGTTATTGCACCTGTGGGTGAGAAACACACCTGTTAGCACACGGCTCAGTGCCACAACTGGCTGCGAGGGGGTGGGGGGGGAGAGACAGAAGCACGATGGGGTCGGGGGGTCATGTACAGCTCCTCTGATTCTTTTATATTACATGTTAATTATTAACACAGGTGAGTTTAGGTAGTTAGGAATCTTAAGGCTTGAGGCCAAAAGGATAACATTCACTAATCTACTAAAAACTAATCTGATTCTGCTTTTGAGCAGCCAGATGTTTGGACTTTGTTGTGTGATGTTTTAAAAGAAGCATTATTTGTTAAATAACATTATTTAACAGTAATAAGTCACTCCCTCCAGGTTTTGTTGCAGCCTAAAATGTGTGATTAAGCTGCAACTTTTCTAAAAATGTTAATGTTTTCCATCTTTTTTTGCAATGAAATTGTGAGAAAGTGACAATCAAAACATATTTGCAACTTATTCAAGTAGAAAACAATTGATTTTCAGTCCCTCCAGGACGTTGTGATTGCAACAATTAACCAATCTGACCTATTATTGTACTTTCCTGCATGAAAATGTCTCTTTTTCAGAATTTACAGGGATTGGTTGAACTTGTGTTAATTGTTGTAACATTGCAACTTCCTAGAGGGACTGATGAATGTAAAATGTAGGTATTCATTTTAAAAGAGGAGAGTCTACTGAGCTGGTTATGAGACGATGTTTTAGGTTAACAACGTACCTGATAAGCACTTCACCGAGATGCCCCGCCAATGCTCCATCCACATACTCTTCTGTGTTTGCCAGCTGTGAGGGAAACATGGGAGTATAAAAAAGGTCAAGACGCTGCACACGAGGGCGTTTGAGCACAGTTAAATTAAGATTAAAGATTAAATTAAATACAGAAGTTATACTGCAGAACAAAGGACGAACATGTGTCCACTCACACAGTCTACTCTACAAAAATGTGTAATAAACAGAAATAAAAACAGAATCTACAAAGCCATGTTGTCTCCGTGCAAGCAAGGATGACACATATCGGGGTTCGTGGAGCACGGCATACACTCAAGGCAGGAAATTAACTTTCTTCTGTCTAAAATCTACCAGTTACTTTCATATTTCACCAGGATTTGGCTGGTGGCTGATGCTAATTTCCCACCCTGCACACAGTACTATAAACTGCCCTCTGACCTGCATGTTCATGTATCCATCCACAGACACCAGGTAGCCCTTGTACTCCATACCCCACTTCAGTTTCACCATCACTGGCTTGCCTGTGAGGCCGTTCAGGAATGGCTTTGGGTTCAGAGGTAAACTCTGTGGAGACAAAGGATGAGGTTGGTTAACAGTGCATTAGATAATTGCATATGTGTGTATATTGTGACAGCATTTGCCAACATTATCTGGTTATTGTTCCAAAGAATGTTGTTCTTCTCTAAAAAAAAAAAAAAAAAACAAAGCCCATGCCAAATCTAATTTAAAAAACAAATGAAATAAACGTGGTTTAGCATTTTACCAACAAATGTCAAATGGAAATATTCATTAGATGACCTTATCTGATGTACAATGATACAATAATAAATTCGGCACTAAGCATTTTACCAGTTGGATTCAACAGTTCTCTTAAGAGCAGGTGTGTTTTGATGTTTGTCTGTAATGTAACGGTTAATGTGTTTCTGCCGTAAGGAGATTAGATCACTTTAAAGGCAGTATACACAATACATCCCTAAATTATACACACATTTTTGGCACCCTTTTGCTCATAGTGGATGTACGGCTTGCAGCAAACAGTAAATCAATAAGGAGGTGTAGAGCCCAGGCAACCCAAACAAGCAACAACGTATTTAAGCATGCGTTTGCTAAATTAGCGGATTTTTGAATGGAGTTTGGCGTAACTTTCTCTCTACATTAATCGGGCCAAACTCGGACCGGACGCGGCATAATTCCACTTTTACAAATGAAAGACTGCAATAAACTCACCGTGTTGCAGATAAGGTATAAATATTCTACATATTATACCGCCTGTGTGCGTGAATGTGAAGGATTCATTCATTCACTTGACGCTAAGTTACGAATGAGACGCTAACGCAGCTAATGCTAACTAGCGCGGCGAAAACGAAACAAAATCCCGCGAAACGTCGACGGAGCTGATCGTAAAACATTCACGACACACACTCACCATCTCTGTTGTTTTGTATACGCTGTCTGGGATTCAATAAACGTTATATTTATGTGTCTGTTCGTCACAATAACGTTTGTACTTCGCAAACCCAGAACACGCTTTACCGCCAAACAGGAAGTACAACCGTTTAACCTCGGAGGAGTCTTCAGGTTTTTTTTTTTTTTTTACTCACTGCCCCCTAGCGGTGAGAGGTTCACAGCGCAGCGGAATTCACTGTACTGGGGAGTAGTGTTTGAGTATGAAAATACTCCATTACAAGTAAAAGTCCTTACTTAAATTAAATCATGCTATAATCTGGATAAATGTTATTAAGTATTAAAAGTAAAAACAAGTTATTTTATTGTCATTTACAACAATTGTGCAACTTTTAGTCATAAAGAAAATAGTACTTTGTATGATGAACTGCATTTGGTTGGTTGACGTCGAGCATAATACTGCAACTAATGATTATTTCTATTATGTATTAATATGCTGATTATTTCTGTGATTAGTTGTTTGATTCTCTCTTTGTAATAAATTGGAAAATATAGTAAGAAATGCCCTTACAGTTACCCAGAGCCCAAAGTGACCTTCACAATACTCCAAAGCTCAGAATTATTCAATGTAAATTAAAATAATAGGAAATAATGAAGGAATAGCAGCAAATCCTCACATTAAGTAAGCTGGAACCGTGAAATGTTTGGCATTTTTATATCAAAAATTAATTAAATGTTTATCACGATAGTTGCCAATCGATTTATTGACTAATCCTTTAACTTCTAGCAACTAAAAGTAAGTCTGTGATCCAAAAGAGTGAGTTTAAAGTGACCATATATTACTTTAAGATCATAATAACATGTATTATTTTAAGATTTGCGATGTGATACACTGTAAGGTGAAGTCCAAAGTAAATTAAATCATATTTCTACTCTTTTGAAGCAGCATCACTGTCAATCTCTCTCTCTCTCTGCCCTGATTTGAACTACACTGTTTGTGCAACACCTGCTCCATAGACTTTAACGTGAATTATCCAGAAAACTCCTGACCTGTATAGGATTAAAAACTGAGATGACTGTCATATCTGGGCCACGCTGGCTCTCTGTCTGGGCAGCTATTTCACTCCAGGCGCAAACAGTCTGAAGGTTTCACTCTTTTTTCTTGCGCTTCAACTGTTACTAAAGTATCTGACAAGTTCAAACCTGATACTTTGAATAAAACTAACATCTAACTTCCTACAGTAAAGGGCTGGGTTCTGTCAGAAAATTCCTCTGAAATTGCACCAGAGCTTTTCTTGGCATGTTTGAAATACTCGTGTCCTTACATCATTAGCCTATTTTTCTTCCCTCTCCTTTTTGAGCTGCCCTCCGTGTAATTAACCAATCCGTCAGTCAGTCACCGTGTCAGTGATGGCATGATAACAATGTGTGTGTGGGTGTATACTGGGAGCAGGGGCAGGGCCAGAGAGGTGGCCAAAGGGATGGTGCTGGCCCCTCCTGGAACCTGATCCCCTTGTGTCCCACGTACCAGAGTCAGAGGGTGATAGGTAGGTGACTTGTTATGTCAGAGCCACTGTGTGAAGTGATCCAACAACCACAAAGAGACTGAAAATGACCACATAAAGATGCATAATGGTCAAAATGAGATGCCAAATAACCACAAAGAGACAAAAAACGACCACAAACAGAAGAAAAAGGACCAGAAAGAGATGTAAAACAACTACAAAGAGTCACAAAATGACAACCAAGATAGCAAAACAATCACAAAAAGACAAAAAGTGATTAGCAAGAGACAAACATTATCTCAAAGAGACACAAAACAATTACCAAGAGATGAAAAATGACCACAAAAAGATGCAAAATTGTTAAAATTAGATGCCAAACAACCATAAAGAGGCACAGAATGACCACAAAGAGACAGAAAACAACCACAAAAAGAAGAAAAAGGACCAGAAAGAGATATAAAACGACCACAAAGATACCAAAATAATCACAAAAAGACAAAAAGTGATCAGCAACAGACAGAAAACAACCACCAAGACACAAAAAATGATCACAATGATCAACAAGAGACGCAAATGATCTCTAAAAGACACAAAACAATCACAACGAGACACAAAACAATCACCAAGAGACAAAAATTGACCACAGATACAAAAAACGATTACCAAGAGACTAAGAATGACTACAAAGAGACAAAAGAACGACCCCACAGAGACACAAAACAACTACAGTGAGATATATAAAAAGAGAGTCTAGGTCTTGTCTTACAATCTGTCCATGTTTGTAGGCTAAAATAGCAGCTATTTATTTAAGTGTTACTTTTTAAAGTTATTTATCTGACATTAACTTATTGAGGATAATGTGACTATTAATAATGAAGCCTGTAGTTTACTATGGACAAGAACCAGCTGCCTTTAAATTTGAGTCTTATTCTCTCAGATTTTACAAACTCTTTCTGTTGGAGGAAGACGGCTTTGTTGGAGAGTGCAGTCGGATCATTCCAGTCTGATGCCAAACGGCCCTTTGAAGTCTGCACACAGCTGAGAGCTGCCCGGTGGAGCCCGAGAGACAGAAGTTAACACTGAATGGGCCTGTGGAGTGGATGAACTGCAGGAAGTGTAAAGCATGGGACTCACAAATCTCCCCAACTGTGTGCAAGAGTCCACTGTTTGACAACGCTAGCGGCATGACTGGGGGGATGGCGATGTCGGACCGAATTGAGAAATATCTCGACAACTATCAGACGGATTGCCGTGAAATTTGACAAAGACCTTCATGTCTCCCTCAGGATGGATTGTTGTAACTTTGGTGGTCCTCTGACTTTTCCTTTGGAGCCACCATCAGGCCAAATGCCTGCAAAACTGATGTAATTCCCATCAGCCTCAGAAGTTCTTTTTGTGTGGTGCTAATTAGTGAATTAGCATTACAGTGCAATGTAATGTTATTTTAACTCAAAACAGCTGTTAAAAGAGATTATACTGAACATTTTCAGTAACACAAACTCAATATTCTTGTTTAAGGAGCTTTTACGAGTCATTTTAAGTGACACTAACTTAGTTTATACAGTTAGTTACAGAAATATATTCGTGATTTGTTTTCACAGAACAAATAAAAATGACAAAATGAAGTCAGTGTCACTTAAAATCCCTAAAGCTACTTGATCAATAATGTTTTTAACTTTTTTTTTACCTAAAACTTTTTATGTAAGCAGTTTTTTGAGTTAAATTAACTTCCTCTAAGGGATAGAAAGCAACCTGGCTTAGGCTCTTCTTCTGCCAAACGGTAGCTAAGAAGATCGATACCACAGTCACGTCTGTACGCTGTAACACTACAGCCAGCAGGTGGTTATCTTAGCTTAGCATAAAGACTGGAAACAGGGGGAAGGTTTAAAAAGAGTTTAGGTCTCTGAGAAAGAGCAGTTTTCTCCTTCTCCGATGACTGAACCGGGACAGACAGAACAAAGTGAACAGGTGAGATAGTTTCATTTGGCTCGCTGCTTATTGCACACGGGTCAGATGCACAGAAAGCAGGTCATGGTCCGATTACACAGCAGACAGAGAAGCCAAAGCCATGCTGTGTTCAGTGGAGCTTGACCCAAAATGGGCCCGGAGCGGAAAGAACAGTTTTCCAACATCGGTTTTCCTTCCACGGATGCTTCTTCTTTTCTTTTTGGTACCATTACTGAGCACAGGGGGGCACACTGCAGCATGCTCTCATTGTCTCATGCTGTTCATTGCATGGGGGAAGTTTATCACCACCACAAACCGTCATTTTTAAAGCACAAAACCGCCCCAGTGTTCGTTTGTCGTATGCGAATGCCTCCAGCCCGTCCCTCTCTTCCTTTTATGGGCCATTAAGCAGCCATTGTCGGGAGTAGACGACCATGTGGAAAGCAGAACTGGAATTAAAAAGCTTGGAAGTTACTGGCTTGCATATTTCGCCGGTGGTCAACAAAGGCCGTGGCCCGGTTCAGGCCGAGCAACCAACCAATCGGTGTAATGCGAAGTGCGTCAGCAGCTCATCCAGCATCTTCTTTGTGTCCATCCAAAGCCAATTAGTCAGAAATGTGGATATGAGCACTCATTTACGCCCCATATCAGCTTTTCATCAGACTCCACGTGGTCTGTACGGGGGTTCCCAAACTTTGTACCCGTGGTATTAATATGATAGTTCTGGAAAGTACTTGAATATTTACTTGAATAATGAACCAAAGTCCCTCGAAAATGTACGTCTTTACATACCGAAGATCAATTTATTACATACAAATGACATAAAATACATAAAATAGTAGATTAAACTAATTTTTGGAAATATTTACAATTAAGAGACTGTATCACAAAGGGTAAATTCAGTCACAACAAGAATACATTGATGGAAGTTTTGGACCTACCTAGTATAACACACAGAGCAGCCATATTCTACAAGACATTTAATGGTATACGAGAAGATATGTGTAAAAATCTGAGGATCATTTGGCAGAAAGACCTAGGGTGTGATTTGAGTGAGGAGGATTGGTTAAATATCTTATCAAATACAGGGAAACACATGAGAGAGGCGAAGGGGAAATTTAGTCAGTACAATGTAATTCATAGATTTTATTTCACCCCTTCAAAACTACATATAATTAATAGGAAATAATTTATGTTGGAAGTGCCAGAGTGAAATAGGGACATTTTTACATGTAATTCGGGGAGAAAGTACTGGAACATGTGAGTAAATGTCTGGGTGTGGTGGTACCTGTATCACCAAGACTGTGTTTGTTAGGGAACAAAAATGTCAAATATATCTAAATATGAACGAGGGGTTTTAAAAGTTGAGATGGTCACAGCTGCTCGAACAATTCTCAGAGTATGGAATAGTACAGTCGCCCCAGATGTTAAAAAATGGATGGAAATGATGTCAGAAGTTGCATCATATGAACGCACGCTGGCGAGACTTAACAACGAAGAAGAACATTTTAGGAGGGCCGTATTTTTTTGTAGGTAGGGCATATGGAAAAATGTGTAGACATGGTGCTGAATGTATATTTTGGTTGTTACAAAAAAAAGGAAATGTCGATTTGCAGGAGGCCTTTGTATATGGGGTTGTATGCTGGATGTACTGTCTGTTGATGTTGGGGTCAGTGTTTGTTCTCGAGTTTGATTGTATGTTTAAGTGTGTATGAATAAATAAAAACTTTAATGACAAAAAAGCAAACAGTAGATTAAACTAATTTTTGGTACTTTGAGTATATTTTGGATACCTTTACTAGAGTAAGATACTGAATGCAGGACTGTAGGTTCGCTCCATTTTTCTCCCTACTAACCCAAATACAGACTTTTTTTGGGAGTAAAATCTCTAATTAGACACATTTAATCCTCTGTATCTGATAGCATTTCTAGAAAGTATCTTGTCTGACTCACTGAACTCCTCAGAAAGGCCCCCAGGGAGATCCCAGAGCCTCATGTTGAGAGCCCCCTACAGTGTGAGGAGGAGCAGGTGATTGAAGAATTACTCAGATCTTATACTGCAGGGAAGAAATACTCTGTTTCTTGTCTTAAAAATCAGTAAAAGTAGCATCAAAATATACGTAAAGTACCAAAAGTAGGACTAAAAGTGGACAGAAAGGCCCATTTCTGCCTAATGTATATTATAAAAGTGGATTATGATCATTGATGCATTCACGTGTTAATCACTTTAATGTTACATTTGATAAAGGTGGGGCTAATTTAGATTTTAAAAGATGGGAATGAGCCTCAACAGTCAACTACATTCAAGCCTCCAACCCAAAGCGTCTTTATATCTTTCTTGGCTCTGATTGGTTGTTTTCATCCAGGCCCGGTGGATTCCTGCAAAACCCCATTAGGAGCACCAGGAGGAGCCAGAGGCAGCAGATCTATTTGCACAGAGCATCTATCAGGATACAGTGAAAGTTAAAGCAAATATGACAAAAAGTTTATCACCTACTGCAGCTTTAAGTTGCCAAATAAATACAGCGAAGGAAACTTGCCTCTGAAATGAGGAGTGGCAGTATAAAGTAGCACAATACTGTAGTTCAAAACTTGAGTAAATGTACTTAAGTTACTTTCCCATCCCATGGCAGCTCTGCACAAACTGGAATGTTCCTTTAAGTCAGGGGGAGCAATGTGGAGGAGAGGCGGAGCTGCTGCTGTCACTACACCAGCTCTCTCTCTCTCTCTCTCTCTCTCTCTCTCTCTCTCTCTCTGTGCTCCCTTTAGAAATAGATGCGGAGGAGCGGAGGCAGAGCGGGGCAGCAGGGCGCACACTGTGGGGAAATGAAACACGCTGCAGGTCCCGAAGCAGCAGACGAGCTGGGCAGAGCCTCCTTCTCCTCCACTCTTCCTCTCCTCCCTCAGCGGGACATCACACACCGTCCGGGATCATGTTGTTTCCTCATGAGTTCTCATTATCGCCTTACTGGATCGCAGCTGAGTGAAAGAGAAAGTCCACACTGGATTTGAACCTACGCACTTGTCTTGTCCACCAACCAGCCAACCATCGTGGATGAGATCTTTGCATATAGTTGATGTTTGATTAACTGGATCCTTCTCCTCCCATCTGTGTTTGTTGGATTATTCCTTCCATAAGGAGATATGTTTGTTTTATGTCTTATCAGCCTGGCCGTGCTGTCAGAAGCAGGTTTGTGTTTTTATTTTTTATTTTTTTAAACATGAATGCATCCTATTGTCAGTAGTTATTGTCACTGGGGGCAACAATGTGCTGTCTCTTGCAGCAATGCAGAACTCGCCTGGGTTTTTAGGCAATTTAACACCTGACTGGAAGAGTTGTTACTTTGGATTTCTGACACATGAGCCCACATTTGTTAAAAAGTTTATAGTTTATTCAAACTCATAAACTAAATGGTTACACTCCAGTTTTCTTATTAACCTCAATCTGACACAGAACAGTAGGAGATATGTCTGAGGCTCATTGTTGTTCACTGCCACAGATTTGAATAGAAGTTTGGTATTAATAAAAAAAAAAAAATTCTTATGTATTTACATTTTAAATCAGTAGTTTTCCAAATTAGGCAAATCCAAGCTCCTGTAAAATGAAATATAGTTTAATTTAACATAATTTACAGCCTATTAATTTGCACAATGGGAGAATATCTATAAGTGATTACATAGTCTAAAGGTTTCAGTCTTTCTCCCATGACCTCCCCACCTACAGACAGTTATGTAATTCAGCATGAACTCCAGTCTATCAAAACAAAAACTCTCAGAAAAGCTTCCTCAGTGCAAATGTTCATTATTTCAGGCTCTTAACGTTTAATATGAGCGGGTCTGTGAGGCCAATGACATGAAAAACAAAAGAGAGCTCCAGGTTTTTTAGTAATAAATCCTTATTGGAAGATGACACTGTGGCCCTCTGGGGGGGTTGTAGAGCGTCTGGGGAGGCGTCTGAATGCGGCTCATCCTCCTCGAGCTGCCAAACTTTATCTGTGTTAGAGTCCACGCTGGCTGCAGTCCGCGGCAGGCAGGTGCACAATGCCTCTATTATCCCTTTTGCATAACATTTCCGATCGAGGTAAATCACTTGTGTACACACACACACAGACACACACACACACACACACACACACACACACTGTTAGTGTTGCTTATATTCAGGTGTGTCTGTTCCCTGAAAAATGGGCCAAAGTCCTAACATCTCCAAAAACCTGCTTTGAAGCATAATTTATAGGGTCAAAGTGGGGCACTGAATGCTGAATAACAAGACATTTTTATTGGTTAATTATTAGACATATGTCACAAAACTATTGGCTTAGATGGGAAAGTGTTCTTCTACTGTAATTTTTTGTTTAAATACAGCGTTTAAAAGGCTTAAAATCTGGTTAAAATCAGGTAGACGTAGTCCTCTTCTCCCTCTTTCTTCTATCCTATGACAGAAATAGTGTGTGATTTGGGTGAACTGACCCTTCAAGTTGAGGTATAGTATAGACTGCCACGCCTCGCCCTATCCACCTGATACCCACGCTTTCCCTCTTTTTTTCTTGTTTTCTCTAGAAAGCTGTTATGTCACCTCAGCCCATATTTGCCTAGTTCATGTGTAAACTCTTTCCCTCCCCTCCCCTGTCCATCCCTTCAGGTCTGTCGGTGGAAGTGTTTCGTGCAGGTGTGGCCCCTCGCTGTGAGAGCCGGGCCTGCAACCCTCGCATGGGTAACTTAGCCCTGGGCCGCCGGGTCCTGACGCAGACCGTGTGCGGCAACAACGGCACCGAGCTCTACTGCTCCTTCTCCGACCCCAACGCCAACCTGGCCTGCAGCGCCGCCAAGTGCGCCAAATGCAACGCCGGCCTTCCCCTCCTGTCCCACCTGGCCGGGGCCATGTCCGATTCCTCCTTCCGCCACCCCAACACCTGGTGGCAGTCAGCTGAGGGGGTGGAGTCTGAGACGGTGCAGCTGGACCTGGAGGCGGAGTTCTACTTCACGCATCTCATCATAGTGTTTCGCTCGCCGAGGCCTGCTGCCATGACCCTGGAGCGGTCGCAGGACTTTGGGAGAACGTGGAAGATGCTGCAGTACTACGCCGGCAACTGCAGCGCCGCCTTCGGCCTGGAGGAGGGAAAGGCGGGCGTGGGTCAGGACGGCGCCACCTGCACCTCCAAATACTCCGGGGCGTATCCGTGCAACCGCGGAGAGGTGAGCTGTGCATTTACATCAGACATTAAAGAACCAGTGTGTAGGATTTAGTGGCATCTAGTGGTGAAGTTGCAGATTGCAGCCCCTCGCCTCACTTTCCCATTCCAAGCTTGTACGTGAGACTACAGTGACCAAGTAATTATTCACGGAATTGCACAGATTACATATTCGGGTTATAAACTTGTTCCCGAAATAACAACTTTATAATGTTAATCCATGTTGAGGCTGTACAGCTGGTTGTGCTGCCCCCAAGTGGCCAAAAAAATCGATTATGGGTTGTTACTTAAATGGGAAAACATAATCAGAGAAATGTTGGGAGAAGAGGGGAAAGAAGTAGCAATCGTAACTACATGTAAAGTTACTACTCTTATAAGTTCAGCAGATTTAGTGTATCACGTATCGCGTATATCTCAGGTTACGTTGCCTTTTTCTCTAAACAATTCATGTTTACCCGCCGGCTTTGGATGATTAGATTTGTATCAAGTCTTGGTTGAATTCCCACCATTTCTCTCAATCCAAGCACAATCAGATGGCTGAGAGAGCAGGTTAACGCAGGTGGAAAGGAGGGCGGATACACACCTGCAGTGAAAACGCCGGAGGGGGGGAGAGTCTCCTGCTCAGCTTTTTTCTTCCCCTGTGAATGAATTGCTAACAATGCCATATAATACCTGCCAATGTATGACAGGTAAACCATGCTGCAGACTGATGCTCATGCTTTTCTAAACAAATGATTTAAAGAGCACCCTCTCCATCACTACCCCTCCCACTGGAACAAGTTCAGTTCTCTCTGTAGTAAGTCACGCAACATGCGAGGGTCATACGGCGTGGTTAGCACACTGAGCAGAATGAAAGCAGGGCGCAGCCAGGTGGGGGGAAGCTCTGCGAGTGTGTGTGTGTATGTGCATGAGTGAGTGTTTAATAGGCATACTTTGACTGTAGCACGAGAGGGCTTCCTGAAGTCCATTGATGTTTAATTGAAGCAGTGTGTGTCGGGAGCTGCTCTGCAGATGTGTGCGGAGGCGCATGCCAAGCGTGGTGCTGCTCCGGACTCCCTGCAGTGCTCTCATGTGTAACGTGCTTTTACGTCCTCTTTGACGGGCTCCTTCCAAGTATTCCTTCCAACTGTTGTGCATTTTTTCACTGCTGTATCATGAATCTTTCTCTATGTACTCTTTGTGTTTCTTTCTATGTATGAGTGAGTATGTTTATGGGCCTGTGCTTGTTAGAAAGGAACTGAAAAATGTGCCTTTTGGGCAGTTATTCCATGATTTCTCTCTCCGCCTTTTGTGCATGAAGGTGTGAAAATAGCATCCTTTCGTACGTCTCAGCCACCTGTGCTAGGAGCATGACCTTCGCCCTCTAACCCCTCAACTGGTGACCCACAGGTTAAAAGAGGTCAAGTAGAGCTCTGACAGACCAGCAGCTCAGCTGTTTTCTGCTTCTGTGTGTTTTTGTTGTGATTATACATCATCTATACTGACAGTTTAACGGTCTGTGGCCGATACAAGGCGATGACAACGAGGCCTTAAACTGTGCAGTATGTATGAATGTTTTACGACCTCACTTCCTCTGTGTTTCATGTATGAAGAGCGTCTATAAGCATGCACCAAATTATGAATTGTTATATATTAATTTCCCCAGACATCTATTCAGGTTGCCTGTAATTTAGTTTCAAGGTTTATTTATTGATTAATGACCACTGACAAATCATTGTTGCCACAAGGTCCATTTACTGGATTAGATCATCCTTCATCGGTGGATGCTCAGTTGTCTAGGCGGATGAATACGAACATGGAAATTAACCTCTAATTGCTAATCAGCATAATTAATGATAAATTTGTTGTTAAAGGTCCAGTGTGTAACATTTAGGAGGATCTATTGGCAGAAATGGATAGCACGGCTATGTTGAACCACCATGTTTCTACAGTAGCCCACAACGGACAAACCAAACACTGTCTCTACCTTTCGCATTTTTCACAAGTTTTACGGCAACCATAGTTTAAAAGCCTGTTCTAATTCCCAATTTGTCAAAAATACAGACAAGAGTGGTGTTCAGTTAGTGGCAATCTGCAACTTCACCACTAGATGCCACTAAATCCTACACACTGCAACTTCTAATTGAGATTAAAATGTTTCAGAAAACCAATAATTAATGTTTTTTTAAATAGAAATACAACTTACCATCACTTTGAATCACTTGAAATTAATTATTTTTCATAATATATAATAATTTTAATAATCTATCAAGCAAAAAGGCACAGAAATGCCTCATAGATGTGAGGATTTGCTGCTTTTCTCTGTTTATATAGTATTGTAAACTGATTTTGCATCGTTGTTTAGACAAAAGAGGGCTATGGACAGTTTATTCATTAATTGAAGAAGTCAACACATTAAACCAAAATGAAAATACTCTTTTACTTGCAGCCTTATGGTTATTTGCTGAATGAACTTGGATTGTCCTCCACTACTTAGTAAGACTAAATGTGTCAAAAACATATTTTTTCATAAGCAATATGTACTGAGATAGCATTTTTTTGAAGTGGGGTTGATTGAGGTACTTATCCATAATCAGTGTATTACCTACAGGAGACAGTGGTCGGCTCCAGGGGGCTGCAACCCCGCCCCCCCCAACAGTGTTGACTACTATCTACTGTGGATAAGTACCTTACACAACCCCACTTCAAAAAATCTGAACTATCCCCTTTTAAAACAAGTAAATAAGACGTATGACCTGACTGATAGCTTGATTTAAAGTTTGCCTGCGTGCATTTGTGTTGCTGAGCTGTTGGCTCAGGTTAACAGATGACGACGAAGGTTTTGGGGGTCGAACTGTAGCTTGGGGCGATGACTGGGAGCAGGTATTCTCAGCTTTCTGCCTCTCTTCTTTCTGCCCGCAAACATGAAAGCATGTCATCTCTTGCGCTGAAAGCTCTTCGTGTTCACCTGTAATGTGGGGAAAAGGTGGTGTGTGTGTGTGTGTGTGTGTGTGGTATGCAGGGCTCCTTGTCTTATTTATGAGGTCAGCCGGGCTGGAAGAATGTGAGTGTTTGTTGTAGAGACTGACCTCCTTAGGGAAGAGAGAAAGGCAGACTGGTCTACACACACACACACATGTTCTTTCTCTTTTCCACTGTTCCTCAAACACACACACACACACACACACACACACACACACACACACACACTTGTCTGTGCCCTTTCAGATAAACACATACAGTCGGCTCTCCGTCTGTCTGCTGGGAAGGAAGTGCCGTTGCTCTGATGGATGTTGGTACTGTTGGCTAGACACCCATCCCCCCTCTCTGTTTCCCTCTCCGTCTTTCTCCTTCCATCAATGCCCATTGTGCCTGTTTACCAGATTACAGTCCACAGTGCTTTGATGGAATTACGACTGTTAAAGCCAGACTTACTTTATTTTTCAGCCTGAAGTGGACACATGGCCCTCGGTGAACCCACTGCCTCAGGATGCAGCAAGACTAAATTAAAATGCAGCTCATTTTTGGCCTGAAATTTGGTACACATGTGAAAGCAGGTTTAAAACTTTGTCACTGCAACCTCCATAATTATACTAATGAATAATACCCTCCTCTCGGCAGTGACATTGAAAGAAGTTTAAATTAGCAGATGTTTTTCATTCTGCACTTTGTTACTGAGAATTCGGTTACAGTTAAAAGTTCCCTCTGAAGTTGTCTGGTAAATAAATGTCAGTATAAATGTTTATAGTTAGTGTTTCTCACCAAAACATATTGTGTGTTTCCCAGAGGCCCAACACATCCAATGAATGCATTTCCTTTCTCATGAAAACCTGCATCATTTAACAGTGTTTGCTATCTATCAGTCTTCTACTTTTACTTATGTGGAACTGTAGATCTTAGGAATATGTGTCGACGTGCTCGTTCACACACATTTGCATCAATTCGAGTGCTAGCATAACGCTGCTAGTGGTCAAAAACTCCACAGGGTGACTTCTCGGGCAATTCTCACAGAAAGAATTTTTAACTTTCCTTCCGCTCTGGTGAAGCTCCACAGACCTTCTGCTTTTTTATGCGGTGGACTTACTTAACAGCATGTGTAATGCAAATAGTTTTGCTTTGGGTGCTTTCTGGTTTATTGTTTGAGTTTTGGCAGACTCTGCAGGGAAATAAAATACATGAATCAATACATGAAAGCAATGCTGTTTTCTTCCTCCTCCATGGAGTCCAGTTGTTTTGTCCAGTAAATTTCAGTCAGCCTGGTGAAGATAGTTGTAGTGCTGTTCTAGTTGTCCGCTGGTTCTGTTGACATTGACTGCCAAACAGAGGTTGGAGTCTGGATCGGATAGATTTATGGTTTCCTATCGTATCTTGTTTTTCTTTGGTCCTCAGTTTCCTACTGATTTATTTACAAATGAAATATGCAGATTTTTACAAAAGAGCAGTTGATTGACACAGCGGTTTAATGTCCCTACACACAAAAGTTGTGTTTTCTGCTGCAAGAGGTCACTGTTTCTTATGATTTATAGTGAACGACATCCTCTTGCAACTTACAAAATTTGAAGCATAAAAGCATAAAACAACACAAATAAGATGCTGAATATGCACCAATCCGTTTAAAATGGTTGTAAAAGCAAGAGTTTGAGCTAAAAAAAATATTTAAATATTTTGTTATATTATAATTTTTTTTACATGAACACAGATAATTTCCTCCTCCTTTTCTTCATTATGCTTGGCCTTATAAAACCTGTCAAGGACTCTTGGGACGTCCCCAGACTTGCATCTATTCAGGGCTTAGATTAACATAAACATGGGTCTCATCAGCATATTTGCGAATACAAATATTTTATCTCCACATTCAAAGAAAAACTATTAGGCACAATTGTTTAATAAAAGCCCCATTTAGGCCTCTTGTTGAATTTTTGTCGTGTAAAGGAATGCACAACGCTGATGTTTCTGTGCATGCCAGTGTGGTTGTGTGTGTGCGCTGGTGTTGCTGTGGTGTCACCGGGCTGTCGCAGGCCTTTTGTGCGCCCCTGAGTTATGTGAAGCTGCATCTCCGTCCCCGTCTTTGTCTGGCCCTGCTCTCCGTGCTCTCCCGCGGACCGGCGCCCCTCGTCCTATTTGTCGTGTTCTCTTAATTGTGGACCACAATGCCGTGACCCTGTGACCTTTTCCAACAACAGGGAAATTAATAGTGCTCCTCCCATCACACTCTCGGCCAGTCATCCAGCCAATGAGGCAGCCGCATGGGGGCTTTTCTCGCATCCCAACCAAAGCTTCACGCAAAGAAAACACTCACTCACACACATAAACACACACTACTCATCCCATGATATCAATGACAGCCAGTGACAACACCACACACTTTGTAAAGAGACACACCACTACAAACACACACATTTCTTTCACAGCGAGAGTTGGGGCAGACACCAACTTTTTCACCCCAGCAGCGGTGTTGGTTGCTAATGGCAGTGGTAGCCATGGTGATGGCAGCCTATAAAGGGATCTTCGATTTGAAGGATGTCCAAGGACCAGGAGAGAGAGAGAGAGAGAGGGAGAGAGAGAGAGAGAGAGGGAGGGAGGGAGAGAGAGGGAGGGAGGGAGAGAGAGGGAGGGAGAGAGAGAGAGAGAGGGAGAGAGAGAGAGAGAGGGGGAGAGAGAGAGGGAGAGAGAGAGAGGGAGAGAGAGAGAGGGAGAGAGAGAGAGAGAGAGAGAGAGAGAGAGAGAGAGAGAGAGAGAGCACTCATTTAAGGACACCCAGCACCCTCATGGTCACGTGAGGATGTAGTCAATAACGACGGGCTGTAAGGTCATAGTTTAGTGCACAAATGATACCAAAACAAACCCCCATTAACATGACAGATGTAGTGACATGAGTAGCATCAATGAACCCAATTGTGTCGCTGAATGCGCCCGTCTAATCCCTCTAAATCATGAAGTGGGGCTGCAAGAGAGAACAGCGTCCCATCAGCTCTTTTAGGAAAACCATAAATACCCAAGCTCAACAAAACAGCTCCACCTTCTGAAGGGAGAACTAAGCATTTTTGAGTTTATACTGTATGTTCAAGATCCTTAAAAGGAGGAAATAAGACTGCAGGTTACTTGTCAGTCATCCCCTAACTTGACATCATGCATGTCCCAAAAATTGCTTCTCAGATCACAATGAGCCAAGTAAAAAATTAAGTCTATTTTTGTTATTTAACTCCCATAAATATCAGAAGGTAAAACAACTTCCATATGATTGATTCATTATGAAATGTGACAACAAACCCTCCTCTCTATTACACTGACCGGTTTGTTCCTCCCATCCTTCCATCCCTACCTCCGTCTATCAGTTTTCTTGTTGCTAATGAGCTCTCACTCTCTCTCTCTCTCTCCCTCTCTCTCTCCCTCTGTCTCTCTCTCTCTCTCTCTCCCTCTCTGACTAACAGGTGATCTACCGTACCCTCCCAAAGTGGGAGTCCCTGGATCCATTCGGGGCGGAGGGCCAGCAGCAGCTGAGGGTGACCAACATCCGAATCCGACTGCTGAAGCATCAGTCGTGTCCGTGCCAGGCCAAAGACGTCGCCGCTGCACACGAGGCTCTTCCCACCCGACACTTTGCCATCTACGACCTGATAGTGAAGGGAAGCTGCTTCTGTAACGGGCACGCCGAGCAATGTGTTCCTGCACCGGGATACCAGCCAATCAGAGACCGGACCAACCATGTGGTAAGAAGGAGAACAACTGATTGTACAAAGAGTGCATCAGAAATATTACTTGAACTCTTTTGGCAAAAACAAGCAGACAGACAACAGACAGGGTCATTGTGTAAAAAAGAAATACAAAAAAAGCTGGGTTACCAAGGTCTGTGGGTCCTTATGATCTGTCTATTCTGTTAGCTTTTGTACAGAAAATAATTAAAGTTTCAAATAAGATTTCCAGTTTTTCTAGTATTTTTCACATTTTTTAGTGCTGTATCTCAGGGAAACAGTTTCGTAACGCACATTTCCTGAACTATTTCTACCCATTTAAGGACAGTAGGTGACTCTTTACTCAGCCATTTCCCTGTTATACGCATTGGAAATGTATGTAGCAAAAAAAAGCAATAAGCTCATTTCAAGTCTCGATGCTGTGATACAAATGCACCGCTCTTGTTTTGACATACCGACAATACTTTCCATTCTTTCGAGTTCAACTTGTTTTGATGATTATCATGAAGTAATCACACCCCACGGGCATGCTTTTCACTTGTTCTACGGAAATTAAGATTATATGGCTTGATACATGCTGACTAAATGGCTCACTTTGTGTTGGCAGTCGTCGTAATAACAGACTCGAGGAGGAGGAGTGGTGTGGTGGGGGGGGGGGGGGATCACTTTTCTCTCTCCTGCTTCCTCTGTCCTTCTATCTGGTCGGATAAACAGCTGCCTTTCCGCTGATAACGAACCCTGAGAGATGTGGATATTGATTCAACTGAGGGTTAATGATGGCGTTGATGAAGGTGTGAGTCTGTGTTTTTCCTGGAGATCAACCACGAGTGTTGCAGAGCCGGGCTCCTATCACCGCCATCTCCACAAACAGAAACTCTGGATGACTTTGAAGCCCGAGCGCCTGTTCTGCTGCAATCAGCGAGGCTCGACGGGGAAAGTGAGAGTCAACAAGGAGCTTCCTTTGCGACTTATATAAGCAGACATTCACGCAGATAAACAATAGCACTACATCAATGTATACAGCAGTAAAGTCTGATAGGACAATATCTAAATTTGCCAGTATTCATTTTTCTACATAAAAACCCAACAAAGCCAACATTTTTTTATATAGATCTCTTGTTTTTTTTAAAGAATAACAACTGAAATGGACATTTTATAGTTGAAATATAAACTTACCAGTCCTTTCTGGTGGACAAACTATGTAAGGGCATCAAGCCTTAAACAAAATATGTCAATGTGATATATTTGTGATAAATATAAAAGGACAATACTGGCTTTATAAACAGGTAATTAGTAATTGTATTGAATTACATTTTAGTAGTAGTAGTAGTTTTTAGTGTTCCAGTGGGTTTTACAGCCTGACAAAAACAAGCTGCTTCAATACATTATGCTTCTACTTATCATCTCTTCCTATTCTGTTTCACATCCTATAAGTCATGAAGTACGTGAAACTTGCATTCTGATAAGCAGCTGAAAAGAAATCTCTTGTTTTATCCTGATATGAAACAGAGAGTTTGGTAATATACATGATGAATGAGCAAGATGATTCATGTGTTTTCGTTGCTGATAGCAGCATTTTTGTAACGAAGCTTATCGCCGAATTATTGGACAGTCTTTAAATCTTTAAATCTGACTATTTTCATGCCAAGAAATTCCAAGTAGCTCTACTGAGTGTTTTCATCAGGATTTCCTTCTTTTGAGGGTTGAAAGTCCTTTGAAACGAGGGCTGTAGAATTCCAGGATAATCATAATAATAGATCATTTTTAATCCTTCCTTGTGTGGATTATGACACCGAGTGCCTAATATTCATTTTTCATCACAAATATTAGTCTGACTGCACGCAGGACTTCAACTTTTGAACAGTAAATCCTTCTTAACTGTCTTCACAACATCACCTCGGGTCATCTGAGCGTCGCTCTGCTGTGTGCCGTGCAGGAGCGTTCGGTAAACACACAGTCGTTATGTAAGCGCCTTTTCCCGACTATCAGCAGCTTGTTTTGTGTCTCCGTTTCGACCCAGAGCCACCGTTTCCGGCAAAACCAAAACAAGCTGATCAGTAATCTCTGCCCTCATCTGCCATCTTGAGCTGTGCTGTCAGGGAAGGGATAGGAAGGGTGTGTGCCTGTGGTAGATGAAGGGTTCAGATCCTTTACTTAAGTAAAAGTAGCAGTACTACGCTGTGAAAATACTCTATTACAAGTAAAAGTCCTCCATTGAAAACCTGAAGTAAAAGAAAAAGTACTCATTGTTCCCTGTTTTTGGAGTAATATTACTGCTGCATTAATGTTTATGCTGCATTTTACTGCTGTAGATGTTTAAGGTTGAGCTAATTTTAACTACTTTAGGTGTATTAGATCGTCATATGTTTACAGTGTGGCTAATCTAAGAGGGTTTTTAAACAGTTTATTTAGTTTAAGAAGGAGGAAAAAATTCACAACCCTTAGAGGAACACTTCATCCTTCAGTTTATCAGAAAAATTCAAATTCAAAATGACCACATTTGGAGATGTATAATGTTCACTGGACAGGAAGGAGGGTGTAAAACTGTAATCTGAAAAAGTAACTAAAGTACCTTAAATCTGTACACTACTTGAGTAAATGTACTTAGTTACATCCAAACGTCCAGTGCAGCATTATATTACCTTCTGCTCATATTTGTGCATGTTCATATATGTCATGTTTGTTTGGTCTGCTGTGTGTTCGGTGTGTGCTTAAGTATGCAATGTTTTGTCTGCTCTGTGTGTGTGTGTGTGTGTGTGTGTGTGTGTGTGTGTGTGTGTGTGTGTGTGTGTGTGTGTGTGTGTGTGTGTGTGTGTGTGTGTGTGTGGTAATCCGCGGTGAAAGTGGCCCTCCTATTCATTACTGCCCAGACGCTGCGAGCGTAGACGAAAAGACCAGTGTGTTTATTGTTGTTGTTGTTTTTTATGCTCCTGTACCCCCCCCCCCCCCCACATGGGTGTTTTGCGGTTCAGGGTGATTACACTGTCTGTTAGTTAGCTACAAAGCCAACACACACACTCTCACACACACACACACACACACACACACATAATGACGTCCAGGCACAGCTACTGGAGCGTTAGCAGCAATTAGTCCAGTCGGTGTTTGTGTGTTTCACAGTCTATCTGCCTCTCTAACGCTCTTTCCTTTCACTGACATCTTCATTTAAAGAGGCACTTCAGCGATATACACATAAAGGTTTGTTTAATAGGCGTACAAGAGGAGTGTCACTCAGCCTGTAAAAAGCTGTTATGTAATGTCTTCTCTGGCTCTAAAGTCTGTGAAGCATCTACTCTTTTTAGAATCTGCCTCCCAACTATATGGAAGTGTAACACTAAATAATGATTAGATCTTATAGAAGATAAAATACACATAGCACGTAATGGCCAAGTGTCAGGGATGAGAAAACTTACTTACTGAGTTCACTATTGGGGTAAATTGTACAGTTTTAATATAATATGAAATATCTATAAAATATGTCATTTAGTCAGTTTACTAAATGACAGAAAATGGGTCCCTGAAGGAACAAAGCTGAGAACCACCGTACTACATAGTGGCACTAGAAGCAGGATTTAATGCTTTTATATATCTAATTTTATCACCTCCATAAGTCACCTTATTCGTTTAAATGATAAAAACACGATCTGACCCTCTAAAAAAAACATATTTCTGGCTCTACATCTGCATGTAATTATAAGTTTCTGATATAAAAGTGGTGGAATTTACAGATACTAACATGATCTATTAGCCATCAGCAGCTTCCAGAGATATATCTGTCAGCACTCGGCATTGCGCATCACTCCGCCTCCGCTGTGTCCTCCGTATGGCCGTATGGTTGCGTGCATGCAGCTCTCAGTGTGTACATGTGTTAATTGTCCCGTATCACGGTATGGTAAACATGTGAAATGGGTTGAAATACCAGCTGTCTGGACCCGAGCCAGCTGCCACCGCCACCGCTGCTGCTGCTGCCGGCCTGTTCCCCTTCTTCTCCTTCCTCCACGTCCGTTTCTTCTGTTTCCGTGCCCCTCGTTTCCCTCCCCTCTGAACTATTTCACTCATTTCATCAGGTCTCCTGCCTCCGATTTTGCCCGGACCTCCTCATTTATGCAATTGCTCCCCTTATTAGTGTGATTGAGATGGTGTAAAGTCAGTCATGTGTGTTCACTTCTACATTGCAGGGCTGATCTAGGGTCAGAGAACACGTTGGTTCTGGCTCTATTCTATAGCATGTGGATGTGTTTAACTCTGAGCTCAGGACTGTGTGTGTGTGTGTGTGTGTGTGTGTGTGTGTGTGTGTGTGTGTGTGTGTGTGTGTGTGTGTGTGTGTGTGTGTGTGTGTGTGTGAGAGAGAGAATCAGAGCCAATCAGGAGTTAGTGACACATCACACACCGTGGGAAACAAATGCAAGAAGTGGTGTGTGTTTTTGTGCATTTATCGTCATTTTCTACGTCTGTGTCAGTGTGTGTCTACCTCTGTAATCATTGTATAATTGTGTGTGTGTGTGTGTGTCCTACATTACAGTTGCACGGTGTAACACAAACAAATAAAGAGCTTCCTTAGATGCCTTGTCCCCCCCTCCCTCCTTCAATTATTATCCAGCATGCATGGCATTCCAGCTCACAGGAATGACAAGGAGATTGTTATTGTGCTCTCAGCACTGCATACTTGCACTCATACACACACACACACGTAAACACACACACACACACACACACACACACACACACACACACACACACACAGGCTTTTCAGACCAGGGGCCCGTTCCTGTTTCCAGTGATGAAGCCAAACAATCAATCTCCATTCACTAATTCCAGGCGAGGGAGTACGAGCAAGACTGGGAGAGAGATGTGAGAGCGAGAGGAAGTAAGGAAATCAGAGGAAATGGAGAAGCCAAAGAGAAAGAGGGGAAAGGCAGAGAGTCGTAGGAAAGGACAGAAATCGAGAGAGCTCGAGAGGAAGAGTGGAGTCAAGTCCAACGGGCTTGTCCACACGTGGGAAAGTCTCCTCTCCATCACACTGACCTCTTTGTTCCTCCCATCCTTCCATCCCTACCTCCGTCTATCATTTTTCTTGTTGCTAATGAGCTCTCTCTCTCTCTCTCTCTCTCTCTCTCTCTCTCTCTCTCTCTCTCTCTCTCTCTCTCTCTCTCTCTCTCTCTCTCAGGTCCATGGGAAGTGTGTGTGCAGACACAACACTGCAGGTGATCACTGCGAGCGTTGCGCTCCTCTCTACAACGACCGACCATGGCAGCCCGCCGACGGACTGACGGGGGCTCCGCACGAATGTCGGAGTGAGTCGCACAAACGCAGTCGCACCTTTTCTACGACAGGAACTTATGTAGCTTAATGTAGCACGTGGCCATCATCACTAGTCCCGCTTCCTTGGGTAAAAGTTCCAGTCTGTAGTATTTAGTGGTGTAGGAGAAACACAAGTCCCTATCTAGAGCCAAGATGGACCCGCTCCCTCTGTAGTTAAAAACAGCTCATTCTAAGGTAACGAAAACACAATTCCTACATTCAGGTGATTATACACTAATAAAAACATACCTATGAATATTATATTTAATTTAGGCCTGGAACAAACAGCTAAACAGTAATCTCTACTTACTACTGCAAGTGCGAAGTAGCTGTAAATTCTGGAAATTTGGGAGAATAAAACAAGATACAACAATCATATTTCAGTCTAAAGCCACTGTTCCTCCTCGTTGCTGATGTGTCCATTTCCTCCCTCTCACTTCCAGAGTGTAAGTGCAACGGACACGCTCAGAGCTGCCATTTTGATTGGACGGCGTGGCGCGAGTCTGGCCAGCGCAGCGGAGGCGTGTGCGACTGTCTGCACAACACCGAAGGACGCCAGTGTCAGAAATGTAAGGCCGGCTTCCACAGAGACCCCCAGCGACCGCACACCACCCCCGACTCCTGCAAACGTAAGATATACACGCATACACACCACTTACACTTGTATTTAAAGTACCAATTTAAAATCTTTTCCCAATTATTTCATCCTCTTTAATGAAGCAAACAAGAATCAAATAATAGAAACACACCTGGAGCGATGCTAAAGAGTGTAAGAGAGTATCCTTGACTTCATGTGACAGAGAGCAGCAGGGATTATGGGAAATGTGGTATTAATTTGAGTAATTGTAGGTGCCACTGATGTCAAACATGGTATTTATGGTAATTGTAGCAAGCTATAACAGTTAATTGATAACAGTTAGAGGTGTAGTCTAGTAGTAAGTAGTGAATTTACCAACTTTTACAGATTTTTCAATGAGATTTTTATTATTTTCTATTCAAATTGTCAATAAAAACTCTGAAAGCCAGACTGGTGAAACCTTTATAGACTTGATAACATCTGTAAATGCATGTGAATGCAAACAGGCAGGGTTATGTTTCATAGCAGATGTATGTAAAATCCTCATGAAGCCGAACTACGCCGCCGTTGACGGTGATATTTTGATGTCAGGAATATTTTAATATCACAGTTTAGCGTAAAGCTTAAGCAAAATGAATCCTCAGTGAGCGGCTGTTGCTCAATTTGACCTCAAACTGTTACCATACCCTGACTTATTTTGGCAAACTGACACCGTAAAGCTGCGACGTGTAGAACAACACTGTAAAATGCCATAAAGCATCATTCATAATACCAGCATTGACACAACGTTGCTGGTGTGAATCACAACATTAACCTCATACACACCACACTGGCACGCCGGCCCTGTTCTCGCAAGGAATGCTGAGGACTGAGATCGCAAGCCAGGGCGTGCTCCATAACGCTGATTTCTGATGGGCGCCTGGCTCTGTGTGTGTGTGTGTGTGTGTGTGTGTGCAGACGGCCCATGCTCCATCCAAGATTCACCATAGTTAATCATCAGATAGTGTCATTCCTACGTCTTGACTCAAGGCTCTACACACAACCCCGTCTTGTCCATCTCGGCTTGTTATGCCATTTTTCATGTGTGACTCAGAGCACGAGTAGCCTCAGGGTAATCACTGGTAGTAGCTGTAAATGTGTGAGGGTCCTCTCTCTCTCTCTGTGTGTGTGTGTGTGTGTGTGTGTGTGTGTGTGTGTGTGTGTGTGTGTGTGTCTGGGCTGAGCGGCGTGCTGCCCTCCGGCGATGAGACGAGTCTTAAGTAAACACGCGATAGTCATCCATAAACAGAGCGGTGGCTACATTCTCCCTCTGATTATCTGTCAGATTTGACCCAGTGAGCTCAGTCCTGCAGGTATGCTGGACTCACATGATTACTGGAGTGTGTGTGTGTGTGTGTGTGTGTGTGTGTGTGGGTGTGTGTGTGTGTGTGTGTGGGTGTGTGTGTTCACGTACATACTGCATTTAAAACAACTGTCAAATTGCACCAGACCATTCAGAAACATCTGGGTGGAGAATATGTTGGCTTTCAGCCTAATTGAATCACTCATTGCTTGCGTGTGTCCTGTATGTTTTATTTATTTATTTTATGATATCAGGAGAGCCATTAATATTTTTTATCTTGTTTTTACTGCTGCTGTTGCCTAAACAAAATTTTGTTGCATGCCTATGATGAAAATAGTAGTATTATAACAGAAATACAAACTTTTTTTAAAAACGTTTTTAACCTCCTCAACCCCCACTATTAACCCCTACAGCCCCACAAACTAATAGATGATACAAAAATAACAATAAAAAGGTGTAAAATAAAGATAAACATCAGCAACCATCTTAGTTTAGCATGATTAGCATTTGCTAATAAGCAATATAGGCAAAGTACAGCTGCAGCCGATGGGAATGTGATTGGTTTAGCAGTTATTCTGTAAAATATTGGACAAATTGAACCTGATGGTGGCGCTAGACGTAAAGCCCGGGGATCCCCAAAGTTATTAGAATTGATACTGAGGGGGACATGAATGTGTGGACCACATTTAATGTGAATTAATTTAATAATTCTTGACATATTTCACTACAAAACAACATGCCCACTTAAGTATCAGCGTGTTGTCAGTTGGCATGCTGACATTAGCTCACATTACAGCCTCTCAGAGCCGGCTGCAGACTCTTAGTCTAGTTTTACACCATAAATCTTCAACTTTGTCACCGTCGTATAGCGTGTGTGCCGATCTCTCGTGACAGTATCGGAATAAATCATCTGATGGATCTTACCGGGAAACTTATAGTTGATGAATTGCATTTGGACGGTGTTCGCAGCGGAGGAATGCCAACATGATACAGCCATTAAGTTTTAGGTGTGTTGGCATCTCTGATAAGGTCACAGATATTTAAAGCAGATGTGTTTATAAGGTTTCTGATTGGGTTGGGTGTCTGAAAACTCACCTGTGTGCTAACTATGGAGGCTCGAGGGCTGATGATCCTCGCTTGCGGCTGATTGCTCGGAGAACCCCCTTCAGACGAACAGGTACAGGTTGTGAAATCCCGCTGCAGCCGCTTGCTGACAATGGAGGAATTTCCCTCCGTCGTGAGGAACATTTTTTTCATACCAGGCTCCAAGGGGCCCGGGAAAGAAAACACCCTTGTCAAGCTCGTACACACCAAAACACTTTAGTGGAGGTAGGGGGGAAAGTTACAGTGTGTGTTTTATATATATATATATATATATATATGTGTGTGTGGGGAGATTGTTGGTCGCTCAGGCAGGTGTCTTGTCATGTCTCAGCACACACACACACACACACACACACACACACTCGTGAGGCTTTCATTGTCAGAGCTCCTGCAGCTGACAGCTATCTTAGATACACACACACACACACACACACACACACACACACACACACACACACACACATATATATTTACACACAGTAAGTCCTTGTGTAGTGACCCCGTTTCAAAATGCTCATAAATTCTCACACAGATATGTAAACACACTCACCAAGCACATCGCCGCACGTGTTTGGGCTTTGCGTGGAAACCGAGGTGGTGCCGTAAACCCCGGTTGATTATTAACGCGGAGGCCGCTCACTAAACAATAGTGAAGATAGGGCCCTGATAGGCGCACGCTCAAAAACACACAGAAAATTAAAATCTTGTCACACAGCGGCTGTTATATGACAATCATTTCTACGTCTTGTGTGCTCGTGCGCATGCTCACATCTGTAGGTGTGATATCTTTATGATTTTATGGATATTGCACCATTTGCTCTTACGATAAGGTTTATCTTATCTTTGTTGTCCCGGGTGATTCGTCTGATAAACCGTCTGGCTCGGAGCTCAGGAAAAGATTGATGTGACAGCATTCTCACAGGTCGGAGACACCGCTGTGCTTCATCCGCGAGTAACGTGTCATTCTTGCTCCCTTTGGAAGTTATTTTCATACACGTTCCAGAGGTTTTAAGAGAACCCTTTAACCCCCAACTAACCCTGCACACCCGCTACTCATGTTTTATTTGGGTAATATATGTAGGAAAGAATAAAAAAGGAATGATTTAAACATTAGACGGCAAACCGGATCTCAATGTAGGTTCTCTGAGGAATTACAGACCCTGATGTGATGCATCCAATTTCTTTACTTCATGCAGCATGGAGAGAAGACCTCAGCAACTCCAAGTGGGAATCACATGTCAGCGTCTCAGGCCTTCCTCAGTACAATGGTCCTTAAATGTTACAGTTTAACTCTGTAGTTGACTGTCAGCAGATTCTCATCTGACTTCCTCATCACCATGGTGGCATCCCCAAACCAATACATTGATTACTAACACTTCCATGTTCATTAACCACAATCATGTTGGTGGATGAGAGCGGGATGATGAAGTTTGGTGAGGCCAGAAGAGATCGGAAGTATTTAAACTTTTTTCCATCCTCCGTTGATGGTATTTGGTAAATGGAGTGTATTTATACAGAGCTTTTCTAATCTTTCTGATCACTCAAAGCGCTGTACACACACATTCACCCACATGCTGATGAAAGGGCATCATCAGGAGCAATTTAGGGTTCAGTATCTTGCTCAACGACACTTCGACGTGCAGCTGGAGGAGCCGGGGATCGAACCACCAACCTTCTGATTAGTGGACAACCTGCTTTACCTCTGAGCAACAGCTGCCCCCCAAAAACGGATGTTACAAAGCATAGCACATAGTAATAATTCATAAATTACATAAAATAACATCACAAAATGTACCATATTTTTACCATCTGAATGCAGCATAACAATTATTGTCATCGATGATTAATCTGTTCATAAAATATCAGAAAATAATGACAAAAGTTACCATAATGTTTATTTCCTGGTTTCAGGTGTCTGAAACACAAAGATATTTAATGTACACTGATGTAATGGAGCAAGTCCTCTCGTTTCAGAAGCTACAAACTGTGAATATTTGGTATTTTTTGCTTGATAAACGATTCCAATTATTACCTGATGATTAACATGCTTGTCCATTTATTTTCTGTTGAGTGACTCATCAGTTAATCAGCAGATTGTTTTATTATCACTTAAATGTCTTATTTTGTTCAACCAACAGTCCAAAACAACTTTTTTTTTGCAGACACGCACTCTAAACAATCCCGTTAATGTTTTATCATCAAATTATTATTACCACTAATTATCTATTTCCAAACACAGTCTGTCATAAGTTAGGACAACAGTGTATTTGTCCTCAGGCTGTAAAGATGAGAGTGTTATAGAGCGTTTTAATCATTAATCAATCGATTTGTAAAACATTAACAGAGTTCCCACGCGCCCTGGAAAATCGGGAAAACCTGGACATTTAGAGACTAGTTTTCCAGTCACGGAAATTGATTAAAATGACCAAATATCCTGTAAAATAAGCACCTAGCAGTCTGTTTTGGAAGTGCTGCAGACGGTCACATCTACGTGCATACAGCCTGTTATAAATAATAAACTCACATGTGTTGTTATGGTTGATAAGTGATAAGGTAATTGTACTTGCAAGGAACACTTACACTGTCTATCTCTTCTTTTCATAGATTAATAAAGACATAAAATAAATTCTATTTGATTTGAACTGGTATTTAATCTCCGGGAAAATCGAGTGTCCCATAAACGCTGGCCACCATTTGGGAGCAAGTGTTGTCAAGAAAAACTCCTGGAAAATATCCTGGAAAAGTCCTGGAAAATGATTTCTTACAAAGAATGGGAACTCGGATTAAAATAGGCTTGAAAAGTGTCATTATCATTATCATTATCTCTTCTTGGCAGTACTTCAAATTGAATACGTTGTTATTATATTATACATTTTACAGTGTTTGCTATTCCTTGTGCAGAAGGCAGTGCATGGACACGTTTAATTGAGTGACATTACTGTATCACCACGCTGAAAAATATCTTTTAGAGGTTTTTCTGTTGTCCTCAGAGCGCTCAGAAAAAGGGAAATTCTGCAATTTCATGACTCGTGTGATACAATCAACCTCGTGGTGAGACTGTTGTTGTCAAATCCCGTTTCCAAGGTCAAGATTTAACTTTCATTCTCGGCCTCAGGGGTGTTGTTAAGAAAGCGTGCAATCTTGTTTACAGTCGACCGTGTGAGCAGCCACGTGAATTTACCATCACAGAGAAAAACCAAACCTCACGAACTACAACTCAAACACCAAATTAATAGTTTTAAGAAGAGAAGAGGGGGGGCGCAGGGAGACAGGGGGTGTACAGTAAGTAGTCAGATTCATTTACTGCCAGTCAAGCTTCAAGCATCATTAAACAGCAGAGAAATGGCTCCAAACAACGCCCCCCGCTTTGTTTCTCTCTCCTCGTCTTCTGCCTCTCCTTCACCACCACCACCCTCTCTACCCTCCCTCCCTCCACTAAGATAGGGACAGATTTATGGGAAGAGGGGGTGGGGGGGAGGCCTGACACCTCCTCCTGTAAAAAAACCCGGGGTCTCAGTGTTGATAACAGCAGAAAGGCAGCAGACAGTCGTTTTCTCAGACTACCAGTGGAAACATGTGGGTGTGTGTGCAAGTATATTGTTTTTGGAGGTTGTTTAAAGAACACCCTATCAGCACACAATTAGAGGGGACATGAGGGAGTGTGTGTGTGTGTGTGTGTGTGTGTGTGTGTGTGTGTGTGTGTGTGTGTGTGTGTGTGTGTGTGATAAGAAAAAGAGAGAGTCCTTTGTATTACAAGCTCCTGCAACAATACCAGACAGACAAATAGAACAAGTGATGAATGATGAAATACTTAAGTCCTGTTAATAAATTATAGTTTAAAGGTCAGCAAACTGTCATCTTAAAAAGACCTTTAGACCCTCGATGATGCCCCCCCGTGTGGCTTTCTTTTTAGCAGCTTTTATTGTTTTCTTTCTTTTAAAACATAAATATGTATATACTTTTTCAGTTGGAGCAGTAATTAGTGGTATAAATCTGAGAAAATTTAAATATAAACAAGATATAAAATTAGGTTAAAGGTCCAGTATGTAACATTTAGGAGGAGCCACGCCCCCTAATAATGCATAACTTTAAGCCTTGATATAATTCAAACAGGTGAGTTATATAAAATTCAACCCGGTATAGTTGTCATGAACAGGGAAATTAGTTATAGAGACCAAGAGGCTGTAAACATGTTTATTTCTGCTGTAAAGTTGTGTATTTTAATATGGGGCCTTATGGAGATCGACTCACTGCTGGAGCCAGCCTCTAGTGGCCGTTTGAGTGACTACAGTTTTCCTGCTTGGTCAACAAACAACCTACTTTTCCATCTAAATGTTCTACTTTTTTCCTCTCCCAGCATGCAGCTGTCACCCCTTGGGCTCCATGCCCTTCCACCTGGCCGACGGCTCTCTCTGCGACCCCTCCAGCGGTAACTGCATCTGTAAACCTGGAGTCGGTGGAGCCCACTGCGACAGGTGCATGGTGGGATACTGGGGCTTCCACGAATACGGCTGCCGTCCGTGTGATTGTGCAGGAGACTGCGATCCGTTTACTGGAGACTGTATGTTTGGGTGGGTGAAAACTCTCTCTCCGGATACCGATTCCAATACCTGATCAATATAACGTTTGTTTAGTTGGAAGAATTCCTGTTTACATTCCTGTGTGTTCGTGTTTGTGCAGCTCTGATCTGGACCTGTACAACCTGGAGGGAAACTCCAGCGAGCCTGTCAGGATCTTCAGAGCAGACGAACTCTTCTCTGCCCTCCACTACTCAGGTAAGATATAGATACAGAGAGTGTGTGTGTGTGTGTGTGTGTGTGTGTGTGTGTGTGTGTGTGTGTGTGTGTGTGTGTGTGTGTGTGTGTGTGTGTGTGTGTGTGTGTGTGTGTGTGTGTGTGTGTGTGTGTGTGTGTGTGTGTGTGTGTGTGTGTGTGTGTGTGTGTGTGTGTGTGGTCTCAGACCCTGTGCATGGCGTCCTAAGAATGCAAGCACAGTGTGTGTGTGTGTCCAGTGAGGAATGTGCCTATGAAAGCTGCAGTTACATGGTGGTGGTGGTGGGGGGTCTACAAGAAGGGACACTTGGAAACTGTCCACACACACACACATATACAGACACACACACACACACACACACACACACACACATCCATCTTTGTTCCATGTCCTTCTAGGGCCTTATCAAGACTTTCATTACTTAACCATTAATGCTTGGTCACTGGGCTGTGGAGCAGGATGAATAACACACACACAAACACACACACACACACACACACACACACACACAAACAACACACACACACACAACACACAGTTATGTTTCATGTATTAATATGTGCCTGTGTTTTGTCACCTGCAGAGAAGTGTGAGTGCAAAGAGCAAGCCCTGACCAACAGCAAACTCTTCTGCACCATGAATTATGCATACGGTAAGAACTGTTTATTCTACTCTGTTATTTATTACAACCCGGGTCTCGGAGGTCTTCTGTGGGTCCAAAAGTGTTAGAATCTGAATTAAAATGGACTTGAAGACAATTATATGCTCCTAAACGAGCTAAACAAATATGTCAGAGTCTTAACTTTTTGTTGAAATTGAAGGAAAAATCAACACTAACTCTTCTTACATCTTGTCTCTCTACATGACTCTCAGTACTGAAGGTGAAAGTGCTGTCGGCTCACGATAAGGGCTCCCATGCCGAGGTGGAGGTCAAAGTTCAGAAGGTGCTCAGTCAGAACACCAAGGTGAAGATACAGCGGGGTCGGGTCACTCTTTACCCCGAGTCCTGGACTGCACGAGGCTGCACCTGCCCCATCCTGAACCCAGGTCAGACAAACACTCTCCTATGGTTGTCCAGTGCAGCTCAGAGATGGAGGTTTTTAAAGGCTGATGCTGAAAGTTTTGGATCTTAATAATCAGCTGTAGGCTACGGAAAAGTTCAAATTAGATCAGATTTAGGTATTTTTTTTAGGATTTATGTGTGACTGATATTATTCTTATCTGTTATTGTAAGCAAATCCCATGAAAAGACCAAAACCTACAAAGAATGTATCATACTAACACATATTGTGTGCTCATCCAAAGCCTTATATCATATTCCTCTGCCCCTTAGAGCTCCATTGTTGTCCAGAAACTATTAAAAACACATAAATGAGCCACATTATTGACTCAATCCCACGTACACTGTCCTGTTTCCACAAATATTCTCTAGAGCACCAAATTCTGTATTAATCCACCACTGAAAATAGTCCCCAACAAATGCAGTATTTCCTCCTTTTTTAAGTTACATTTCCAAAACAACTACAATGCCCATCTGTTTTAATAAATTATTCAGCTATTTAAAAGATGAAATACATATATTTTTGAGCCATTTTAAAGATTTATGCCTCCATTATATGTACTAAATTTGAAGTAATCAGTTGCAATATATCTAAATTGTTCTTTAAAGTTTTTAAAATTGAAATTATTTTCCTCTCCTTTCCCAGGTGTGGAGTACCTCGTGGCGGGCCATTCGGACCGCAAGCAGGGCCGCCTCCTGGTCAACATGAAGAGCTTCGTCAAGCCTTGGAAAGCCAGCTTGGGGCGCAAAGTCCTCGTGTTACTCAAGAAAGACTGCAACTGGTAGGCCGACCGTCGGAGGACAGACGGACACATGGACAGATGAGACTGTTTTTTAAACAAAACAACGCCGTGGATTCGTGATTTTCTCGTCCTCCAGATGTGGAATATTGAATCGCACAGGGTCTGGGAAGCAGGCTTTCGGGGGCTGAACTGAGATGACTGAAACCCCCCTTTATTTCTCTGCTGTTGTCCAATGAGAGCATAAACGCTAGTGGCGGACCGCACCAGCTAAAAGCACACGGGACTTAACTTTATTAAGACTTATTTGCACATTCCTATGTAGGATTTCTTTCTGTGAGAAACTGGGGAATCTGTGCTGTGGCCAAGTGCTTTTTTTATTTTGAGTGATGCCCCCTCACCCGTTGACATACATTAAAACACACATGCAAAAAAAAACTGAACCTCTTCCTCTCTGCAGCACTTTAGCCTAACATGGACTGAATGAATATGGACACAAAAAGAGAGGAAGATTGAACACACACACACACACACAAACACACACACACACACACACACACAAACACACACACACACACACACACACACACACACACTAAACGACCCCTCGACCCCCATGGACTGTGGATGGAGCACGTCCATTCCCCCTGTGCTCCGTTACAGTCCACACACACACACACACACACACACACACACACACACACACACACACACACACACACACACACACACACACACACACACTCCCTCACTCACTCACTCACTCACACAGGCAGCAGTGTGTGTGTGTGTGTGTGTGTGTGTGTGTGTGTGTGCTTCAGACATAGCACCCAGAGTGACGCTGAACAAGCCATACAAGCCACTACAGGTGGTTAAACCTTAGCCAGTCCAGGTGTGCCTGTGTTGAAATCAGAGTGAATGGGTTTTACCCCGAACGTGAATGTATTTGCCTGTTTTTAAAAATGTGTGTGTGTGTGTGTGTGTGTGTGACAGAGAGAGAGAGAGAGAGAGAGAGAGAGAAGAGAGAGAGAGAGAGTGGTTGAATGCAGAGGTATATAACGAGCACAGTCCAGATTCAGTCCAGCTCTTTCTGTAGGTTTGCTTTCAGCCGTTCCAATGTTTATGATACTGCGTTTATGTATATTGATTCATCTCATATTACACTCATAAATTCAGAACGTTCTTCTTATTCCTTCCTTTTGTGCTCTTGTACAGTATTATTTGTATATATCTATATAAATATTATTGTTCATCTTTTTCTCACTCTGTTTAATTGTTTTTGTATATGGTAATATTAAAGGATAATTCCAGCTTATTTAGCGAATATTTGGTGTTATTTTCACAGTTTTGGCCGTCGTTTGTCAGCGTTACCTGAATAAAACGACAGATTTCTCCGGGTTTGAACAACAACATGCATAACACAGGTCTAGTTTATATACATTTTAATGCAGAAACGTCACATATTACAGCTCTAACAGGTTGCAGCAGCCTCTCTTTGTCATGGAAACCTTGATGAGAGTTCACGTCTGGGAATAGTCCTCCTGGGCAACAACAGTTGATATAACTGCCCAGGCCTTGAAATACTTCACATAAATTGGACAAAAATATCCTTATCACCCTGCTCTCTTTCTCACACACACACCCCCTGTTCCTCTCTCCGTGTCCCTTTGGATTAAGTCATCCATCACTCTCGCTCCCAAAACACTCTCCCCTACATTCACACAGCGCCACAGAATGTAGACCATAACAGAGAGGCCGGGGCAAGCACACACACACTCTGTTTGGGTTTAGGCGGCCTGCCTGTTTTCCACCGCCTCCTCGCCCACTCGCTGTGACGTGGTTGGCCGAGAGGTGTGGACACATTCCTGGCGCGTCGAGCGGCGCTCCACGGCAGGCCGGGTCGAAGGTCACTCACCTGTCTGCCGGCCTCGCCTCCTCAACGGGAGGTGAGCGGGAGTGGATGTTTTTTTCACTGCCGTGGCCGGATAGCCTCTTGTACCCACGTTTCCTCATTCACGGCCCATTCACAGATTTGTGGCAGAGGGGTCACGGCTTCTCCTACCTTCTGCCAAGCTGTTTCCAGACAGCAGGGGATGGGGTGAACGAGTGCATACGGGGAGAGGAATGTGACTGGAAGGAATGCCTCAGTGCTGGAAAGTAACTAAGTACTGAAGTATTGTACTGGTATTTTACTTGAGTATGTCCATTTTATGCCGCTTTGTACTTAAACTCTACCATATTTTAGAGGAACTGCAGGTTTCTTACAGTTTCTGGTTACTTTACAGCTTATAAAATACAATGTAATGTCAGAATTGGTCCTGTTGGGTCACAACCTTTTTGACTTGTTGCGGCCTCTTAAAACATTTCAGATGTCTATAGCCAGAAAATCGGCAAAGGGAAATGCAAATTAATGCACGCACTATTGTAATGCGAATAGTAGGAGTTGGATGCATTGAGATTAACAGTAGGTGGCACTAATTCTCCAGTTAAGTGACGTTCTACAACTGTAAAAGAAGAAGGTGCAACAAGATGACATAATTAAAAGAGATCCAATCAAAACTCAAAAGATGGATAACCATGTGGAAATATGGCATTTATGTTTGTGTACGATGGTGCTGTCTGGTTATTGTTCCCCGCTTTCTTTCCAAGCACAAAGGAGAAACTACGGTGGCCACGAAATGCGCAAAAAATACAGTCTGGTTTGGTTTATCCCTTCTGGGCTACTGTAGGAACATGGTGGGTGAACATGGTGGACTCCATAGAAGGAGACCTGCAGCATCTGTAGATATAAACGACTCATTCTAAGGTAACAAAACCATGATGATTACTATTCAGGTGATTATAAGCTAATGAAAACATAGTTATGAATATCATGAGTCCTCCTAAATGTTACACACTGGACCTTTAAGTCACATTGCTTCATGTAAGTTATGATTTATTCACTAAGTCTGTTTCCATATTTCATCTTTTACTGGATGGAAATACACTTTATAAGTTGTTAGCAGTTCAAAAAGAGAAGTCCACTCTTAACTTCTCAGATGGTTTCCTTTAAATAACCATTGGAGGTCAAAAGAAATCTTTTTTATAGGATCTTTATTGGGAGTTTCAATTGGAACAACTATTGCATATTAATGAAATAATATGGTACATGAAGCTCCCCCAGATATTTCCACAAACTCTCTCTATATTAATATAATCCCAAGATAATAGATCCTTAACATATTGATTCATATTTGGTTTGTGGACCCTTTATTTATCCAATATTTCAGCGATTAGAGAAAAGTCAAAAGAACAAAAACAAGTTTGTGTCGCAGAGCTTTTCTTCTTTCCTGCCCCATTAATCATCTTATGACATCTCAGCTTCCTCCGATGACCCTTTGGAGGGGCCCGACCCCTCGGTCTGGAAACCACTGGATTAACTGTGTGTAAAACCAGCTCCACCTCGGGCAGCTACAACACTGAAACACTGCTTACACATCGGAAGTATTAAGAATCTAATAATGTAATGTGTATGGTAATATGTCAGGAGTCATTATTAATCACTTTATTGGGACTTTTAATTCAGTAAAATATCTTCAGAGCTTCAGGTTAATCGGGGACGGAGGTGTTTTATGTGGTGGGAACTGGCCTTGAAGCGTAGACGCAACAGGGAGCCACAAACACATGAACTGCTGCAGCTGAACCGCGGACCTCCACTCTCTCTCTCTCTCTCTCTCTCTCTCTCATTCTCTCTCTCCCACTGTCTCTCTTCCTCGCTCGCTCACTCATTGTCCCCAGATTGACTGGCTATTCCCAGCCTGTGATGGAGATGTCCTGTGGGGGGTTGCATGGTGTGGGAAACTGGTTGATGAATGAGTGTTTGGCATGCTTGCACAGATGCATAGTTTGCTCCAGTATAGTTTATGTGTGTGTTATTGTAGTAATGGCGAATGCATGCGTGTGTGTGTATACGTGTGTGTGCGTGCCTGTATGAACACAATGCCCCGCTTGTGTTGCTATAGAATAGAGTTATGGCCTTTGTCCTGTCAGCATTCTTGTGTTGCTATTGGCCTCGGAGTGCATGGCAGCTCCCGCAGGCTCGGGGACAATAACCTCCCCACCCTCCCCTCCTCTCACTGGGAGTCACAATGCTCCTCTTCGGTAGCACCCATCACCCTGAGACAGACGCCCCCAGAAAAACCCGGCCCGCTATGGGTGTCACACAGGCTACCAGCACCCAGAGGGCCTGAGGAGGGCAGGAGCAAGGGAGTAGAAGCAGATATAGAAGAAAATATGGACAGGGGGATTTCTTTCTCAGGAATATGGTGAGAGGAAGTGTGTGCTGGATAAGTGAGTCATGTGGTCAGCATTATCCCATCAGCTTTGATTCACTTACAGAGGAAATGAGAAGATTATGGCATGGGAAGCCAGACTGAAACTCCTTCACTGAAGTCCTTCACCTGAAAATATCCAGGCCTGTCCTCAGAAGCCATCCATGATCTTGTTTTTTTTTTTACATAATTGCACATGAAAAACACACACATGCGTGCACACACGCATCAGGAATGTTTCTCAACCTGACGAGCATCAGTGCAAGCCAGAACAGGGAGGGCGATGTTGACATAGCAGAGAGATTGAGACGCTACTGCTGATTATTATACAGCCATGCAAACAAGGACCTGATGTCATCGAGTCATTATGAACGAACCCCACACGTCAACAGTGACAACAGACAGACAGTCTGGGAAGGAACGCTCATGACAAGTCGGGACACTCTTTTAAAAAACAGATTAAACCCCAGAGGCTGTCAGATAGCCAACACTAACATTCAGCCGTACCAACCTGGAGCATGGGGGTGGGAGGAGGGGGGTAGGCCGCAGATCTCAGGGCAGAAATTACAGGAGATGTGTTTGTTTACAGGCTGTAAAGCATTTCCCCTGGCTTCACCAGCACCTGTGTTTTCACCCGCCGCAAAACCAACACCGTATCCAGCTGCTTTAACACCACCATGAAACCACCGGAATGGCTTCCTTTCACTGAAATGATCAACCGCTTTTCAATGAAAACAGGTTGCAAAAGCTGGATGTTTCTTTGTGTGTGTGTGTGTGTGTGTGTGTGTGTGTGTGTGTTTGTGTTTGTGAGTTTCTATTCGTATGAGGTCCAGGTGACGAATCCTTTTTGTTGGTCCTCATGTTTGCAAAAGGCAAGCACAACATCAGGAGTTTATGTTCTAGATATTACTCCATTACGTCCTCCCAAGCAAACAGTCCCATATTCTAATCGGATGCCACTGCTGATGGCTTCGTTTGTCTTGTTCAATCACCCTAATCAGTTTTTCAAAAAGAATTCAAAACAAAACATTGTTGTTGCTACTCTAAACATAACCTTGGGTGCCGGAGGAAGGCGCTGCCCGACTTCAGAGGGGTTTTAGGCGAGCAAACGTTAAAGGGAGAGTCCGGTTTTTTGGGGGAAATATACACGAGAAGATGAATAACACAGTAAATATGAAGCTCCTGCCAGCAGCTGTTTAGCTTAGCTTAGCACAATGGCTGGAAACAGTGGGAAACAGCTAGCCTGCCTCTGTCCAGAGGCAACTAAATCTGCCAACCAGCACCTCTAAAGCTCACTAATTAACACGTTATATCCAATGTGTTTAATCTTCTTTACAAAAACTGAAGTGTAACAATGACAAGCGGTGGGTTAGGAGGTTTTGTGCTGGAGTGGCGGGGCAGTGACTTCCTGGAGCTTCAGCTGGTTGCCTGGCAACCTCACAGTGACCTCAAGAACTCCAGAAAGGAGTAAACGATTAAACGATTAATTTAAAGCTTTTTAAAAAATGGTTATAGGGTTTTGTCTCCACACAATGAGAGAGAACAGTCAAACAGTTTAAAGATTAAAGGTTAAACCAATGTTATGTAATGCATTATGAGTATCCTTGAGGTCTAGAAAAAAAATAATTACCACATTTTCCTCCCAAGAGAACATTTTTAAAAGATGGATTGATTTGTTTAGCTCCGTTTACTTGAGCAGCCATCTTCTTTTTCGCCTTTCTTGGCACTTTACTGGCCCCAACTGCGTAATATACGAACATAACACTGACCTACTCATAAAAACATTGCTCCACAGCACTGATGGTGGTCAGAACATCCACCTTTTCTTTTAATTATGTGAAAATGCTTCTACTTTAAAGCTGCATTAGGCATTGTTTGACCACTAGGGGGCGGAAAAACTGTCTCCTTTTGCTTCTAACTAACTTTATCTGTTTACTGTTTTATGCTTGGCAGGTATTGCACACTCGATTTTTATCAACTTATGTGATGAAAACAAGGGTTTGTGAGAAAAGGGACACCGAACCATGTCAAAAAACCTAAAACAGCGAGCCAAAAGAAGCACGGTCGAGCTGCGACACTGAGCGATTAATCTCCAAACAAAAAAAACTTTAAGAGATAGATAACACGAGGTCCCCAGAAGTGTAGTAACAAAAACAAAAAAAAATGTGTGTGTTTATGAGAGAGAGAGAGAGTGCAGATGAAAAGAGGACAGGGGAGGGAGAGAGGGAGGGAGAGATAGCATGTGTGGACATGAAGGCGGTAAAGGCCCCGGGGACATAGTGGGAGAAAAACATTAGAGGTGATTCACAGGCATCGCATGGCACATCAACACATACCTCTTTCTCTAAGTCACTCACAAACGCCCCTTAATCTCTCTCACACAAACCCCCTGCTCCACTGACATACACACTCTTGCATAAAAACACACACCTATTACAACACACACACACACCCCTTTAGTTCAGTGGGGGTTTAAGAAGGCTTGTGTGGATCAGTTCCCCACTAATCAGTACATGAGAGGGATTCTTCACGCGCAGATTAAAAGTCCTCCTCCAGGCACAATTTCCTTAAAAGAGAATCAAAATCCTCCTTTTATTCTCTCACAGAGACGTTTGTCTAATGTGATATTAACCATAATGTTTAACCCAGGGATTCACAATGTGTTATAATAACATGTTGTAATTATATCCCCCCCTCCTCTTGTGTTATAGTTGATGGAGTTGAGACTTAACAGCAGACAGTAAAGTGTTGTCTCATAAAAACACTGATAGGATCTACATACTTAGTGCACCAGCCCCCATTAACCTGCATGAAGTGCTGCACCTGCATCCACACACCAGCACACAGGACTTTTAAAATGCCTCCCGAAGGTACGACTGCAGGGCCGCGCGGCACGAGATAGTACACACACACACACACACACACACACACATTTGTTACATGAAAAGTCTTAAGTCTTTCGTTTTTTACGTTTACTGATTACATTTTTACACAAATATCTGCTTTTTCTACTCAAAACAGGCTTTTACTTTAGTTTAAATGCCTTTGTAGGGATTAATTGATGATTTATTTATTATAGAGAAACCAAAAGAGTACTTTTTTTTACTTTTACTTGAGTAAAGTACTTGAATCGGGTCTCATTTTTTACACAAATATCTGCTTTTTCTACTCAAAATAGGCTTTTACTTTACTTTAAATGCCTTTGAAGAGATTCATTGATTATTATTTATTACAGAGAAACCGAAAGAGTACTTTCTTTACTTTTACTTGAGTAAAGTAGTTGAATCGATACCTCCACTTTTTCACACAAGTATCTGTACTAAAGAGTGTAACCTCTGATTATATATATGACTGGATTATTATTATAATTGAAGCATTAACATGTAAGGAGGATGTTAATGTTGTAGCCGGTCAGGGTGGAGCGAGTATTATATATACGGTTGGATAGTTTAATCTATAATAATGCATCATTTTAGCACATTTTATGTAAAATATGAATGTGTGAAGTAACTATATGTATAAAATAATAAAAACACACACACAGTCTATGTACTTTTCTTGCTCCTTGCAGCTGTGGGAAGTAAATAAGTACATTTACTCAAGTACTGTCATTACTCTACTGGAGTATTCTCATTTCCTGCTACTCTATACATCTACTATACTACATTTTAAAGAAAGATGTTGTACTTTTTACTCCACTGCATTGATTTAACAGCTGAAGAATAAAGATTTTACAAATAAAACATACCAAAAAACTGTACAATTGTTATAATAAGCTCCTCCTACATCAGCTACAACACTAAAATGCTGCTTACAGTAGCTGTTAATGCATCAGTAATAATAATCCAGCCATATAACATATGATAATATAATGCTTTATTCTCCATTTACTTGCTTTAAGCATATTTCGCTGCTACTTTGTACTTTTACGTCACACAACACTTTGAATAAGGGATTTTTACTTGTAATTAAGTATTTTTAAACCGTGGTTACTTTTAAATAACATTTTATGAACTTGATGCCAAATCATTAGTTCCAGTCAGCTCACGGTTTTATTGAATCAACTATCATGTAGCTTTGATTTCTTTTAATGGGTTAAATCCTATGATGGGTGTAAATAGTGCAACACTTCCCTCTAGTGGTATAAAATTACATTACTTCTATTATATTTCACCTTCAGTGCAAAGCAGTGATTTTTTTTTTTTTTTTTTTTACCTCTTTGGATGGTTGATGAAAAGTGACACTGTGACACAAGACACTATAAATAACAATAAACAGAGCCCATATACCTACAAGTGCTGCAAAATGTAAAGAAATGCACAAATAAACTCACTTAAATACAATTAAACTAACATCAAACAGTTTGACATTAAACTAAAAAAACATAAATTGTATTAAAAAAAAAAAAAAAAAAAAAAAATAGAAAAGACAATTTAACCCGATTTTGAACACACACAAACAGTTTCTAATGACACACACACACACAGTCAACAACAACAACAACAACAACAACAACAACAACGTCACGTAGCGAGGACGCGCTCGAGCCGAACACCACGCGACCCAGGGAACTGACAAGATGGCGATCCCTGCAGACACGGAGGAGCTACAGCCGTGAAGGAGAGGCTCGGTAGGGCTCCTTTCTCCTCACTTAAAGTCATCTCCTCACGGGTGTGTGGAAGTGTGGCCGGTGGCGGATCCGTTCTGGCTCAAACACGCCCAGTAGGTTGGTTTTAGAAGCCGAGGCAGCCGTCGGGAGCCGAAGCTGCGGCTCAACTTGTTAAGGGTTGCTAACGCTAACTAGCGCGCTAGGCTAACGTTAGCAGGGACAGCTCCTCTTTTTTTATTTCTAGAATAAAATACCGTTAAAAGTGGCGGGACTGGCGTGTGTTGGTGTGTTTTCTCCTCGTGTTTTACTGTATTTTTTTTGGGACATTTGTTTTGCCTGTTGTTGTTGTTGTTGTTTAGATTATCTGGTGGATTATTTCAGTGTTTTGTAATTATCAATTACGGCAGCTAGCCTCCGTAGCTGCCGAGCTTAGGGGCTGTTTTCGGGGGGCTCTTGTCCCGCGTCTGGTCTCACAGTTTGCGGAGAGGTTAGAGAAGGTGGTTGGTGTGTGCTGTGGTTTATTTAACCCGGGTTAGCGTTGGCACTGCGGGGGTTGTTGAGCCACAAGGACAAACCAGGCAAAGCGCGCTAACTTTAAAAAAAAAAAAAAAAAAAAGTTGGGTGACAAAAAGTCTCTCCCCTGAAGAGGCTTCACACAAACAGCCACCCTGTTTCCACACATGAAGCCAAGTTTGTTTGTGTCCTAAAAGCTCTGTAGTAGTGGATTTTATAAGGATATTTATTCTGTAGTAGACAACAAACATGTATGTAGCTTTTCAGTGGATAAACACAAATAAACAGGACAACAACCTCAACACAACAGATTTAAGATACTATATACTGATTTATGTGCAACCGGGGTTTGTAGATAGTATAAAAAGTGCTGGATTAAGTGTTTTAAAGCAGGTATTTGTATGTACATGAAGGTCAGGTGGATCTTTTATATCACCTGGACCTGAAAGGGTTTTACGAGCTTACCAAAACACCTCTTTGAGCTTCTTTTTTTTTATTATTATTATTATAAGAGTTTAATGGCAGTGAAGGGGAGAATATAGCAGGTTTTCCTTTCCCGTGCTCCAGTCTCCATCACTTTCCCTTTTGAGCCGTTTCCAAAGTAGTTTTCTTTCATTTCCAAAGCAAAGGTAGTCCTGTACCCAGACAAAGGGTGCACCACTTTGCAAGCTCAGTCCCCCCCTTTTGTTGGATAATCTTACTTCTTTGACCTCAGTGGGTGAGTGGGTGGGTGGGGGGGGGATTTAAGGATCCCCACTTTCTCTCAGCTGAGGTACCACCAACCCCCAGGGATGTGAAAAGAAGCCAGAGGACGTTGAGTGGAGACTTATTGTTTCTCCTGCTTTTAAAACCAAAGTATAACCCATTGTTCAGTTTCATTTCATCAAGAGGCGAATCACGGAGAGCTTTCTGTACCACTTAATATCCGTCCATCACGTTAGAACATTTTGGGAGAGGAAAATATTCTACTATTTCTGTATCAGCAGCCCACGATAGCTCACACACCCTTCTGTTTTTTTTTTTTTTAGTAGATGTGCCTGGCAACGCTCAACGCAGTCATGTTTATCGGCCGGTTATTTTATTGTCGGCCCACGTGACTGTTAGGAAATGTTTGCCACAGGTTTATTGTGTGTAGCTATGGCCCTCGTAAAAAGCTGAGTCAATGGAGGTGTGACTTTGAGATAATAATTTTATTGTGTCGTATCGTTTGTGTGTTTTCCAGGAGAAGAACAGGATGTCATTACGATTATAAACGACAAATGTGTTAAACTATATGTTCGGTGTCTAAAGGTAGAGGCTCAAACAATATGAACACCAGATAACAATCTTAAAAATACATGTTTTTTTTGTACTTGTTAAATAATAATTAACTTTTACTTTTAACTCCCTCTGGTTTGAAGGACAAACTCATTTTAAATTCCCTACAGCTGCATTCATATTCCATCTCTATTCTCTCTCCCCTCTAGAAACCACCATGCCCTGGGAGGGTCCCATTTCTCAGCTCGCCATGGTCACCATGGTGATATGAAGCCAGTGTGAAACGTCGACGCGCACGCACGGACTCGCACACAGACGGTCAGTTATTGACTGACGCAGCCGGCCAGCTCAGCGGGCGGGCTGTGTGTGTAATGGACAGGTGTAAGCATGTGGGGCGGCTGCGGCTGGCCCCAGACCACTCCATCCTCAACCCCCAGAAGTGGCACTGCGTGGACTGCAACACCACCGAGTCTATATGGGCCTGCCTGGGCTGCGCTCACGTGGCGTGCGGGCGCTACATCGAGGAACACGCCCTGCAGCATTTCCAGCAGCAGCGCCACCCGTTGGCGATGGAGGTTAACGAACTTTATGTTTTTTGTTATTTGTGTGACGACTATGTCCTGAATGATAACGCCACCGGAGACTTGAAGCTGCTTCGTAGTACACTCAGCGCCATCCAGAGCCAGCGCTATGAGGTCACCACCCGTAGTGGGCGCACCCTCCGCTCTGCCAGCGCCGCCCCCGACGCCGTCATGCCGTCCGGGGCCCGCGAGCTGCAGCTGAGGGACGAGGACAGGATGTTTACAGCACTTTGGCACCGGCGCAGGGCGCTTATGGGACGCGTCTTCCGCTTTTGGTTCGCACTGACCGAGTGCGGAAAGAAGAGGGAGGAAGAAGAGAGAAAGAGGGAGGAGGAGGAGGAGCAGAAAAGGGAGGCGAGGGAGAGGAGGCGGGCTCTAAAGAGGCAGCTACAGGAGGAGCTGGAGAACGCCCCTCTCAGGAAGAGTCGCCGGCTACGTTGGAAGAGCCAGAGAGTCGCAGATGCAGCAGTCACAACACCATCTCAGAGGGCACGCAACAGGACAAAACCCCCCGTGGCCCCGTCTCTTTCCCGCAGGCCGAGGACTCAGAGCCCCGCCACCGCCACCCCCACCCCCAAAAAAGCTGGACGAACAACAAAGGTCCAACCTACGCCCAAACCCCGTAGCCGTTCTTCTACCACCAAATCTAAGCCCAAAACGCCCTCAGCGACCCCGCGTTCTGCCCAAACACCTGTTCGCCGCAGGCAGCAGAGTACCAAACAGGGTGGCTCGCCCTTCAAACGGCGTCCCACGGTCACACCGGGAGTGACGGGCCTGAGGAATTTGGGCAACACCTGTTATATGAACTCTATCCTGCAGGTGTTGAGCCACCTGCACGTCTTCAGGGAGTGCTTCCTGCGCCTGGATCTGACCCAGGCGCTGGAACTACTGGCGTCCGCCGTCCACGGCCAACTGGCGGGGAAGGCCTCGTCCCAGTTGCCCCTGACCCAAAGGAAGGGCTTCCAGGCCAGCTCGGGCTCCGGGGCAGGGCTGAGCGGTGGGGCCTCGCGGGGCCGCAGCATGGAGCTGATACAACCCAAAGAGCCCAGCTCGAAGCACATCTCTCTCTGCCACGAGCTGCACACCCTGTTCCAGGTCATGTGGTCTGGCAAGTGGGCGCTGGTATCGCCTTTTGCCATGCTCCACTCGGTGTGGCAGCTGATCCCGGCGTTCCGGGGCTACGCTCAGCAGGACGCGCAGGAGTTCCTGTGCGAGCTGCTGGACAAGGTGCAGCACGAGCTGGAGAGCACCGGCAAGCACACGACCACCGCGGGAGTCCCACAGAAACGACTCATCAAGCAGGTGCTCAGCGTGGTCAACACCATCTTTCACGGCCAGCTCCTCAGCCAGGTACGACACACACACACACACACACACACACACACACACACCGTGCAATCACCTTAACTTCATCACTAACACTGACTAATGTCATAAGCTTCATCTGACTCACTCATCATTATTCCTACACACAGAAACCCACTCGGAGCCGCCCACACACTCTGGTTGCACTGATAATTCAACAGCCATCAGCTCTGACTGAACTGTAGCACTAATTAATGATGCAGATTAAATTGGCCTTGATGGATTCGTCTATCAAGTGGAGGTTAATTTTCCAGCACTAACACGAGTCCAACACAGTTGCTGACTGGTTTCATTCTTCTGGTGGTGGTTCAGCTTATTTATGTTGTTCCCTTTCAAACCTCTACCATGTTAACTGGAATTCAAAAATAGTGAAAAACTGCTATAAATTCTCTGCTGTGTGAGAACCTGCTGCCTTTCTATGTCATTTATCAAACTGAACTGAATACAGTTTGGTTTTGGACTCTTGGTTTGATAAAAATGAGACATTTGAAGAGGTCACCTTGAGCTTTGGGAAGTTGTGACGGACATTTTCTGACTTATAATAAAGAATAATATTGCTAATTAAAATATTTGTAAGTTGCAGCCCCTCAATCCTGAGTCCTAGTGCAGATTTCTCCCCATTTTTATAGTGTAAATATTATTTAAATTTTTCTCAAGAATAACGAAAAGGACTTGTTAATGTAAAAAAAAAAAAATCTGCTTTCTGTCTACTACAAGTGTGATTGTGAGCGGGTTAAGCACTCGCAGACATATGAGCAGCTGATAACAGTATTTGGATATATATACACAACCGAAGCTCAGCGTCACTTCCAAGTAACCGATGGAAGGGAGACGTAGGGAGTGTGAGAGTTGGTACGAGGACAGGAGATTAGTGTCTGCTTGTGGAGGCTGAGCACACACTGCGACACCTGCTACCGCTGAATAGAGGGGCTGTGTGTCTGTAAAGGGGGTTTTGGGGGGTATCTTGACCCTGTGGCTGTTGAGTAAAGTGCTGACTCAGACTGCGTTTGCACTCTCTAGACAAAAGCGATATACCTAAACTCTGTCGGTTAAAGGTTGGAAACAGGATTAGAATGATATTAGATTATGTAATATCCCACTGCACCCCCATAATCTCCTGTCCCTGTCTTTTATTTCCTCTCACTTCGACTCGCAGGTGACGTGCGTGGCCTGCGACCACCGCTCCAACACCGTGGAGCCTTTCTGGGATCTGTCTCTGGAGTTCCCTGAGCGGTATCACAGTAACAGCAGGGAGTCGGCCGCTCAGGCGTCGTGCCATTTGACGGAAATGCTGGCCAAGTTCACGGAGACCGAAGCACTGGAGGGAAACATCTACGCCTGTGACCACTGTAACTGTGAGTGAAATAATGCCAGCATACACACACACTTAATCAGTTCACTTTACTAGACGTGAGGCTTGACATTGATAAAACAAACACAGGCCTGTCTCTTCTGTTCCCTCCTTTGACTCCACTTGTTGTACTAAGCTAGTCCAAGCTTGTCCTGGACCCATTGTTCTTGTGAATAAACATTAAAGCTATAACAATCTTCTCATCAAGTCTCTTTATCCAAAATGTTGGACGTTCATTGGAAACATTTGAAGCAAATGTTGATACTTGTCTGGAATCCTGACAACATCACATATCAGTCATATTGGGAGTGGAAAGAGAGAAACGATAGATGAGAGTGCAAAGGTATTAGAGCGTATTACATTATGGCTGCACAGATTAAAACTAACTGAGGCAGTGATGTTGGTGGTTTGTATCTTATTAAACAAAATACACATACCTAACTAGAATACCAATGGCAACAAGGAAGCCATGAGCTTAATATTGTTGAAAATCTCTGTTATTTTGGAAATTTCCTGTCATAGAACATTAAAATGTATGTTTATGGAGTCGAATGTGATATTCAGAGATGTCCCAAATCTATCTGGGTATCTTAATTTTGTCTGTCTCAGCCTCTCGGTGGTGCAGCGCTGCTCTCCTCTCTCTCTCCTATTGGCACAAAGCTCTGTAACCTCGCTGTTCGATCACAAATGGCGTGTTTTTGTGCTCCCAACAACACTGATGGAGACATATTCTAAACATGATATTTTTGAACCAGGACCTCCAGTAGTTGGATCAAACAGCTTGTAAAAAGAGAGAAGATTAAGGAGGCTACAGCTGTTACTTCAGTGTATCTGATTCAAATCTCAGCTCACAGTTGTGTCTTCATGTAAAAGGGTTTTTTGGTGCTCAGCGGAGTGACGTTTATACTGTGTGTTAACTCTCTTGTTTGCAGCTGCTCGACGTCGGACCTCCTCCAAATCAGTCCTCCTGACCGAAGCACAAAAACAGCTGATGGTCCACAAACTGCCTCAGGTCCTGCGGCTTCACCTCAAACGCTTCAGGTACGATTGGCCGTCTTTACTCATCCCTGCAAGGGCAACTGTACACAGCGTCTCACTACCCAGGTCTACAAATACAGTTGCTGTGCTATTTAGCTGAAAACACCACGTACATTAAGTGATTAACACTTCATATATTTGCTTTATTTGAAGATGATTGTTCATTTGCACACAGTGATGATTCAGTGTTTGCAGGTGTTTTCTGCTGCAGACTAAAAGCTCATTTGCTGACTGTCTTTCCGTCTTGTGATTGGTCCTCAGGTGGTCCGGGCGAAACCACCGGGAGAAGATCGGAGTCCACGTCAGCTTCGACCAGCTCCTCAACATGGAGCCGTACTGCTGCCGAGAGCCCTCGCCCAAAGTCGTGTCCTGCTCCAGTCCCAGCAGCCCCGGTGCTGCGGGCTCGCCGCGCCCCAAGCACTTCCTCTACGACCTCTCCGCTGTGGTGATGCATCATGGGAAGGGCTTCGGTTCCGGCCACTACACCTCCTACTGCTACAACACAGAAGGAGGTGAGTTAAAGAGGGTTTAACTGAAAATGGGGTTTTGAGTTATTGTGCACAACCTGTAGCTACAACCTGAAAATGACACTTTTATAATAACTATAATGATAACTTTACTTATTTAGCACAATGTGCTTCACTTAAAAGCAGATAATCATTTACAGACATTTATGATAAAAACATAAAAACAAGGAAAATAAAATATCTCAAGTTTTAGTTTGAAGATGCAAGAACAGATTTATTATTTAATATTACTTTGTGTCAAAGGTGCTTTGTATACATCGTACAACTAAATATATAGAAGATACCAAAATCATGATTAAATACACTTTTAAAATGACAGTAGCCTTCTGACTTTGGTGTGCCTTATTTTCCAGAACTTAAATTTTGTCCACTTTATTGATCTGATATAAGATTTAAACTGAAACTGAGGATTTTTCTAGAAAGAACTACAGTAAACGAGCCCTCTAACAGAAACCAGGATACTGTGGCATGTGAACATAAATAACCAGAGTTGTTCCATGTAAACGTCTTATCTCCAATAAGATCAGAACCAGGATAAGACTCAACCATCGACTTTCAGCCCAATGCGTAAACATTAGTGTTTAATCAACTTGTGTTGTTACCTCTACAGAGGACGCCATGTTTCTACCGTAGCCCAGAATGGCCTTTTGCATTTTGTGCTGCCGCCGTAGTTCCTCCTACACGCTTTAAAGCCGAGCAGTATTCAGTTAGTTGCGATCTTAAACTCCACAGTTAGATGCCACTAAATCCTACACACTGGTCCTTTGTGAGTAAATGTGCCCAATCATTGAGGATCTCTGTTCATTAACAGTCTCGTTGTTGCGTCTTTGTCTCCTCTCATATGAGTTTTTTCCTTGTTTCCAGGCTTCTGGGTTCACTGTAATGACTCTAAGCTGAATGTGTGTTCAGTGGAGGAGGTCTGCCGTGCTCAGGCCTACATCCTCTTCTACACACAGCGAGTAACTCAGGACAAAGACCGGCCGCTATAGGACCACAATCCCTTGAAGATCCTCCTCCTCCTCCTCATCCGCTGCAGACCGACCACTCAGCGAGAAGATATCAGCACAGCCCCACCACCTATCGCTCTTTCTCTCTTCCCTCTCTTTCTTTGGGCATTTTATATCCTGGGAGGATGGGTCTTTTTTTTAAGTCTATTTTTCTAAATAAGGAAAAATCAAAAAAGAGAGGAAGGACTCCTTTTTAAAAACCTGGTTCTGCTTTATGAACTTCTTGTATATGGTGTTTATATGTAGGTATTTTTAAAGAAATGGTGATGTTTTTTTTTGTGATTTGTGTACAGTTGTATTTTATAAAGAAGAGAGTATCAGCCAAGATGTGTCTCAGTAGCAGCCAACAGACTCTGGCCGGGGGCGCGACCACAAGTGTTCTCTGTAGATCGTACAGGTATATTCACGCGTCTGCCCCTACCTGCGTTTTGGGGGGGCTCGTTGATTGTAAATGCTGTTTTGTTTCAACTGAAATGTTTCTCAGTCACTTTAGATAGTTGTCACAGAACTGGATGTAAGGTTGTAAACATGTCATTCACTCATTAGAAATGGCCTCCCTGTGTTCTAGACAGGTAAAAAGTTTTTGCGTTCGGCCACTTTTCCTGCCAGAAATGCACTAATTTCTACGGAATAGGTTGTCGGCGTTGTTGTCGTCGGTTCAGAGTTAAAAGGTCTCTACACAAGGAAGTTTATTTTTCACTCTGAAGTACTCCTGGGTCTGCCAGGAAAGAATTGGCAGACCTCAAGCCAAAGCCTTTGCGGGGAAGTGTATGGAAAAACCTCTCAGCATTTCCAAAACGGTTCAACATTTGCTGGATGTGTTTTTGTTTTTGGTTTTTTTTTCTTCCCTCTTTCAGGGAGGAAAGGGGGGGTTAAACGTTTTTAGGTTTTGTTTGATTTTTGGCTCAATGCTGCCACCTCTGTGCTCCAGAATGTAATCGTCTTCAGAGCCTGAACCATCCCCAGCCAGACAGAAACTAGTGTACTAGAAAAGTGCCCTTTTGTTAAAAACAAAATATATTTTTATAGATCATATCTTCATAGTGGAACCTTCACCAGACCAGCATTTAGATTATGAATGTATTTTTTATACAATCCTTCTCAGAGGTTTTTAAAAAAAAAAAAAAAGAGGCCATTGACTGTTTTTTATACAACCGCTGATTGTTCAACACCACCAGCAGTTTTTACAGATTTCACTGTTCTCTCATCCTTTTTTTAGTAGCTGTGTGTACTGTATGTGTACATACATACTGTATTTTATTCACCGTCTGTTCAGTATAATATCCAGAATGAGCAGGTTTACCCTGCAGTGCATACAGATTGTGATATTTATCTCCATACTGGAGAATATTGTACAAAAAGAAAAGGTATTCTCCACCTCAACCATGTTCTCTCTCTTGATTTCTCCATCAGAGGGAAATTCAAAGCACACGTCATGTTGTTTTTTCCTCCATTGTCAGACGTGACACATTTTGTTTTGTTGGCATTTTGGTTACTACTCCTAATGGATGTGTGTGTGTGTGTGTGTGTGTGTGTGTGTGTGTGTGTGTGTGTGTGTGTGTGTGTGTGAAATGTATGGAAGTTATACTATGCAAATTGTTACCTCAATTTTTTCTAGAGAAAATTACCTCAATAAATGAGAATATTTTTTCATTTTTCTACAAAAAGATGCCGTTGTCTTGCTTTTTATTTGTGTAGTCTGGAATCAGAATTATGTCTAAAAGGACTTTACAATCCTATATCTTTCTATTTTACATCAGTGAGATGTTGTGCATTAATCAAACTAAGCCAGTAGTGTCACTGTATAGTTGAGATTTGGGCAGAAAGTAACAGTTAAACTGGTGGTTTCCAGCCTCGAGGGTCCCCAGCAAAAGAAGGAATAGAATATTTTAACATTTATCACATTTTTTTGGAAGGTGGAACAACAAGAAAGAAGAAATAATTGGGAATTTTATGTTTTGTAATTTATAGTAAATCTAGTTTGATCATCGATTTGCTATGAAGATTTTGTAATCCTGAAACCTAGAAATAAAAAGATCCTCGAAGTCAAAACTCTCAAACTGGGGGGGATCTGTGGTATGATGTAATGTGCATCCTTGACATGAAAAAGTTTGGGAACCCCCTGGATTAAATTACAGCTGTAAAATATCATAAAACACTGTCAAATGACTACTTTTACTGTTCATACCGAGTAGTAGTGATGGGCAAATGAAGCTTTCGTGAAGCACTGAACCACCTGAGCCAATTGTTTCGAAAATGGGTTCATTACTCGAAGCTTCAGTTACAGTGACCTCTCCTGGCAAAGTGCAAGGCTGCAGTCAAATTAGGCAGGCTGGTTGGTGGACAGGAGGCTTTTAATTACATACAGGCATTCATGCACGCACGCGCACACACACACACACACACACACACACACACACACACACACACACACACACACACCTACCTTAATGAGCAGCGTTGGAGAAACTGCAGAAAACACCTTTTGTTCTGAAGCATCTTTGCTTTGATCACCCTTGGATTTAAAGTATCTTTGCTTTGAAAATTATTATCTATATTATGTTCTATTTACAAATAAAGATGATTAATGTGTGTATTGTGTTACTGAGGAGAGAATGCCTGTTATAAAGTGTTACAGGCGCTCAAATTCAAAACTGTCCCAACCTTTCGCTTGTCAGAATCGAGACGAGGCAGTGCCAGTGAATCAACTAGTAGTGTAACTAATTAATATTACAATTCAGTAATAATATTACAGTTAACAGAAAATAAGTAGTTATCCAACTATACTTTTGTTGGCACCCCCTATTATTTTAAAATCCAACAATCCAACCACATCTTTGGATTCATTTTTGTAATAATGGAGGAAACCTTAAACGCTTCACTTTGATTTGAACAAATAAAACTGGATTTACTGTGGGCGGTAGCAGAAAAGTAATATAACTAATAGTGTAACTAATTACTGTTGGCAGTGGGTAATAAGTAATTAAACAAGATTACTTTGTTTAAAGAGTAAATAAGTAATGCAGTTTTTGAGTAACTAGCTCTTTAATGTCTGTGTGTCGCTGTGAACAACACCGACCTGTAGGGGGCAGCAGAGTGCGCAGAACCGGAACTCTGCCAGATATTCCAAACAAGAAGAAGAAGAAGCAGGAAAGCTGCTGAGCCTCGTGAAGCGGGAATCGACCGCCCAGCATCATGGACTGGTAAAACACTATTATTCATTTTAAAAACCTCAATCAGCTTCTGCATGTGTACATTTACAGTTATATACGGGAACCGTGAGCTCACTGTTTATCCCGCTAATCCGAGGAAGAGCTAACGATGCTAACGGTGCCGTTAATAATCAGCGCTGATGCTAAGCGGCTAACTTACCGGGTCGGTCTGTGTTGACGTTTTCAACCGGAGCTAAAGAGGATTTAAAGTCCTTTTAAAGCTGCTGAATAAACGCAATAAGAGCAGCTGTTTGTTGTTGTTTATGGTGTGTCTCAGTGGAGCTCTGTTTTAATGAGTACAGTGGGTGTTTCTACCAAACATCTGTATGTAATCTGTTATAAAACGTGTGTGTAGTGTAGCTGTAACTCTTATTTTCTATTTAAAATGACATCTAGTAGTTCTTTGTATGTGCATGTGTTGTTGTGTTGTATCTTGAGCTTGTGGGATCAATAAAGCCTGATCTTATTGTGTGTAAACAACGTTTAAAAGGTACTTAAAATACAGTTTAAGTGGTGAAACATTTGTCAGACTTTTTACTTCACATTGCAAACAAGTGGCTTTATTTTCTGTCCCAATATTAACAAATAAAACCAAAAAATATAACTGTTCTGAACAAACCTTAGTCTTAATTTCAAGTAGCTGTTTAATGGTTTAACATGAACTGATTATTCCATCAACAGTTGTGTTATTAGACTAATTGTTTGAGTCATTTGACAAGCAAGTAGTTTTTTTAAAAACTTAAGGATGTGCTCAGTAACTTGACTTGGCATTGTTTTTCATTATTCTCCAACATTTCCAACACAGAGACGTCTTTATGTGACGAGACTAAAGAAGAAGTATTTATTGTTATCCGCACACTAACACACATGGTGCTCGTGTTTTCCTCCAGGGGTCAGGGTGAGCTGCTGTCTCCGGTGGTTCGAGATGACGAGGTGACGATCGCCGCCCGCAGGAGGAGCAGGAAGAAGGTGGCCTGTATCCTCCAGCTCAAAGAGAGTGTGTGTGTGTGTGTGTGTGTGTGTGTGTGTGTGTGTGTGTGTGTGTGTGTGTGTTTCTTGTATTCCTAGATTAGATAGTGAAAGCACAAATAACGAGCGCCGCTCTCCTTCGTTACCAGTATTCGTTAATAATGTCAGATACTGTCGGTACTGTTGTTGTTTTCCTGACTGTCGGTCTCAGTCCCGTCACCCGGCAGTGGCAGCCCCCTCGTTTCCACGGTAACGCCAGCCCGCTCCCTGCTGAGGAACACTCCTGCTTCACTGTACAGACAGGCTGGTAGGACACACACACACACACACACACACACACACACACACACAGTATCTTTATTCAGATAGGGATCTTTCACAACAGCTGATATTAAGCCTGATTTTAAGCTGATTATTGATCATCACCATGTCTCTCTCTCTCTCTCTCTCTCTCTCTCTCTCTCTCTCTCTCTCTCTCTCTCTCTCTCTCAGTAACTCCCCGGGTTCCAGATGTTTCCTCCATATTGGCTCCCGGAGGTCGAACGCCTCGCTACACGCACACACCCAGAAACGCACTTAGCAGTATGGTGAGACACAAACATACACACACACACACACACACACACACACACACTCACACTCTTTGGACCTCATGCAAGAACAGTTTTGTTTTCTTATCTTGCGTGTTTCTGTAAGACAAAGGTTCAAAGTCGGATTCAGCATATATGCTATATAAAGCTGCCTGTTCCTGAGTTTCGTTCACAGAAATGACACCCAAGAGTATAAAGAAGGATTTCTCACCGTGGTGGTGGGACAGTTAACCCCAAAATCAAAAATAGAGCCGATAAGAGAATAGATAATCCACAGACCTTGTTGTTTTCTCTCTACCGAACTACGCTACGTTGCTGTTGAGTGCCATCTGGTTCTGCTAGATGGATAAATAGCGCTACAGGTAAGAGGAGGAATATGGATTATTGTGGTGAACTGTCTCTTTCTTTTGTCTAGAATTTGGATGACAGTGATTGGACCAACAGCATGTACACCTCCCCCGTTTCGGGAATGGAGAACACCAGCTTCTTCACAGACGATATCACCAACCTCAGCTCCGCACTACTAAAGGAGGACGACCCAGGCGAGGCCGGTGAGTGAAACAAACGCACCCGAGCTGCCTCTGTTACTGTTAGTTTCCAGTTCTTCTGTTAACGCCGTCGGTTTTTCATCCTTTTCAGCGGCTGCCAGTCTTTTCCCAGAGTTCCTCGGCTCCTTTCTGAAACACTCGTCTTCTGCTGTGTTTGAGCTGCTCGAGGAGTATCAGGCACTCTGCCAGGACAAGGTAGGATCTGTGTGTGTTGTGTTTTTCCATTTAGTCCAGTGTGTTTGAGCTGCACTTTGCTTTGTTTTACAGCCATTATGTGCCGTACTATGTCTTAGCTGGGAGCACTAACTTCCTGGAGTTATTTTGTACTTATTACTTACTTATGTTTAGTTTTTGTATGAATTAAACAAACGATATTTAACATGTTAATTAGAGAGCTTTAAAGGTGCTGGTAGGGAAATGTTGAATCATATCACAATCATATTTATCAAAATATGATATAAAATATGACTTTTTTTACCATGTCGCGCAGCCCTCCTTGCTCAGTTTGATTACTGACCTTCTCTCCATCACCGTCTTTAAGGTGGACGTGCTGCAGTCTGTGGTCCTCAGAGCGGGTCAGAACAGTAAAACGGCAGGAGTCCGCTGGCTGCTGCTGCAGGAGAACTGCACCTGGAGACTCATCACCTCACTGTACAGGTACCTGTCTGACTGAAGGACCACCTGTCTGCCTGACTGGTTGTTATAAGCATCTCTGATTGATCACCTGTCTGTTTCTGCAGGGATCGGGTCCAGTTGGCGATGGAAGATGATATCATGACAGACATGGTTGTGAGTGACAGTTTATGAGACCGCAGGCTGCTGACATTCACACACACAGACACACACACACTTCACCCTGTAGAGGTTGAACAGAAGCGATGGGTTAATGTTATTTATTTCCCAAAGCACGTGTTATAAATCCTTTTGTTTGTATGTTTTGTTATCCGATTTAGTACAGTAGGTGCATACTGACTTCTAAAACCAAATGTCCTTCTGTGACCATCACCTGAAGCCATTCTAATGCACACACACACACACACACACACACACACACACTTAACATGCTTTCAGCCCTGCTCCTGCACACACCGGCCAGACGAATTAACACGGTGGCTGTAAAGTGTATTCGTGTCTCTGTGTAGGTTCCCAGTGAGAGCGAGAAGGTTGTGGTGGAGCAGCTCTTTCAGCGGGATGCTATCATACGTCAGAGTCAGGTAACAATCTCAGATTGTTGATGTTTACTAATGGTTGTTCAGAGAGCTACAGTTTAACAGTGTGTTAGTAGCAGTCATTGCTCGTCGTTGACTGCCTGCTCACTCTGTTCTAGCTGGTCGTTGATTGGCTGGAGAG